GTTACCGTTTTGTATTTTACAAAAGCAAATCCTTTCGGATGTCCTGCATTTGGACCAATCGTGTTGTACACAAAGTTATAATTTTCGATTTCACCATATTTTCGCAAGATTTGGAGTAATTTAAACCAATAATTCGAGAAAAAATTAAAAGTTAATATTAATATTTACTAAATTTGCTTCAATCCAAATATAAAATTACTTACTCGGTAACTCGGAGATCTAAATTTCCTATCCATAACTTATCTGTTTGTAACTGAGGAAGTTCTTTTGACATTATATATAATACTTATTTACTAATATATAGCGTTAATGAGATTTTTAAGAATTATGTTGAAGAAAATTCAATTGGTTGTCAAAACAATTTAAAACCGATTCACAGTTAATGATGATGATTCATAGTAAAAATAAGTTGTAAGGTTCAGGTTTTCATAAAATCGTTACAAATTACAAATGTAAATCGATGCAAAAATATCATTTGATTGAATTTATTTACTTCTTAAAATTTAAATTTGATTAAAAATTAATGTAAATACAGAAGTAAAAATTATCACAAAGTAAGTCAATTTTACTTTTTTTGAATCATTTTTTTCTATCCATTGAAGATAATGATGGACGTCAGTATAAATTCCTGGAGAACAGATAATATAACGTCATACTTTTATATTAATAATTTTTTTCAGTTACCTGGGTAATTTGGTTCAGCACATCCCACTCCATTAGATGTTATACCAACTAATTCATTCCCACACATAAGTGGACCACCTGAATCTCCCTGACAACTGTCAACAATCAATTGACCTGTAAATGGACCAGCACAGAACATTCCTATCAACACATTTCCATTATGACTGGATCTTGAGTTGCATTGAGTTCTTGAATTTATTGTGAGATTTGCAGCTTTGAGTTGAGCAGGCTCTGCACCAGTATTGAATTTCACACGACCCCATCCAGATATTTGACATTGTCGACCAGCAACAGGAGCTCGAGATGGCAACAAAATAGGTTGTGCAGTTGGATGGTTAGAAGGAACGTCCTGTGATAGTATTAACAGAGCAATATCATTTTGAAACGTTGAAGACACAAAAGTTTTATGCATAACTAGTTTAGAGACGGTAATGTATAGCGTATTATTATCACGAATATATCTTTGAAGGCTGCCTAATGTTACAACTAAATTTGAAGCTGATAGATATCTATTTCCATCTTGAAAACAATGTGCAGCTGTTAGTACAGTTCGATTGTTTATCAGTGATCCACCACAAAAGTGACCATCTCCATACGAATAAAGGTCGGTTGGTCGATACCGGACTGAGACTTGATGTTTAAATCCATTTATTGAAGTCACATTAAAACCATTTACAATTCTTGGCTCCGAATTCTGACTCTTTGTGTTAAGAAATAACAGAGAAATAGTTAAAGCAAAAAATATACATGAAAGCTTACTAGTTCCTTTCATGACTAACGTTTTAATTGAATTGAATGATCTATCTACATCTGAAGTTTACAACTCTCTATATCTTATCTTTATTGAACGCGTTTGATAAGAAGTATGAGTTGAAATACTTCCATTCAGATTGACGAAATTGGCAAAAAGTATACGTAATACCGTAAAAAAGTAATATTCGTTAAAAATTACACTGCTATTAATTAAATAATTAGATTTATTGAGATGTATAAAAAATTGGAATTCCAAAACTCGAGTTTGAAAAATTTATTATCTTATTTTTTAAGTAGAAGTGTGTATTGAATTAAAAATAATTTTAATTCTAGTCAAGACGCTTAAAACATAAAATTATCTTGAAGATCCTCCGGGTTTTGCTTTGGGTATTTTGTCTAATAATCCTGCGATTTCTTTTTTCTCATCGAAAGACTTCCACAGTTCGAATAAGTTCACAATAGCTCGAGCAATCTCCTGAATCTTATCCATATCGACATTAAGCTCAGCAAACCAATGCTTGAGTTCTTTTTGAAGTATAACACAGGCAATTTGTAGGGCTCCAATAGCAATCTGAAATAATTTTTATTTGAGTGTACCAGGAATAACATTGAACCATTTAATTTACCTGATGAGGAGGGTAAAGTAAACTAACGTCAGTTCGCAATGAATCATTAATTATTCTCCATGTAAGTGTTAGCAATTGATCTTCTTGACCGATGTCTTGAATCAGTAATAATAGAGGTCGATAAGGTTGATAGACGATGAGACAACAATCAAGATTTTCCAATAAATAGAATTCACATTCAAGAATGTGTTTTGAGTGATAAGGGTATTCTTGATTATAGGCATAACTGAATTTGTTTTTTATTAAATTTGAAGCTGATCCAGCTAAACGGTTAGCTGATATCACACCAAACTCTTCCACTTTACTTGACAGGAAGATGCATGTAGGTGCTAAGAGAAATGGATCGATATTTTTCAAGGAGTTGCGAGCATAGAATCTTTTGAAGTAAACTGTTGCAGTTGCAATAACTTGCTGTCTAAGTTTATGCTGTTCTCCTAATACTTGAATGAAGTTAGCAAAGAAAATGAAAACTTTTGTATATTCTTCTTCACTTAAGAATGCCAAGTCGACTTGTCTTTCCCTAATAAGATCTTGTTTATCTAAAATCCACTGCTGATAATGAGAGCTTTTCCAAAAGTCCCCAGCCATTACTTTAATGAAGAAATTTTTAAATTGTTACTATAGATTTAAAATGCAATAATTTACTTTATTATTCAATTAAAACTAAAACGAAGCTTCAAGAAATTCTTTTTCTCAGGTCTTTTGTTTACAACCGATTTAATGCGGCTGTTGAGAGGTTTTCATCACATTGATGTGAGCATCAGGGTTTGGTAAAAACAAAAAAGAAATTTTTCTCACGAAAAGGTCTCTTTGATTTTCTGTAATTTATTTCATAGGTAATTCCAAATATTAAAGATGACACTTCCTATTGGCCCGAAGCAAGCTCAACAAGCAATGAGATGGTGAGTTCGCAAAGACTTTTCTACTTTATTTTCTAGTTTTAAATGTTTGTCATCATATGTTAGATAATCAAGTTGTTGATTATGAAATTTTCTGTGTGGTTCTTGTACTTTCCATAGAAGCTGATATATTTGTGTATTTTAGGACTGGTTCTTTAGCTGGTTTTGGAATTGCAGCTGGTTTTGGCCTTCTTTATTTCACTGATTGGAAAGCAGTTCTTCAATACATGCCCATCTACAATACTAAGTACAAGAAGGAAGAATAAATTGAAATGGAATCTACCCCAAACTGTTCATGTAGCAAATAAAATTCAAAAATTAAATTAAAAAGGATCATCAGACGTTAATTGAATTGAGGAATCAAGAAAAAAGAATTATTTTAAAGTCAAATATATTTTTGCAAGATTTTCAGAGATTATCTCATATAACAACAATATTTCTTCCATCCTTTCGTTGAATGACTGGAGTCATCTTTTTCAAATACAATTCTACAACTTCTACATCTTTCTTATCACCACGACGGTGATTTCGCCGATTATTTCCAAACACCACATATCCATTTCCCCCACCTCCAATGAAACTAGGCATTATAATCCGATACCATTCTTCTGGATCCAATTTTTCGTATTTTGGAATGTCACATTGACGACATAAAACATCAACAGACACAACCCGTTCATTCTCTGATTTTGTCACATTGAAAACTACTCGCAAACCAGAGAATTGCAAAAAGTTATAATAACGATAGGCTGCTGCTGAAAATTCAAGAGCTTCGAGTAAATGTTTCCCTTGAAGTTCAAATGTGTCAATAGTGTTTTGGAATGGAAGTGAAGTAAACAAATCATCATAAGAGACTACACCGCTTGATAAGGTTGTTCGAATTCCACCAGCATTTGTAATTGCAATTGTTGCATATGTCCATGATCCATCATTCTCCTGATAATCAGGATGATCAATGAAATAATTAACAAAAGCATCGGTTACGAAACTTCCAACGTTGCATTCTCCAAACGCGCAATCTTTCTGATAAAGAGTTGTTTTAATTTCTCCAACTTCACGATTTGCGACTACGTCAACTACTTCCTTCCAAGGCTCCATTTCTCTCAAAATATCTTCATCAGGTTCTATTGAGTTATCTATAAAGATAGGATTTCCCGACCATGATTGTGCTTCTCCATCTGTATCAAAATAAACAGTAAGATCGCCAATATATTTTGTATAAGCTGATGCTTGAACAATAAGCACTTTATGACCGTTTGATTGCTCATAAACAATCGGATAAACATCAGCTGGTGTATCAGGACCAGGAACTGGAGTGCTCGAATAAAGAAGTGTATGAGAATGACCGCCGACAATTACATCTATATCAGAGCCACCATTAATTGCCATCTCACGATCAATTACTAACCCGCAATGTGATAACACAATAATGATGTCAACATTTTCTTCTGTCTTTAATCTCGATGCTTCTGTCTTAACTGATTCAATTTCATTCAGAATATGAAGTTTTTCAGGACTCGAAATATCAAGAGTTGCAACTACAAGTGCACCTACAAGACCAATTTTTCGGCCACTACGCTCAATAACGATCGATTTTTTGTACAATCCTTTCAGTGAAGGCTCGTCAGTGTCATCTAAGTTAGAGACAACAACCGGTGATGTAAGATGTTCAAGGAAATGTACCACTTCTTGAACACCTCTGTCAAATTCATGATTGCCAAGTGTTGTCGCATCCGCGGGAAGAATATTAAGGAAATGACTTGTAACATTCCATCCAAGTAATTCATACCATAAAGTTCCTTGAAAATTATCTCCAATGTTAAGATATATTGGATTCTTATTTTGTTCGTTACGTTCCTTTAAAAGTTGTTTCACAATGGTCATTACACGTGCATATCCTCCGATGCAAACTTGCCCCAAATGTTCTTTGCATTGTGTTGAATCCCAATTAGTTTCTTCGAAACTTTAAACAAAGTAATTCAATTGTTACGTTTTATTCTTTTAAACAAATAAGAATTCCTCTTCAAACTTACCGTGCGTGAAAATCATTCAAATGAATAATGGAAACCGGAAAAAGTTCTTCATTCTTTTTCACAATTGAAACCGACTGAATCTGTGTCACTACCGTGGAAATAAGGAAAAATATAAAAATTTTCATCGTCTGTTTTAAGTTTACAAACTGACGTTGATATATTTATGAGTTTACATTCAATCTCACACTAAAAATGAAAATAATTTTTTTTCTTGGCTTATCATATACTTATCAGTCACGACAATTAAAGATTATCTCTAGTCACATTATCAAAGCTATAGAACATGCAACGTTCAAGTAGCTATTCAATGAACAGATAAATTAATCACTGAGGGGAAACAAAGTTCGATTCTTGTTCGAAATGTAAATTAAGTAGATGATTTTGAATATTGATTGAACTCATTTTTATTTTAGATTAATTTTTGTATTGCCGAAATCTTTTGACAATTTTAATATTTTCGTTTCTATATGATCAAATGAGAAGACAACTTGTGAAAACTGAGATTTAAAGGAAAAGCTCTACAAAACTTAAAATCTATTTCATTGCCTGGTGGCACTTAAGTATTCGAATTAAAAGTTTAAAAAAGAGATTTAGTTTGATTCCTGTTTTATTTTCTCGTGTTCATTGCGATGATATTTAAGTCGATATTTGTTTTTGAAGGTTTTGCTGCAGACATCGCAAGAGAAACTTGGCGTATTATCATCATGAATTGATAGATGTTGTGCTAAACGTGATGGTAAAGCAAAACGCTTCGTACAAATTGGACATTCATATGCCTTATGATAATGATTCAATTCGTGATACTTCAATCGGTATTTGCATTTAAAACCTTTGTCACATTCTTGACAATGATATATTTTATCATTGTGCATGATTTGATGCTGCTGGAGACGAATCAATGTTGGGAAGATTTTATGGCAAACATTACAGACTTGAGTTGAGCCCGGTGTATGTTCATTCTTGTGATATTTTAGACGATATTGGCATTTGAATTTCTTTTCACACTGAAAGTAAGTAATTTAAATTAATATGCTTTAAATATTATTAATTAAATTAATAATATGCTTTAATTATTGATTTAATTTTGAGAAACTAAACTTACCTGATCGCACTGGAAGATTGGTTCCCGATGAGAAATTTGATGCTGCTTGAGTCGGTGAGATTGATCAAATCCTTTGAAACAATATTCACATTGGAATTTTGGCTGATGAGGAACATAGTTCACGTTGAATGAAAGTGAATTTGCTTCAATTTTCGCTTTTCTTCCCTTCGACTCAGACTTCATCTGGTTGTTTATTTGTTGGTGCTGCCTTTGTTTATGATCTTTTAAATTTTTCTTGTTGCGAAAAGTTTCATTGCAAATGGAACAATTGAAAATGTTTTGCGGCACGATACTTTCCTGCTTAATTTCAACATTCAATGTCATGGGATAAGCTTGAAAATTCGGAATAAAATTCATTTTGATGCTGTTTGTTATTTTTTACACCATGAAACGGTTGAACCGTTTCAATAAAAGTGAACAATTTCGTTAATGATGTTTTAGACGAAAGTTTCGTGACGGAATATTTGATTGAATTCCAACATAGTGAGTTGGCCAAAGTAGTGTTTTTTGTTTTGAATTATATTTAAGGCATTTAAGTGATGCTCGATCTATTTACGATCTTCACCAAGGGTGGAATTGTTCTATGGTGCTTTCGTAACACCAAAGAGCTGTTTGTACCATCGGTTAATGCATTAATCCGCAATGTTTTGATGCAAGTGAGTAAACAAAGGTGATATTTTAATAAGGTTGCCATCACTATTATATATGTATGCTTCTTTCAGGAACGTACTGGAAGTAATTCTTACGATCACAATCACTTGACATTACAATATAAACTAGATAATGAATTCGAGTTGGTGTTTGTGGTTGCGTTCCAGAAGATCCTTCAGCTCGCATACATCGATAAATTCTTATCTGACATACATTTGGAGTTTCGTGACAAATACAAGAATGACTTAAGAAAACAAGGAAGAGAGTTTAATAATTTCGACTTTCTGGAAAATTTCACACGGTTGCTTAAAGAAGCTGAAGCTTGGGGTCGTGAGCAAGCAACCATTCCACGTCAGATGAGAACATTTGAACAATCAAATAAGTCTAAGAAAACTGTTGCATCGATGATTGAACGTAAGGGCGACACAAGTCAATTCCAAAACAAGAAGTCAGTCAAAATTGTTGAAACACAAAAAGTTAGTCATGAAGTAGAAGAAGAAAAGAATGGGAATACTGAAGATGTAATTCAGGCTAATCGTAAGAAGATGATTGAGAGATTGGGAAAAAAATCTGATAAGAAAAAGCCACAAAAGTCTCCAGGTGATCAGGAAAAGAAAAAGCAAAAAAATGCACGAGTTTGGGAACTCAATGGAAATGCAAAAGATGCAATTGAGTTGGATCGTTCGAAGGATCGACCAGAAGATGTTAGAAGTGATTTTACTAACAATGACCGAATGGTCGGTCAATTAGTTGGAAATGTTCGAGATTTGGAAGTTGAAGAATCTTCATCCGAAGATGAAAACGATAGCTCTGAAGAGGATGAAGTAGAAATCAGGAAAAATGTTACATCTCAACGAACTTCAACACAAACATCAAAAAAAAGTCGTGGAATGTTCGCTATGTTTAAAGGTCTTGTTGGATCAAAATCAATCACAATGGAAGACATGCAACCAGCTCTTGATAAATTACGTGATCATTTGATTATGAAAAATGTGGCAACAGACATCGCCCAAAAGCTTTGTACTTCAGTTGGAGCGAAATTAGAAGGAAAAGTTTTGGGAACATTTGACACCATAGCAGCCACTGTTAAGTCAACATTGAACGATTCTCTCGTTCAAATATTGTCGCCTAAGCGAAGAGTTGATATTTTACGCGACTGTTTGGAAGCTAAAAAGAATCAACGACCATATGTCATGACATTTTGTGGAGTCAATGGAGTTGGAAAATCAACGAATTTGGCAAAGATTTGTTTCTGGTTGATTGAAAATAATTTGAATGTTTTAATAGCAGCTTGCGATACTTTTCGTGCTGGTGCTGTTGAACAGCTTCGAACACATACTCGTCATCTGAATGCTTTGCACCCTAGAGAAAAGCATGGAGGAAGAGAAATGGTTCAATTATACGAGAAAGGATATGGCAAAGATGCAGCTGGTATTGCTATGGAAGCCATAAGATTTGCAAAAGAAGCTTGCATTGATATTGTTTTAGTCGATACTGCTGGACGTATGCAAGACAATGAACCATTGATGAGAGCCCTGGCAAAGCTGATCAAAGTTAATGAACCTGATCTTGTTTTGTTTGTAGGTGAAGCTTTAGTTGGAAATGAGGCCGTTGATCAGTTGGTAAAATTCAACCAGGCTCTTGCTGATTATTCTGCCATGGAAAATCCACACGTCATTGATGGAATTGTTTTGACGAAATTTGATACCATCGATGATAAGGTGAACATCATTATATTTATTGCAAAAGGTTCATTTTTATCATATTTCTTCTTATTTTGTTTTGTTTTTTTCGCTTAGGTCGGAGCTGCAATTTCAATGACTTACATAACAGGACAGCCAATTGTATTTGTTGGAACTGGTCAAACTTACACTGATTTGAAAGCTTTAAATTCTAAAGCTGTTGTTCAAGCATTGATGAAATGATTTTCTCTCATTTAACATTTCATACATTTTTCTGTAATTTTCTTAAGAACTTCCAATACGGGGAGGTCAACGAACCAGAGTAAATTAATAAAACTATTGGGATATTTTGTTTGATGGTTAAAATTATTATTTTATGTTACCACTATGACATTTTTGTATCTAATAATAGTCAACTTTGAAATTTAATTTCGATGTCTCATATAATAGTCAATGACAGTTGAGAATGCAGCAAAGCCAGCAGCACCGAAAATTCCTGCTTTCACACCAGCACGTAGACCAATAAGTCCTCCAGTTACTCCTCCAGCATATGTTCCGTTCTTCCAATCTGTAACACCTCTTTGACTTTCTATCAAACATTCGATTCCTGCAAACACTAAACCAATTGTAGCAAAGTTTTTGCCATACGAATGAGTAGTTTTTCTCATGTCATTAAAAATCTCTCGAGCAGTTTGTGTTCGCTCCATGTGTGGTGCTGATGGATCCATTTGAATTGAGGGATTAACTGAAGCACTGAATAGACCAATAGCACATCCCAGACCATAGCCAATAACACATGACATAACCGATTTAAAAGTGCATGATTCCATTACTTTATCCATAATCAGCTCTTCATTTGATCTTATCGAAACTGGACCTTGGGTCCGGGGAATGACAATCATATCCCTTTGCCTGAATAATTTTATTGAAATAATTCATCATTATTTTTTATAATGCATTTAACAGATGCTAACATACCTAAAATTATTTCCGATGAAATGTTGAGCCATTTTATCTAAATCTGAATTATCAAAGAAAATATTTTTCTTCTGTGAACTTGGAGGTGTTTGAGGCACATTTAATTTACTAGGATCAGGTAGGAGAACCATTTTAATTATATTTCTCCTTTAAAATTAAGAAAACTTTTTCAACTGTGTTGAAATGTTTTCTATTTGTTTACTACCTATTTGTAAATTGATCTATTTTTTACTTCGAAGCGATATCCCCACCGGTGTATCTTTACACCCCACTCTAAATGTTTATTCCGGGACTTTGGTACGTTCGCGCGGATTTGACCTTCCATACAAAACATGCAAGAAAAATTTCTCCGTGTCAGATAATTTCTCCGTGTCAGATAATCGATCGTAGCGCCGCCACTGAAACGTTCTCGGACAAAAGATCAATCTCAAAGTTACTTTGATTCCGTGCCTGAAAATTTTGTCCGTGCATGATAATTTTACACTCTCCACCTGAAACTAGACTTTGCCCGACTGGGGCCTGAGCTGAAATCAGGTGGAGAGTCACAAACACATGTGTTTGAAATTTTCATATCAAAGCTTAAAAATCTACTTAAAAACATGTTAGATATTCGTAATCTTTTTTGAAACTATCAAATCAAATTCTTCTTTAGGCTGTACAATAAAACATGAATTTATTCATAAATTTATCAGTGATTGAACCGATTCTTTTCAAAGACACATTTGATTCAAATCGTTATCGTTGCTCAGTTCAGTGTTTGAAAATAAATTTAATTTCAAACCATCCATAGATATTGCCCAGTGAAAATATTCCTTTATCGAAAGATGTTTTGCATAGGAAATTCTTTGAAATTAGGTATGTTTCTACTTTATATTTTAATTGTACTTATACAAGTCAGAAAAATGAACTTTGGACTTTTATTCTTTCAGGATCCAGATTAGGTACAAGATGTATAGCGAGTCTGTCTTCATTACCAGAAACACATCAAATGCTACAAAAGACATGTCGTGATTTTGCAGATAATGAACTTGTCCCCAATGCAGCAAAATTCGATCGCGAACATTTATTCCCAGCTGAGCAAATTTCTAAGATGGGAGAGCTTGGATTGATGGCCATAGCCGTGAAAGAAGAGTTTGGAGGGACAGGATTAGATTATCTGGCATACGCAATTGCGATGGAAGAAATATCACGTGGATGTGCGAGCTGTGGCGTCATCATGTCAGTGAATAATTCACTTTATCTTGGTCCAATCCTACATTTTGGTAATCAAACTCAAAAGGAAACATTTGGAACACCTTATACATATGGAACTCATATTGGATGTTTTGCACTGTCAGAACCTGGTAATGGAAGTGATGCAGCTGCTGCTCAAACTACCGCAAAACTCGAGGGAGATAAATGGATTTTAAATGGAACTAAAAATTGGATCACAAATGGACGTGATGCAGGAGCTGCAGTCGTGTTTGCGACGACTGATAAATCTTTAAAACATAAAGGAATTTCAGCATTTATTGTACCTAAAGGATCTCCAGGTTTCTCCTATGGGAAGAATGAAGACAAATTAGGAATTCGAGGTAGCACAACATGTTCGCTTATTTTTGAAGATTGTGCGATTCCTAAGGATCACATGTTAGGTGAACCTGGATCTGGATTTAAAATAGCAATGAAAACACTTGACGAAGGAAGAATTGGGATTGCAGCTCAAGCATTAGGAATTGCACAAGCATCACTTGAATGTGCTGTTGATTATGCAAATAAAAGAATCGCTTTTGGAAAACCAATCAGCAAACTTCAATCAATTCAGAACAAAATTGCTGACATGTCTTTGAAGTTGGAATCTGCAAGACTCCTTACATGGAGAGCAGCTGTTTTGAAAGATTCAAAGAAGCCATTTACAAAAGAAGCTGCAATGGCGAAATTAGCAGCAAGTGAAACTGCAACTTTTAATTCGCATCAAGCGATTCAAATTCTCGGAGGAATGGGATATGTCTCTGATATGCCTGCTGAGAGACATTATCGAGATGCGAGAATTACAGAAATTTATGAAGGCACTAGTGAGATTCAAAGGCTCGTTATAGCTGGAGCAGTTATTAAAGAAATGAGTTAAATTTAAATATATTTTTTGTCTACTTTTATAAGAAAATGGGATGAAAAGTTGGTACACTACCTTGATGGTCCATTAAACGATTTAAATATTTATCACTTATTATTTCATCAATAAAAAGTTCTTTTAAACTTAAAATATTTGTTTTCCTTTTGATTTACTTTTAAAGATAATTAAACATGACGAAAAGTATTTTTGACTGCTAACATGAGTCACTCACAACATTCCAACAATTTCCTGGTTCAAAAAACTAAAACAATTACCGATTTGGTGTGTTCAGACACTTCCCACCTTCCGTATTTTACTTACGAGCATTCTGTAGGGACCCGCATTGTTGCATTTCCATCTAAAGATCACGGTCAGGGAAACAATGGGCTTTCAATTATTTAATTATTCATGCGCATGTAACGAAAGTATCTGTACAGATAAGCATTTGTTTTATAATTTCAATTAATTCATATTTTATTATTCATTAAATTAAAAGTTCTTAAATTTTATAAGAATGATTGAGAGGTGTCATTTTTATTGATCGAATAATCACTTTAAAACCAATTATGAAGAAAATACTATATTTGTAGCCAATTTATTTGCATTTCTAACAAAGTATTTTCACGTTCAATTTTCACGGCCACAACGGTACTTGTTTGTTGAGTGCGTCACGAATAAAAATAATCAAGGAAATGGAAAAAGCCGACCGACGTAGTGTATTTTTAGCATCACGTTTTTAATTACCAGAAGGAGTGACAGAGACTGATAACAGTCAACGTTGCTGAAGGTTAGCGAACTTGTACTTGCCACTATAAATTATTGCACGCGATGAGTTAAACTCTCAGTATCATTTCTGTCGATTGCTTGGTTCGGTTTGTTAACGAGGATGGTGAAGTTGTTGATGATTTGTTCAATTATTTTGAAATTAGCGAGTAGCGAGATGAGTTTGAGTAAATTTCCTTGTTACAAACCGAAACCAATAAATTATCGAGCTGATTTGAGAATTGTTGGTGGGTTTGACGCTGTTCAACGAGAAACGCCATACATGGTGGGGTTGATGAAACACGGTGGGGTTGTTTGTGGCGCTTCAATCATCTCGGAAAAATTTCTCATAATTGCAGCACATTGTATTTGCAATAATCAAAATCACATCATCAAACCATCGCAACTGAAGGCTTTCGTTGGAATGAATAAAATTACCGATGTTAAGAATGAAATTGAAGATGATACAATTGCAGAAGTTTTCATTAAAAAAATTATTGTTCATCCTGATTATTCTTGCGGTAAAACATCCCAAAATGACATAGGTAAGGCAGATTTTTTTCTGTTCAGCCGATATCAGCTTTTTCTCAAACAATTTCAGCTCTCTTGCAACTTGAAAGTTCTATTAAGTTCAATGATAACATTCAACCATTATGCTTATCAACTGACGAGTCACAAGTAATGGAAATTGGAATAGTAACTGGTTGGGGATGGACAAATGAAGATTTAAGTGTAGGTGAGAAACCAAACGTTCTTCAAACAGCAGACGTTCCCATATGGTCAAATGAAGAATGCCAGAAATCCTACAAAAACTTAATGAAGACAAATCAAATCTCCGATAAGCAAATGTGTGCTGGTGCCAGAAATGGTGGAATAGATTGTAAATTCATATATATTTTCTTTTAATGCCTTAATCAATTAAAACTTTTAATTCTCAAGCATGTTGGGCTGATAGTGGTGGTCCATTAATCAATAAGCTTAGCGGAAATTTAATCGGCGTTGTATCTACTGGTGTTGGATGTGCTCGAAAAGGATTACCCGGAATTTATACTCGAGTTTCACATTATACAAAATGGATTCGAAGCATCGTTGCCATTTAAAGTTTTTCAGTCATTCAATTTTTCTGTGATATTACAAATTTTATTTTCTGGTCTCACATTGTCTTTTTATTTAATAAGAGAAATAACAATATTAAATTGCAAAAGCGTTTTGAGTTGAATCTTTTTTTTATTATTTATTTTTCATTCAAAAATACTCATCACTCTTTAAAAAAACATGAAAATATTGGTCCAAAATTGATGATCGAATAAATTTGTGGTTTTTTTTCTTTGGTGATTAATACCTTTCGATTTTTTTTATAGTTTCATTCATGATTAAAAGCGTTTTATAACTTTATAAGAATCGCACAATGTCTAAACGGGGCTTTAATTTATCCAATTAATAATTTTAATAATATCCACCATTGCGTTAAAAATCAGTGAACGATCCAAGCCTATCGATTTCATCGAAATTTCTCTTTTTGAATTCATTGAAGCCATTTCTGTCGATTTCATCAAAATTTGTTTGTCGTTTTCCGAAGTCGTTCCATCCTGAACGGTCAATTTCATCAAAATTACGTTTGTCAAAGTCACCAAAACGATCAATTTCATCAAAGTTTCGTTTCGGATGAGAGCCCATGGGATGACTGTAGTAATTGTAAAGTGAAGATAGTGAAGATCTGTCTAAGCTATGCCTAGCTGGAGCAAATCTTTGGCTATATATTTAATAGAATAAGTTATACAAAATATTTAAGATAATTAGAAATCAAAAATATCCTAGAAGAAATATCATGGAAAGAAATATAAGAGAAATTATAATTTTTGTTACCTTCTTCCATGATGTTTGTAAGCTTAAAAGTGGAATAAATGTTAGAAGAGTAATTAAACATTTTAACATTTAAGTTATTTAAGAAAAATAAAAGAAATTTCATGCAAAATGTTTCATTGATTCATCGTCAAAATAATTCTGATGAATTTTAGAATTTTGCTGCTTTATTTTATAGTTAAGAAATTAGGTAGATTACAATAAATAAATATTTCTGAGTTTCACAACCTTGAATTAGGAATTTCAAAAGTCAATGGTCAATGTGTTTGCATATTTTACAATAAATAACCTCCGCCTAAAGAGTCCATGCTTCTAGAAGAGTCTGAAGGAGTTCGTTTCAATAAATGGCCACCTCCAAGTGAATCCACGGCTCGTTTCAACAAATACCCACCACCGAGATTATCAAGAGTTCGATGAACTCGATTTATTCCTTGTGGATAAGAGTTACTATAATATGCAGGCCGATTGTTAAGATTTCCTAGTGATTAATATTTTTATTTCTGATCACTTTTGTTTTTTAGTTTGAACATTTGACAAAAACACTTTTGACCATCACCAGACGATTGAACATTCACAACTGTTTATTTAGACAATTCAACATAATTTCCACAACTTTACCTTCATTCTGTTGCTTCAATTGATTTAATCTATGAATGATTTCATCCACGAAATCATTTCCTTCTCGACTATCAGTCACCGGTGCAGCAAGTGAAATTTGCATGAAAAATGCAAAAGCCACAACACAAATCAATATTATGTTTGTTATTTTGGACATAATTTATACTCAATTTCACTTTCAAAAAACAAGAAAGTCCTTTTTATAATATTTATGCACTTGATGACTTGTTGAATCGACAACGTCTGAGTAAAATTGTCACATTGAGCTTTCTTTTATAGGGAAAATTATCGTCATTCATAATCAAACGCTTTTCATCGTGTGAAGAGAGCGTGGACGAGAGAATTGCAGATCAAATGCTCTATTTTTATGCGTGACATGAATGAACAAGCTTTGAGAGTTCCGATGAGTGTCAGTTCCGCTCATGAATCTTAAGTAATTTAAAGATAAGAATGTCAACTTCTTTAACCCATGGGCTGTTGACATTTGACATGTGACAATATAAATTTTGTTGAAACATTTGAAAAGATTCTTATGAATTTTATTTATTTGCTATGAATAAAGTTGAGAGCTTTGTGTTAAAGTTCAAAGTTGACTTTTTATATAAAGTCATATATGGACCATGAATTTGTGGGTTGGTCGTCATCATAATCGTAAATAATTTATTTGTGGTGCTACGCTTAAGTTCATTATCACCATCATTAAAAAGGACATATGAACAGACAACCTAGACAACAATGTCTTAAATCATTTCGAAGATCTTTCAAAATAAAATGGCGAAATTATTCAAATAGCTATGAAGAAAAGTGAGAAAAAAATTAATTCATAAGCTTTTTGATTAAATATCTCATGAAAAATATGCAAGCAAAAATATATTTAAATATCTTAGAAACACGTCCGGAATTTCATTCAATAATGTAAAAGATAAAAAATATAGAAACTATCTAAGATATTACAAATTAAAAATTGTTTACATTCATTTCTTTCCTTCTCAGTATCTTCTTCGGAAGTGGTTGAAATTAAATAATGATGTTTCTTCCTACATAGTTATTGACCTACTCATGGGAGCTCAATAGGATGTCACAATTCATAAGCACTTAAGCGTATCTTGTGATAAGAAAATTAAACTAAACAAATGATATTGGCTCTAATGGATTTCAATTATCTACTTACATCATTAATAAGTGCAATAAACAGATTGCGCAATGAAAAATCCACGCATGTTCCGTGTCACTTAATTAAACTGTTAAAGCTTACTCTATAAAGGAATAAGTCAATTGATAATAGCCACTTCATGTTTATTAGTTTTTTGCGACAATATAATATAAATGAAGAATATTTACTATGATGAATACTTGACAATACATCAGCGTAAATGTCTAACAATGGTCGTTTCATTCAAACGAATAGTGAAACAAGAATGAACAACAATTAATTCTCTTCATTAATGGTTATTTCTAAGGGATTATCAATAATTATAAGTGTGAAAGCAACTCATATTCCTTAATCGCCATTGAATGTGCCCTCGCTAATAATGATAAAATATTTTTCATGAAATTTATGGATGTTTTAATGCCTATTGTATAATAAGTATTTATTATGTTATTGATGAATTAAACAACTTCTTGAACTGCACCATTAACTGCTAATTTGTAGCAAATTGGTTCATTTCGATTGCCGCTGCGAGCACTAACGATGAAAATGTGACCGTCTTCTGTGAATTGAGTATCTGTTCCGCCATCAACAAACTCAGGCTTTTCATCTCGTAGATCACCATTCAAATAAGTATTAAGCGTATCTTTTTCAAGAACCACACGATAGTTTTTATCATTTATTTTTATTTCCCAAGTTTTAAGAATTTTTGATTGCGTCTGATTGTAAATTTCACATTCCAGTCCATCTATGAACAATTTGTAAGTATACTTAAATCCGGAAGATGGAAAAATCTTTGGAAAAAATTGGTATTATGAAATATAGTTTTAATTTTTTCAATTATATATTCTCACGTGAATGATGCATCGTTTTCCTTCAACGAAAAACGTATCTTCGCCAACAAGACGATACATCATATCCCTTCTTAAAATGTCTTTGCCGTTAATCCAAATCACTCTTTTCCCACTTATAATCCCATGCTCAAATTCAATATCATAAAGTTTTCCTTTTATTGGAATCACCCATCGTGCGACAAGGTCAGTTTTGTTATGATTTTTTTTAAGAGCTTCACGATGATCAGGAATTGCATCTTCCATTTCACACTTTATTTTGTTTATTGATGATGTTGAAAATATTTGGATTCCTTCAGTCTTATCAATGTGATTTATATGTTTGAGTCATACATATGGTTTGTTGTGTCCAGTTTTGGTCGCTATAGCATTTGAATCAATTAAATCAACTGGGAAGAACAACTTTGTTTCAAATAATTATAGTTGTAATGAATTGATAGTAATTTCCATTCACAATCCTTCAATTAATTCTGACATCATCAGAACAAATGAATTTAAAAATTTTATATTTCATATCAGAATATTTCTAAGCATGCGTTTGAATTCCTTCAGAAATTTATAAAGACTAATTTTTTAAAGGAAAAAGCATAGGTTCGCTATCGAAATATACTCAAACGTTAGATATATGTTTTAACGATTTCTTTTGGGTTGCTTGATGGGCATGAATTTTTTTTTTATTGAATATCATTATAATTCAACTTTTCATCTTCAATTTTCTCATTGTTCCCTTTAACATCATAAAATTTTATGAATTTTAAGTTATGTAGAACCATAAAACAAGTCAACCCTAAAAAATAATCGAATTTTTTCCATAAATTTACTTTCATATAAAGAAGGAAACTCCGCTTGAAAAACAACAACTAGAAACAACAAAAAAGAATGAGAAATGCCTCCATATGAACGAAGCTCCAATTGCATTACACCATAATATTTATGAAATTATGCTGATAGCATGTTTGAGCTTTTTGCTACTTTATGTCGTGTCAATTTATTTGTTATTTTGTACACTGTCATTTGTGTTTACGAGAAATGCTTTCTAATGTCTTCAGAAGATCAGAATTAAAGTGTACAAATAGCATTTCTTGACATTTACACTACTGGGAATTATTTAACTTGAAATAAAGACAATGTGAAACATTTACCAAGCAATTCAAAATTATTAGCAATATCTTTAATATTTAACTTTCTCAGATACATATATTTCATTCATACATATCAAAGGATTGGGAAAGTATTTTAATAAATTTATTTTTGCCTGTTTTGTTTAACTTAGATTCCTCCACTCAATAAATAATCTGTTAACCTTTTCCTTTGACCTTATTTTCACTTTCTCCAACACATGCAACATAAATCATATTGATACATAATGTTTTTTCGTTTGGATCAATTTTTTTTTTCACAGTGATTTAGTCGTTATTGAAACACTTATTTACTTGGGGTGAGCGTGACTTCAATATTGAAATATTGGATGAAGGGAGTTACAGTGGACTTTCTTTATAAGAATTTTGAAGGGAGTCACCTATAAAGAGCTATAAAGAACTTTTTTGAACATTACTTCATAATGTGAGTGTGCGGAATTTAAAGAGCTTTTTACTTATAAAGAAAATTCTTATAAAGAAAGTCCACTGTATTAAAAAGAAAAGATTATTCAATGAAAAAATTACATATCTATTTAATATAAATAACAAGTCGGATTAAAAATAAACATTATTTTTTTAAAATTCTTTTATGTTTGTTTTATTTAATGAATTTCAAGCTATTATTTTTTTATAAATTAAGATATGTAGCTAAATATTAATGAACACAGATTGTTAAATACTTGCATAAAGATAGCGATTTAATTTCAGACATATTGAAAAGTAGATTTAAAATATTTTACAGTTCCATTTCCTTGTTTATTAAATGAGTGGTATTGTCAATGATGTTCATAATGGATGACAATTGGCAGAGCCAATCATGCAAGAAATCTTCTTGTTCACAAAGATTTTTTGTTTTATGTGGATCACTCAAGTTAAATATTTTTTGATGGAATGTTACGATTCCTGAGAGTCTGTCAATCTTTGCATTGATTGATTTGTTGATAATAAGATTACACAAATGCTTTTCAGTTTCATCGATATTAATGTCAAGGAACTCACTCATATTTGATAAATACGCTCTCTGATAATAAGAAGCGAAAACTTTGACGTTGTGCTCGATTGTGGCTGTTCGGAAATCCTTCCACTTTTTTAATCCATCTTCATTATTAAGATTAAATATCCCAAGTGTCATTAGATCTTCCTTAAATTTAGACTTTATTGAATACCAATTGATGAGTTCTATCGTTGTGAATTCCTTGAGAAATTCCTTGTAAAGTGGAACTTCATCAATATATTTATGATTCATCAGTCGATGCATCATATCTGACTTTTCACGATCGAATGGTGCGAGTACACAGTAAACAATTGAGAAAATGAGGGTTTGCTTACGTTTATCAATTTGTGATGTAATAAAATCGGTGTTGAGCATTTTCTGATAATGACTTGACGTGTTTGAATAATTTGAATTTTGGTCAATAACGATCATCAATTCATAAAATTTTAATTTCTGTGCTTCAACTTCTTTTGTTTGATTCAAATGACTTTTGTTAATTTTCTTTGCAATTATAAGACATTTAACAAATTCTTTTGATTCAATTAGAAGTTCCATCAACTGAAGAATGATTTCTATTCTCTCTGTTTTCTCTAAAGACGTTAGTGTGTCAATTTTCAAGTCTTCAAGTATAGAAATTGCTTTCTCAATGTTACCATTTCTTTTATGTATTGCAGCTAGTTCTTTGCAAACTTTAGCTCGCTCAAACTCTGAGTAGAGCTTCCCATTTGTTACCAATTTCAAGGTATCAAGTAGTTTAACTTTCTGTTCCTCATCTGACATCAAATCTATAAATTTACAACATTCACGGATCATTTCACCGATAGCTTGCTCAGATTGCAAATGCTTCTTCAGAGCAAAGGCAATAATGCTTTCATTCAATTCCACAAGCCTTAATGAGTAAAAATAAAGTTGAACAATTGCAACTAAAATTCTTCCAATGGATATTGCATCACCCGTTGCTCGATATTTCTTCTCCAATTGATATAACTCATCGATTGCGCCATTGAATGATATTATTGATTTGGCTTTGATGACTTGAATGAACTCTAAAGAAATTTCTTCCAACTTTTCTTTTGCAACATTCGCTTCCATACTTAAATATGTATCTATATGAGCCAATGAACTAAAATAAATCAATGATAAAACTGAATGAAAATGTTTAATAGATATTCACATTATGAATAGAAACTTACAATTAATTGAACACAATAAATGTTTTTATGAAAATATGATAGATAATGAACATTAACAACATATATTCATGCTTTATTTAAAATTTTCAATGATTTTAACAAATTTCTTTTCGCTCAAAGATTTTTTGCAAATCATTTGAGGTTGAAAAAAAAAACATTATAGCTAAACATTTAATTTTCCCAACAGACATGCGCAGTTTCTTTGTTGTGGTTCCAACCACGTTTTCCGTAAAATATTCTCATTTTTTCTCTCATCGAAATTTCTAATGCAAGAAAATTGTTGATTCATAGGAATGAAAGAGAAAATTCTGTATATCGATTGCACATGCAAAACTCGATCGAGTTCCTTTTTGAGTTTATTGTTTTAACAAGTGATCAGTTTCCAGAAATTTTATTGTATCTCTATCATTATACGTATCCTATTTATGTTTAGTACCTTAAAAATATATTAATATCTTTTAAGCGAGCAAAGTGATCGCTTTTGTTTTTTATTTCTTCATTGATTCGCTCCCCACTTTTGTTCCGCCCATTTGACTGAATGATGTATGTTCATTCTTTTTTATGCCTTGATCCAATCATAACCATCTGACCAGATGTTCAAATGAAATCGCTAACATAAACTTTTAGAATCATAAAATGAACAAAGGTGAAAAAAAGGAAATGCTTTGAAGGTAATTTTATAATCTTTTCCTTATTCTTAAAATATTAGAAGAATCGTTCAATGGAATTTCCAGGCAAGTTTGGAACAAATGAAATAAAATCAAACTTTTATTGCACCAACTGATTAGTCCTAATACCAACACTGGTTTTTCCATGAACCTCAACTGTCAGAAGCGTTCCTTTGGAAATTCCAAAAAAGAAAGATTTATGATAATTTGAGGGAATTAAATCTTTTTAGACAATGGTTGACGCCTCTAAAATTCCTTCATTGTTTCAATATTTCTCTATGATTTTGTTCACTATTTTATACATCGCTTTCTGCCATCGAACATCAAATTTATGGGTTTTATTCTAGTTGTGAATTTAAATTTCTATACTGTCTAATTAAGTTACTGTTTAACGAAGAAAGAAAATTATTTTCGAAAGTTTCATATGAAATACATATTTTGGGAAAAAAGTACCTAAAAAAGATATCATCCTTCTCAATGTAAAATAAAGGAAAATAACTTTTGCCTACTAATAAATAGTGTAGGGGTTAATGCATCAGTCATGATAACTTTTTCACAGCTTCTCTAGAAAATTCTCATGTAACATTTCAGTGACAATACTTTAGAACACGCCTCTTGATCCCTCTGTTTATTGGTGGGGAACTTTAAAAAACAAAATTTAAATGTATTGAAAATGTGGCTCGAAAAAATAAAACGAAGGAAAGAAATGAAACAAAGGATAGAGAAAAGTAGAAGAAGAAACAGATGAGTCGCTTAAAATAACAAGATGAGAACGAAATTTCTCACCGAGCGATCGGTTAATGAGTGAACGAGTCTCTTGGTGGTAGTAAAATTCATCGTTTTTGAAAGAACTTCTGTTATTATTAATTTTTTCACACACATTTTTCATTTTGTGTTTTCATGAGACATTAACTGAACATCAGTGCACATACAGATCTCAACTCGGTCAAGTCGTATTCAGATTTTTCGTATCGTCAATTGTTTTTTTTTTGTCTTTCATGAAGAAGTTTTATTTGAAAATATTTTGTACATATTTTGATGTTAATTGTGAATATTATAAAATAGAAAATTCATTTATTGTGAACAGTTTTAAAAAATAAAAATTATAAAAAGGACCAATATGGCTTTATCACCAAAACTTATACTTGATATAAGCCAATCACAAATTGAAAATTTGTCATTGAGTTGTAAGATGATAAAAGTGGAAAATTGTAGTGATAACGATAGTAATAATAATAGTCCGACTAATGGTCATTTTAAAGAGGATATGAAGTATACGGATTTGGATTTGTCGGTGCCTTCAACGGTTAGCTTTTACGAGCAAACATCTGCAACATCCGGTAATAATAATAATAATACAAGAAAAAGGCGTATGGGAAGAGAATCTTCTACAATAGATTCTTCGCAAAACTACCAGTCAAGTCCGATAGTTGAATCGGAGTGCAAGCGTTTTCGATTTGATCCTGAGAATTATGAATCAACGGTTCCAACAACGATATATAAATATTGTAATAATAATAACAACAACGAAGATTCTTATTATCAGCAAAACGTCCCTCATGATATGAAATATTCATACGTAAATGAGAATTCGGAATCACCAGCATCTTACTATTTTCAAGATCATCATAACGCCATACCACCCAACAATTATTATTATATGCAAAATAATCAATTGCCTGAGCAAGTCCAACAATATAATAACGCACAATCGAATTTAACTGTTGATCCCCCACAAAGTTCAAATGAAAAACGACTGAAGATCGTTAAAGAAAAGTTGAACAAGATCAAAACTAAGAAGTTGAAGCTGCCAAAACCATCACCAATTAAAGGAGAATCGGAATCTACAAAAGTTTTACGAAGCATGGCTAATGTGAGGGAACGTCAGCGAACCCAAAGCCTCAATGAAGCATTTAGCGCCCTAAGAAAAATCATTCCAACACTTCCAAGCGATAAGCTAAGCAAAATTCAAACTCTAAAACTTGCGTCGAGGTATGTTGTCTTTTTTCATTTTTAAATCATTAACTCTGAAGAATTTCTCTTGAAGATACATATGATACTTTTTGAAAACCTTTTTTCATTTCCCCAAGACATGACGTTTTCAAGAGCTATGCTTTGAAATTTTAAAGATCATTTTATAGGGACTTCTTGGAAAATTTCTTGGAAGTTGGTATATTCAATTAAATATTCTTTTAAAATGGAATCCATAAAACCTTCAGACAAAAGAATTCGAGCGTAGTTCCGAAAACCGCATATGTTTCCTTTTAAAGCATAAACTTTTTGAAGAAAATGTTTTTGCTAATAAAATGTTTATATCCGCTTCTTTTGGCGTCTGTATTTTCAAAGCAAGAAAGAAAATATTTCATTTCACGACTTAACATTTCATCATATCTATCTTCAAGAGAAAAACAAAAGCAGAAAAATTTTACTCGAAACAAAAATGATTAATTACTGTGTGGAAAAGAGTTTTAAAATTTATTAAATCATCTTATTACAGCTACATCGATTTTTTGTATGGTCTTCTGGCAGGAAATGATTTGCATTTGGATGATAAATCGTCGATGTCATCTGCTTCAAGTTCGCCTGCACAATGTTCACAATTTCAAAATGGCAGTTCAGGGAGTCCTATTGTTCCCAATGAGAAGTTGAGTTACATGTTCAATGTATGGCGAATGGAAGGCGAATGGAACAGCTCGGCAGTTGGCAAGCTGGAGTAAAAAGAAAAATGAAAATACTTCAAATAATTCCTGGAAATACTTCATTAGATACTAGAACGTATTCGAAAAATGTAAAGTGATTAAAACTATTGTTGTTTTTAATAAAATCAAAAAGAAAAAAAATTAAAAAATTTCCATAATATCTTGAAAAATGCAATCATTGTTCAACTAAAAGCCAAAGAAAAATGAGTAAGAATAAAATGTTATGAAAACCTCTAAAATTAGAAATATTTGCTTGATGTATTTTTGTTCTTTTCTTTATCTTAATGCAAGGCGCGACTTGTCTCCATTTCAAATTCAATTTACTCACTCTATGAGTTGAACGAATCAACATTTCAAAATACTTGACATTTGTGTTTTAAATTAAAGAAAATATTAAACAGAATTATTGCGTGCTTGTTGTTTGAGGTAAACCAAACTAATATGCATGTTTTAAACTTTAACAAGGTAAAGAAATTTTATTCACATTCTCCTGTGATGTACAAGTTTTAGGAAATCTTCATGTCAATATTGTGTTTAACTGTATTTTGAAAAGAAAAACAGAATATCGTGTTAAACAGAGAAAGAATAAATTAATGCCAGTAAAAAATTGAAGGAAAAGTCAATAAAATTAAATTTTCATATATCATTTTCTTTGACTTATTGTAAACAAATATTTAGGGTAAGAAAACCAATGAAATGTTAAACTTTTTCTTCTATTATGTTCCCCTCCCTCTTTCCCCAACCAAAAAAAATAAACATTTTAATCGCCGCTAAAGATACGTCAGTCATGAGTTTGGGTACACAAAAAAACATAATGGCTCGTTTTTTATAAATATTTATTTTTTGAAAAAAACTTCTGAGAAAATCGTGAAACGAAGACGGCAGTCAAGCAAAGAATAAATTTACAACTTTTCAGTGATTAAATGTATGTCTAATGCTGTTCATGATTAGTTTATTTGTCTTAAATTGCATCATAAATCAATTTGATTGTAGGCCTCCATTATGAAAAAATACGTTTCCTTAGAGTGGAACCAACAGAAATTCTCTGTGAAAAATAAAATTAAAGGAAAAGATTGAATTGGGAAGAAATTCTTCTGTGAATCATTAGGAAAATACTAATATTCATTATCGTGAAATGAAAAAACCATTAACGCAGTTGCTTCTTGGCTGTAATAAACATAATATTTTTAATCGTTTTAAAATATCCAATCGTCATGTTTTAATAACATTTCCTTTGATTTTCGCCTAGCATCTACCTAATTTGTTAATTGAAATGAAATAAATACTTTGGAAATAATCTAATTAGCTTTGAGAATAATTCTTATAGTTTTAAATAAATATGTTATAATTCCCTGATGTTACACAAATATGCTTCCATAATCATAGTTTTAAAGTCGTAAAAAAATGTAAAACAAATAAACAATTTTCATTTAATCCCTTTGAATTTGAAATCGTAAAGAGTTAATTAGGAAATTGATATACTGATGAACATAATAATATTAACTATTTTACAGAAATGAAGAAAGTTGTATAAGAAAATTCGAAATGCTTCGAAAATGTCAGGCATTGGAACCTTTTATTTAACAGAACACATATGTATGTGAAATATGAAACGATCTGTTTCAAGTTAGTCATGGTGAAGTAAGTAACTTTATTTTGTTTCTTCAATGTCACTGCTTTTATCATCGTTGTCTCTTAATTTCATCGGATTAATGTTTTATGTTGCGCTGAAAATGAGATTATCATTCTTTCAAGGAAATTGAAATTAATGATTTTGAAAAAGTTTTACATTTTATTTACATTCAAGGTTTAATAAAAATGGACGAAAAAGGTAAAAAATGCCTTCAAATTTTCTTATCCCAATGAATAACAGTCAATGCTTCCTAGTGAAAAAAGGAAGAATATTCAGGCATGGTTTTTCACAAGAAGATCATAAACACACTCGGATGTAAATTATAAACAAAAATTTTTTTCTTTGAGTTGCCAAAGAATAGCCATGGGATGCCGTGGATAGCGCCTTGTTTTTTTAGTTCAAGGAAAGTTTTCTTTTTGAATTTTTATTTTTTTGTTATTCAAATCCTTAAAAGCGCCATGGATTTACGACTACAAACAAATTCTTTTATTATCCGTTTCTAAGGTCGGCCAGAAAAAAATTCCCAGCATGAAGAAAATGAAAAATAAATGCAAATTTTTATCCGTTTATTGAACATTTGCAAATTCCGTTTTTCATTATCGGAGCTCAAAAGAAATATGGAAATGACTTATAATTACTTTCCATGCAATAATATTCAAATTAAAAAGATTTTATGATTCGGTTCCTTTTTGAATTCTAAACTTTCTTTGACTTTTGGCATTAAATACAGAATGTGCGGCAAAAACCAATGGCAAATTTCTTTGAGATTACTATCAACATTATCAAATTATTTAACCCATTAAGAAACAAAATGAAACCTTGAAATGTGCTTGCAGCTGTTAGCGTAAATAAGCATTCAAATTTTGCGCATTTTAAAAGGAGTGTGAAACAAAATTTTATATTCGAAAATATTGAAGAAGATTCATTCTTCGATGCAATAGCTCGTTAGTTGAAACAAAAGGCTTGAATGCATAACAAATATGACAGCTTTACAATCCGACGAATGAGTATCAAGTGAACTTTAAAACATAACAGTTAGTGTATGAGGGAGATGTGAAAAGTTTCCGATCTTAAATGTCACAATTCGCCTTTTTCAGAATCTACTCATTTGTTTGCGTCTTGTTTAAGACAAGCAAAGATTCTTAATTTTATTTGTATAAGAAAAATGGTAAATTTTAAATAATCATCGAAACAAACATACATAATTACAAACATGAATATATTTACGAGTTACTAGAGAAAGATGAACCCAGTAGAGCGAAATCCTAAGAATACTGAATGATCAAAATTATTTATCTCCAAGTGTGCAGATGTTCAGTTTTCTCTTGTCATGAACCAAAAACGAAATAAAATTAACTTCAGTTGAAAACTTCTGGACAATTTTCATTTTTAAGGGGTGGTATATGAATAATATAATATTTAAGTTTATTTGAGCATTTTTCAATTTCGTACAATGTGACATTTCTTAAGAACGATTCAGACGCAACATGAAAATTATTTTTCGTCGTTTGTCTTCGTTAGAAATTAAAAATACTTGATGATCATTTCTCTTGTCGCTTTAACTTCTTATTGCTTTAGGTTTGAACATTTTTTTTTTCTGTATGTGGATTTATCGTTCTGCTTTGAAGTTTCCTCGTCTTTTATGTTTATTATTATGATGCTGTTTTAATTTCAAGAAGGTTATACATATTTGCACTTGATACTTAATTTAAAGTGAAGCATTAATTTGAATTTTAAGAATAACCGAGAAACATTGTGACATTTATATGTACGTTGTATGGTGATGTCAAAACTATTTCATTTATTGTCTTAATATATAAAATAATTCCTATATGCAAATAATTTCAGCTTAAAGAATCTACTGGACTCTAATACTCGATGAAATTTCTTTGAACGTATGATTTTGTGAAGAATTTCCTTTAGATTCCATTTGATCTGTACTTGCGACCTCCCAAGACGTCGCTTTTTATAAATTATTTGCTTTATCAGGTGTCTCTATGAAACGTGACGTTTTCAGAAAATTTTATTTATTTTCTACTTCATGGGAAAATAAAACGATGAGATGATGGGATAATTTATTAATTTTCAAAATGCCAGTAAGATTTTTTCCATTTTTTAGATAGTTATTATTTATCATGAAGAGTTTATATTGATCCAGTATTATTTTTAAATAAAATGAGAAATATAAAAACGATCAAAATTTGATTGATAATAGATTAAGATGCAAAAGAAAAGTTTTGTACCCCTAAAAACCTTGTGAAAATAAGTGTTTAACATTCTTTAGAGTGCAGGTTGCTTACAGTTTTTAATTACCTATATTGATTATTTTTAAGTCATAACAGAAATGGCAAATATGAAAGAATTTCTTAAATCGTTTGAATGCATTTTAAAATCGTGGACTCATAATGATGATGAGGAATCACAAATTAACCACGGAATAGAAATTAACCTTATATTTAATTGGGAGCGTAAGCGCATGTTAATTCATCTAGACCTGTTTCAGGATACCGATGCTAATGAAAGGTTTGTACAACTACAAATTATATTATAAAATTAATAAAAATTGGTATTTTAATTGTTCATTAGAATTTGCACAGAACAGTTAAAGATTCCTGCGAGAGGTTCTAAATCCCAATTTATTGAGGATATGAATGAAACACTAAGAGAACACACTCTCATTAACTTCAGATTCGGAATATCTTTTATCGAGGAAAAATTTCCAAATAAACCTTATTTCCGTGCACATGGGTGAGATATGTTCATGATGATTATAATATACTTAGTCTGGCATGACATAGGTAGTTTGTTTTTTCATTTAAAGTTGCGACAATCTCAGTGAGAAGGTTATGGATTTGTATCATAAGAAGCACGCGGAACTATTTGATGTCAAATTTGTCCATAAAGGCTGTAAAGTAGTGATGTATTTTTTTACAAGAACTGATGAAGAGGAAAGCTTCGTTATGAGTTGTGGATCATTTAATTATCATGCAACTAAAAGAATAGAAGATTATTTGGAATGCCCAATTACAATGGGGAGTTTCGCAGATTTTAAAATATGTTGCATCGGTGAAATAGATGATGAATCGTTTAGAATGACTGAAGAATGCGTTGGACAAGCGTTAGAAATTTTAAATGGTCATTTGAGATTTCTCGAAGAACAAAAAGAAGAATTCGGTATTATTACAAAAAAGACAAATGAAGAAATTGAGAAAGAATTCTATGAAACAGATTTCAATATCGAAAAAAAACAAGATGCCGAAAAAAGTAAAGAGACAAATCCTTCAAATACATTATGTGAAAGAAATCTTTCTCAGTCAAGTGTTGTTTATGTGGATCTAACAGATGAAAAAGTAGAAGATACTGAAATGGCTGTGGCAAGCTCCATGGCTTGGGAAGAATATGTTTTTTTTTGCCATACAAGTGACCTTGAAAGCGCACCTATTTGTAAGCACCGTCATAAAGATAGTATTTCTTCTTTTATTCATGACTTGAGAAGGTATAAACAAATTCAGGAAAAAGATGAGGAAAATACGATTTACGAATCACTTTCAGAAAAAGAAAAGAATATTATGAAAGCGTTAAGTGAAAGCTTACAGCTTAATAATTATGTTGTGTTTCGCCGCAATGTAATGCAAATGAATAATTTAAAACAAGTTAAAGCTTTCATTAAATTGTTAAAGGAAAAAGGAAAAACATTACATCAGAAAAAAAGAGAAAACAAAAAATTACAAAAGGAACAAAGAAAAAGTAAAATGTTACATCAGGTTAAAAGAAAACAGCTTTCACCAAGCAAAGGAATGCGTGCTTTTGACACGATGGTGCAAAAGATGAAACAACATCATATTGATGACGAAGTTAATATTGTTGATGAAATTCCTCCAGAAAATGATCCAAACATTGTTCGGCTGAGGCGATTGTATAACCCCGAACCACCGCAGGAGCCTCACCCCAAAAGTAACAAAAAATCAAACAAAACTAAATCTAGATCAAAAAATAAAAATTAATTTTTTAGAGTTTCAGAGAAATATGTAAATTGATAATTTTTTGATCTATACAAATACTTTTCTTTCATTCTTCTATTCAGTGTCAAAAATTGAGTCTATCTATTGTAATAAGTAAAATTGATTGTTTTCTAATATTAAGATTGATTAAACAGCTAATTTTCATGTAGAAGAAGGTTCCAGAAAACATGTTCGTATTGGTTCTGCTGTCTTAATATGAAAGTGGTATGACGACAAATTGTTAAAGTTTTCTATCGTTTAAGAACCTGAACAACATATCAATAGATAATAAATCATATCAATCTAACAATTCGCTTAGAAGTTCTTATAATCCTGAAAAGGCAATAAATTAATTTTGTTAATTATCTATGTTTCCATAAGTTTTCATGGAAAATTATTTATTTTTCTCAATATCTATTTCAAATTAATGACGAAATAACATGATGTTGGGCAATTTAGTTTTCATCGTCACTTCATTGCGTTTCATTTATAATTCGTTTCAATTATAGGAAAAGAAGTCGAGAAAATTATGATCTTGTCGAGTTTTTTTTTCAATCATGTGAAAAGTTACCCCAGTGAGTTGACTTTGGTGAATGTTTCTTGTAAGAAAAATATTCATAGAGTCATATAGCTGTTTAACTGGGGTTTGGTGTAGAAATTCTCCTTCATATATTGTTATTCTTAGTTAATAAACTAAAAGAGAAAAAAAGAAACTTCAAACACATGTTTCATGAGATTCAACATCATTTTGTTCGTAGAAAACAGAAATGTTTATAGTTTATGAACTGAAAGGCGTTAGACAGGGATGAAACACTTGTGGTTATCTGATAAAATTCTTTATTTTCTATTGAATTAGTATCTTTGGCCCTGATCATCAACGAAAATTCGTCAAACATATGCACAAGAAAAATAAAAAGCGATTTAACCAGTAGAGGAAGAAAAACTCATAATGACATTTTAAACGTTTTTTGTCTATTTTCTACATGAGAAAAAATAAAAAATAATACTTTCATTGTATACCGACGGAAAATGTAGTAATTAGATGTCTATGTAAAGTTAAAGTTATAAGGAAACAGTTTGAAGAAACTAAACAAGATAAAGAATAATTTATGTAAGAAAAACCATGAAGACGATATTTATATTTTTAGTATAGAAATAAAAAGACTTGAAACTAAATAAATTTTAATAATTTTGTAAAATTAATCTTTATTTCATCAATTTACAATATTAAATTCAAGAAAACATTTTCATTCGTTTCAATATAAATCCAGAAAATCATTTCTATCTAGAAAAAGAAATCATTTTCCATCATTCTATTGTAATATTCGCAAAAGAATTTAAATGTGAAATAAATAACTTTGACACATCATCAACATATTTAAAGGAAAACGCGATTAAATATAACGAATAGTTGTGATGCGACAGCAAACGTTTCGCTAGTATAAACTTTTCAAGTGTAGTTTTCCGCTTTCAATTGAAGTAGAAATACATGAAACAAAGTTTTTTTAATAATAAAATGAAGTGGCAAAAAAATAACAGATTAACAGATTCGAGTGCTTTTCTAATTATTTGTTTACATTTTTTTGATATGTTCTTGTGAAAATGTTATTAAGAAACAACTTAAAGAATATATCAAATGTTTTGCTTCGATTTTCCTTACTTTTTTGATTTATATTTTTATTTATTTTGTTTTTTCTTTCAATGGCCGCTAAACAAGAATTTTTTTTACAAAACCTTATATGATCTTGTATACTCAGTTGTAAATTATAATAGATTTAACACACACGTATATATAAACGCCATGTTGTATGTCTTAAAAATCTGTATAGACAACTGGTGGAACCAGTTTGGAACTTAAATTGTCCATGTTGATTGGACGATAGAAATCTTTAAATTCGTTAAATGGACGAGCTGCATTGTTATAGCTCGATGTGTAGTTTGGAAGCGGCGTGCTGACAATCAATGGTAAAGGTTTTGGTGTCTGTAAGTGCGGAACCATTGGAGTTGGAGCTGGTGCAGTCTGTGCAATGGTTTCCGGAGTTTGAACTGAAAGAGCTGGGAAACCAAACGGAGCTGGTGAAGTGTTGAAAATTGGCACTGGACTTTTACCGCCTGACTTTCCTCCAATGGTAATTGGTGATTGAGCTGGAACTGCTGCGCCAGGGGGAACAGGAACAGCGGCATCCAATTGAATTTGCTTTTTCAATATACCAGTAGTTACTGTTGACGCATTCAAACCAGTTCTCTGAGACATTGTTTCGCTTTTTGATGAAATAATTTTTGTCTTCTGCACAACTGGTGCAATGGCCATTGGCTTTTGTTGTGACTGCGGCTTAGCACCATAATTTTGCATTGAATTTTGATATGGCTTCGGTTGTGCTTGTTGAACTGGTTGAACTGGTTTTTTTACAGGTTCTGGAGCTGCAGCAATTGGTTGAGGCACTTGTGAAAAACTCAACGGTATTGATTGTTGGGGAAGAGAAATTTCTTTGAAATTTGATGACGTCGTAGTTGATGAAAAGTTCGAAACATGTTCGGTAGTCATTGATGTTGTTGTAGTTGATGAAATAACTGGGATTTCTGGCGGAGTATAAATTCCTAAAATTGAATAAATTCATTAATTTTTAATTTAATTATGTTTGATCGTTGTAAGTATCTAGGAATTAAATTAAATAATTTAACGAAACTTTTATCAATTAATGAGTTAAAGCGACTTGCCTCGCTCAAAAGTGTTTATAAGAGCTTTAACTGGAATTGTTTCGTATTCAGTCGATGATTCCTTACTGTCAAATTCCATAATTAATTCCTTTATTGGCTCATCATAAACATTTGTTTCAACTTCACCACACCGAACTTGATATTCAATTAATGGTGGTGTTGGTGTGTTATTTCTTATTAGTTCCAGGTATTTTTGTTGACTAGCATAAATTTGTGACATCTCTTGTTCCACAGTCTCATCAGGAATAATTTCACTAAATTCTGGGATTTTCGAAGCAAAAGCATTTATAAGCAGGAAATGTTAAAAAAGCTTGCAAAGCAATTAAAAAACTCTCACTATTTATTTTAGTTCAATGAACTTTGATTACCTGCTGGCAAAGTTACTGGTGGTCTATTCCAACCTTGTGGAACATTTGGACGATAAGCCAAGTCACGAGCACTCAATTGTTCTTTTATTTGCTTCGATGATTGATACTAAAATTCGATAATGGAATAAAATAATAATTAGGAGTATTTGAGATGAATTTACTTGAACATCTTTCTTAGATGATCCATAATCAAATTGTTGAACTTGATCAACAGATGCAGAGTAGATTTGTTGCTGTTGTTGGTTTGCTTGCTGTTGAGCGTAATTCACAAAAGCGTTATCAACTGATCCAGTCTCAAGTGCAGCTTCCCAAGGCGAACGCACCATCTTAACTCTTGGTTGTTGATATTTCTCTTGTATTTGATCTAACTTCATGTTATGTTGCACACGTTGCGTACCAACATCCGAGAATGCACTGATTGATGATGCTGGAGTTGTTGGAGTTGCTGATGGTGTTACTTTCGATCCATCGACGACCCATTTTTCAGCCTTCTTACGACGTTTTGCAAACAATTCAGCGCCTACATAAATTTCAGAAAACTTAAGAAAATTTATTTTTTTTAAAACTCTTTTTTTTTATCCTACCTTTTCCTTTAGGTGCATTGAGTGCATTGACCAGTTCATAACCGAATTCTGGTGACATCGGAGCAGGCTCATAACCATACTGACGAATCGAGTTAAGATCCTGAACATGACGTGGATCCATCACCAATTTTAAAGGAACTTTTTTTGGTTCAATTTCAGCACCATTTTGATGTTCCAAATTAAATTGTTGTTGGTTTTGTAGTGGTTGTTGTTGTGATGAAAATTGTTGACTTGATTCAAAACCATTTTCTTTGGTTTCATGATGTTCTATAAGAAATTAAAAATTAAATATTTCTGAACTGACAGAAAATTTTACACATTAATACCTTCAATGAATCTTTCTTCTTCATGGCCATCGTCATGAATCCATTTGACTGATCGTTTTTTACGGTTAACATACATGGATTGACCTTTTGACGTGTGATTGCTGATGTCACTTAGCGAATGTGAGATTCGCCTCGCGAGTTCAACTTGATCTTCCACTGTTGGATGAATGGTGGGGGAGTAGAATGACGATGATGCGAAGAGTTTACCTTTAAATTTTATGATATCAAACATTATCACAGATAAAATTAAATTCATGCTTTATTACGATTTTTTCCTGGGAGAATCTCATCAACATCAGTAGCTGGCGTAAAAATCTTTTGCAAGTCGACTGGCTTCTTTCCATCCAATACTTCATCCTGTAAAGAGAATGGGAATTAATGATTAAATGTCAACTTTGACAGTGCTGAATGCATCATTAATCACACCCGTTTCGTCCAAATCTGCTTGCTTAAGTCGACGAGAAAAGATTTTTTTTTCGGATCAAAGCGATCAGTTGGCTTAAAACCACGCTTTGTATCAATTGCTGATACTGTTTGAGATCGCTTGAGGCTGCTGCCAATTTTCTCTTGGCTATAAGTGTAGGTCTTCTTCATCGAATACATTACGGTTATTTCGTTTTTCTCATTTAAGTCTAACAACAAAAATATTCAAATCATTTCTCAATCTAACACAAAACACCTGTTTCGTAATTTTGACAAGATCACGAACGACATAATGAGATTCAAGAGCGCGAAAAGAAAATTTCTTGAGATTATTCATCCGCGAGCACTGAGAGTTAAGGATTTTGGTTGGTTTTTATGAGTGATTTGTGGACACAAACAATTTCACTCTCTTTGCTTTTCAACGATCAACTTTTCACTTCTCTTCACGAGAAGTTTTATTTTATTTTATCTTGAAATGATGCTGCTCTAATTTTCTTTCTTTTTTTTCTATTATTTGAGTTGGTCAAAAAGAAAGAATGGAAATATTTTGGGAATAAGTTTTTCTGTTTTAAATTGTGGCATTTATTCTTAGATCCACAGGAAGTTTCATTCAAGAAAAGAGACTTTGCTTGTCAAATTTTAAAAAAAATTCATTTAACTGGGACAGTGAATTTTGCATAACTGACGTTTTTTTTTTCTTTTTATAGGACAACGGGAAAAAAACTAATTATAATTACATTAACTGTGAATATTTCGTTCGATTTACTAAAAATTCAAAATCAACTAAAAATAATTTCTTATAAAAACATTCTGTTATATTTTTATACACTTTATTGTTCCCACAAACCCTAAGGACCCGTGAGAATTTTCATTCGAGTTGTTTTAAACTTTGCAAAAATTCTGAAGATTTCCACACTCTAAGAAAAACGAATTTCAACTGAAAAGTTGTACAGAAATGTTTGAGGGAAATATGAAAAACCGCGATTTTTTTCTTTTAGTCGATCATATTATTTTTAGAAACAGTAGATAGATATTTTGGTATACGCTACACTAGAAACTTTCGCTGCTCTTCGATCCGATTACATAGCATTTCGTCTCTGTTTTGACTCTTTCTTAAAGAAAACTAAGCAATTTATCTTTAAGAGAACTAAGCAACTTCACCCAACAATTTTATTGGCATGACGCCAAATTAAAAATCATTTTGATCATAAAATTATACACAATTGTCTGAAAATGATCTTAGGCGTTAAAAATTTTAGAAAGGTCAAACTTCAACATGTCTTGACAATAAAATATTTTAATAGAGAGAAAAAAGTTTGAGGGGTAACTCATAATATCAAATGATATTGTATTAAATAAATATCTCAATACAAATAATGCAATTGTAGATTGCAACTAGCGCCTTCCTAAAATTTTGTTTTTTTATTATACGTATGTTAAAAGTTCTTATAAATGGCCCCTTGTATGCAGCCATGGAAAATTCTCTGATCTCAACCAAAATATCTCGGCGAAAACTTGTGGCAAAACTAGGTAGGAAAAACACTCTCAAATTTTCAACAGAGAATAAGGAATGAGAGGCTTGACTGAGGCAACTAAGATATAAGTCAAGCCGATATAGTCAAGTGCTTATTTGGAGTCAACATCAGTTAAGTCAAGTAACTTACATTAGAATTATCAGCTTGTTCGTCATTTGTGATGTTCACATTCTTCTCAATGTCAGTGATGATCTCGTTCAATTGTTGCTTAATGCTTTCTTGTTGAATTTCTTTACTGGCTTCTGAGTTTTTCTAAAATATTAAAGATGAAAGTATTAGGCAAGAGATGTTTCACACATGTTCTTATTTTTCAATAAGTATTGAAAGTTGTAAAAATTTATTGCAAACAAATGATGACGGATAAATTAAAACAGATTTAATATAATTACCAAAACTTCTTGTTCTTTTGGTTTTTCATCGTTTAACACAAAATTGTTACTTTCACTTTTATTTACGTCTAAAATCTGTGCTGGCGCTGTAGGTGGAATAATTGGCGCCATTATCATATCCACAAGAGGAATCTCGAGACCATCGCCAGTGGTCGCACTTTTTTCCTAAACATTAAATTAACTTAAGTATTAATATTGAAAGAAAAATTGTTTTGAAAAATAATTCCAATCAAGAATGACAAAATGCCAAACGCTAAATTTTTTGTTAGTAAAAACTTGTTACAAAAATCAAAATTTGATTTGAAGTCTGCATCGTTAATTTCAAATCTTACATCAGGTTTGATCTCTTCTTCCGGTTTTTCATCATGGATTGTTATATCCTCGTTTGGTTGTTCCAAAGATCTTTCTTGAACGACCGTGTCATCAACTTTTGTTTCATTGTTAATTATAGCAGAAGCAACTTCTTGTTGGGTTTTAATTTCATCGTTAGTTTTATTTTCGTTTGAATCAAGACAATTTCGTACTTCTTCTTCTTCTTGAAGTTTTGGTAGGATTTCAGGATTGGTTTGGGAATTTTCTGCAGTGGCTTCTACCTTAGTTTCAGGAGTTTTCTCTGCAGCTTCTGGTTTCTGAAGTTCTGCTTTTATTTCATAATTTGTTTTGGAACCATCTGCAGTGAGTTCTATAATAGCTTCGGGAATTTTCTCAGGAGCTGTTGTTTCTTGAAGTTTTGGTTGGATTTCAAGAAGTGGCTGGGAAGCATCTGCAGTGAATTCTGACTTAGTTTCAGGTTTTTCTTCAGTTTTATTCTCTTCTTGTTTTGGTTGAATTTCACGAATTTCTTGAGAAATATCAAAATTCTCTGCTAGCTTAGGTTCGGCAGTTTTTTCTTCCACTTTTGGCTCTACGTTTTGTTCCGACAAAGTTTTATCAGCTTCATTTGACGGAATATCGTGTTTCACTTGACTTAAATCAACAATGTTCAACTCATTTTGATTACTTTTCTGATTCGAAAAATTTTCGCCTTGCTCTTGACATTCGACCTTTTGATTTTCAACACTTTCATCTTGTTCATTTTCAACACATACACCTTCACCATTTTCAGCTGTTTTATCTTTTATATCTTCGCTTGATGTGACGACATCCTCCACGTTCTTAATTGCTACGACAGATTCTTCTGGAATTGGTACTGTCGCTTCCTATTTATGTACAATTGATTTGCAATTACTAACAATCCAATTCAAGTAAACCAAATGAAATCAGCAGGCAGTTGAAGAAGCAAAGCTCATTGAACTTGACACATCACAATGAGATGATGAGATGATGGCGATAGAGAATTTACATTTCAAAGTAAAATCAAACAAAATATTTCACAATCACAATGATGAACATAAACATCGTTAAGAGATAGATTTGCAAGTAGGTGAAAAGAAAATAAAAGCAGATGAAAACAGAAAAAAGGGACGAACATTTTAAATACATAAATCTTTTCTCGTGTATCGTATAAGTGAGAAATTATAAGCTACGTCCATTAACAAATGAAAAACGTACGTGGTGAAATGATGCGAGAAATTAAAATTTCAACTTGTGTTAATAACAGAAACAATGATTATTTGTAATGTTGAACTCACCACGACTACAGAAGATGACGAGAAGGATTCTTGTTTTGTTTCCTCCACAAGACTGCAAAATTTTAAATCAGTAATGATTATTTTATAATTATTCTTCCATTTACCTTCTCTGCTGATAATTTTGATCTCCAGATCCACTTTTTTGGACACTTTGTGTCACAGTCTTTTCCTTGTCTACTGAACTTTCAATTGTTCCATTAGCAACTTGTTCAACTTTTGATTCGTGAGAACTTTCAGTAAAAGATGTAACCGTTGGGGGTGCATGATCAACAACGTCAGTTGAAGATTCCATGATAGAACTTAAGGGGTTTGAGAACTGATTTTATACCTTTGAAAACAAAAAATACTAATTTTAATATTAGGTATGCTTTAAATTTTTAAATTTGGTGTAAAATATAAATTGAATTGAAAAGCAAATAATGATTGTCAGGAAATAATCTCATAAAGTTCAAGGACTTCCTTTTCGAATATAAACAGACAGTTTTCAATGTTTTCATTACACTCCTTCCGGTTATTTTTATTGTAGAATTTACTACACAACTCAAGACGTCTTCATTTGTGTCTTTTCGGCCAAAATTATGTTTAAAAGGTTTTTTTTATTTAAATTTACGTCAAGGAGAGAATTGAGACTTAATTTGAATAAATAATCTTTTCATCAATTATTCTTTTCCTTTAAAGATGCATTTTTCACTTAAAACAAATGAAATCGCCTCTAAATAGGATCGACGACGCACTGCTTTCACTTGGCATTAATTTTGTGAATAGAGTTTAATAATAGTAAATTATTGTTATTGGCTTGAGTTGTTTTGACAACGACATCGTTTTGTAGCAATTTCAAACTTTATTTACGATGCTTTGAACAAAAACATTTGCAGCTTTTCATTCATATTTTAATAAACTTAGGCACAGAATTACGTTATTCGTGTCACTAGATAATTCGAGATCATAAAAGTTTATAATTGCGAGTTATAAGTTTGCCATTTCGCTTAAAAACAAAAGAAAACAAATTTGAATGGCAGATGGCACGCTGCCAGACAACAATCAATGTAACTAAAAATTTTAAACATTGATAACTAAGTTACATAGTTTTATTGGAATTCGATTGAATATTTCTAACGAATAAGGATCTTTTATAGAAATTTTTTTCCAATTATTTCATAAAATTTTACAGTAAAATTTAAAGTTGTAAGAAATTGCCAAAAAGGCTTTTTTTATTCAGTGCGTAGATTTATATTTCGGTGATTTTCAATACATATCTCAAGTTCCTTTTAAAAATATCTCGTTGAGTCGGCGTTGAGTAAATTATTATCTAAAATCATTGATTTAAAATTATAAAAATTTAAACGACTGACTGTTTGTTAAGCTGATGATGAATGAATATAATGAATGAAGAGGCCAAACAAAGTGAGATTTCTTGAAGATATTTAACAAACTCTTTACATTTGAAAATTTTCAGTTAAGCCAAAGAAAATTTCAAGACCACACTAAAGTAGATATTTTCATTTTGTAAAAAACGATTCAACAAAAGAAATGTGAAAAAAACGAAATGTTTTCCTCTCCACGAATAAACAGCAGACACGATTCTAATGAGGACCACAACCTACTTAAGTTTCAATTTAAGCGACTTAGAGTTCATGGAAATTACATTTGAGAGATCAAGCGAGAGATAAGTAAATAACTTGCTGCTGTAGGGAGATTATAAGCTTAAAAGTTCTGGTTGATTCATTAATTGAGCGTTGGCTGTATTCATGTTAAATTAAAAATTCAACAAACTGCATAGCTTGCATTTCATTCACTCATTTGTTTATTAATCTTCATACTAATCTCCGCAATGAAATTTAAATGATTTTGGTTTTTGTGTGAGTTTTCCTCTCCACAGCGAGCTTCAACTGCATCTAAGAAAAGATTTTTTAGCACCGAACGAAAATTTTCGATCAAGATTTTTCATTGTTACGGTAGAGTTTTCTTTAACAGATTTTATTTTAATAAATTTTCAATCTCCAAAAAAAAAGAACAACCTGTTTGTTAAGACGCTTGCTACACTATTTTGAATATATCGATATTAATGACACTTCATTTTTAAGTTATGGCTCATAATTTGCATTAGCGAATGTTGAAGTTCACAAAGAAAGAAAGCAGAAATTTTCACTTAAATAAAATTATGTATCAACTCACTTTTCTAATTCGTGAAAAATCTTTAATCTTATGCTCCGTACTGTTTTATTTTTATAAAGATTTCAAACTGTAGGAAAAGAAAGAAAAAATAATCGTTGCTTTGTTGGGCCTTTCTGCTATTTAAAGATCGTGTCTCTTTCTTTTTTCCACTTTGCTTCACTTTTCATTTTATAATTACCAATTTAAACAAAAAAAAAGACGTACGAATTAAATCAGAAAAATTCCACAATGAAAAATCGATCACAACTTTTAGATGTTTTACAAGAAAATTCGTTTTGAAGCTTTTTTAAAGTCTTGTTTCCAATCATTAATTTCCTTTCACCCAATCATGTTGCATTTAGATACTTTTTACTACGCACCGTTGATAGGCGCTGCAATATTTTTCGGCGAGTTTTCTTTTTTCACTGAAGATTTTTTAAGATTATTTGTAGCTTTCTCTTGGTTCTATGTGCCACCAGATCAAAATCAAAACTGAATATTCAAGAGATTTTTCCCCACAAAAAAGTATCACACGAGACACCCGAACACGATTGAATTCATTTTCTTTCTCGTGGATGTAAATACATGTACGTGCCGCTTTTCCGTGAAATATTTTTCGCAAGTTCAGAGTTTGTAAACCAAAGAAAATGTTTCTTTCGCTAGATGAGATCGCGTCTAAATACCGCACTACATCTTATCTTCGGTTTCCCTTGCGAGCTGCGAAGAAACATTCTGTAGATGTGTACGCACACATCTTACTTCTTTCTAAAATATATTAATAGAGCATTGCTCTAGTTTGTGAAATATGATGAGAAGTTCAAACACTGTTGGTCATGTGTAGAGGTTTTCAAGCCAAAGTATTATGTGGTTGAAGGAGAGCGCTAAAAAGTGATGTTTATCAATAAAATATTCTGTTGTAAAGCAAAATCATTTGTAATATTTAAGAAAAACTCATTAAATGAACAATATGTATTGGTTTAATTGTTAAATTTGTTCTTTCGTGCACATGAAGGAAAAACAAACAACAGATTAATCATAAAATCTGAGTGGCTGCAGTTTAATGTTATTTCGATCATAAAACGATATTCAATACTATAAGCATTTGTTTTGGTTAAAAAATCTTTCATAGACCTTCCGTTATATTTATGATTCTTTCAATGAAAAATTTTTGATACCAATACATTAGATATTCCCCGATATTTGATCAGATACTCTTAGATATGTTTTTCGATTGCATAAATTTTTATTCCCCTCGCCTACTCAGAAGTTGTGTAAACATTTTAAGAAAGATGTTGTTGTCTATATTTTGTTTAGAGTTTTTGGTGCCTTTGTTTGAAAATTTCGATGTTTTTTTATAAAATTTGCTTTACTTTTCTCAAACGAACTCATTTCTTGTCTTATCTGAAGCAAAAAGCGATGAAAAATTTCGCAGCCGTCAAACGCAGCACATTTAGGAAAAATAAAGGAAATAAATGAATGTTTGTATTACGAAATCTTTTTTAATAATAACATGATGAAGTTGTTGCTTCAATACAGTTCAAACGTCTTTGTGTAGAAGAGCTTTACAATTTTTATGTTGCAATAGAATTCATTTATAACTTTTGAATTTTCAGAATTATAAGATGGAAGTAAATATTTTTACCTTACACATTGTTTAATTCGGAGGATTCGGGGGAGTATCCGGAATTATAATAATAATAAAATTGTCCGATACTTTCTGTTTACATTTTCTGCTGCTTCAGTTTGCGTCAATTAACGCTTCATACCCGGAAAGTAAAAGTGCGACTCATTTATCATGAGTAAAATAAGTATGGCGAAGTTTTTTTTCTCTGAATGTATGTCATTGAGACATTTTCATTAGTTTTTCTTTTTCGTGTTTCAAAAAATTTCTTTTTTGCTCGTAAACACTTACAAAATATTAACGAGTTCATTGACTGTTTGAGATTGAATTAATTTCCTTGCAAGATAAAATAATTTTATCTATTTCTGTTTATTATTTTTTTTTTCACACACACCGGTTGGCAGCCAACCTGTCTGCAATTTTTTACAAACGAATGCTATTTAGTTATTTATAATATAAACATTCGTGAACCGCTATCACACCTGAGGTTTATTTTGGCAAAACTTACTAAAAAAAACTCACGTGAGGTTATGTAAGGATTAAATTCTTAAATTAAAAATGTATTGTTTTAGAAGTTTAAAGAAAATTAGAAATTTAAAATAGCAAAGTATATTTTAAGTCTTTTCCTGATCTATAATAACGACATATTTGTTAGTTTTTAATTTGAGAATTTTAAAACATATGTCTACAGCTTAGTTTGAGAAAAGTCAAGTATAGCAAAGACAAAGCAAATGCCTAGGAGTAATAAAACGAAGAGCTAAATTTTAGATTTGTTTGGAAAATTTATATTAAGCTCAGTTGGATGATCTGAAAAGAAGATTTATTTGTTCGAATTCGTTTTCATTGAGAATCATTAATTACTTTGCTAAAATCTTCGAAACACTTAAATTTGTTGATAAATTATTCTCTGATGAAGGAAAATAATTCTTAAAGAATTATGGGGCAATTCTAACGAAAGATTAATAATGAATTAGTGTATAAAGTATCATACGGTATGATCGATATACTCGTTACATATATCAATAATTTCATACAATCACTTATGGCATCAAATAAAACATTACATTATTGGCTCTTAGGAATATTATTCTTTATTTTCGCTAAAATTTATAATGAAATCTTTATAATTTAATATTTCTTTTCCTGAGTGTCCAATGACTTCAAGCATTTCAATGTTAGAATTTCTGGAATGTTTGTTAAGATTATCNGGGGATGATATTCCTTTCAATTTTCCTATTCTCAATTTCAATTATTGAATATTAATAATATTTTATAAAATACTGCTTACCTCCGCAAGGAGGAAAAAGTTTTAGAAATAATTCCACTTCCATCATAATAATCACTACTTAATTATCAATTCTCAGATATTTATTCAATTGAAATAAAACAACACGAAAAATAATTAATCTTTCATTTCAGGAATTGACTTTAAAATAAAAACAGTAGAGTTGAGAGGAAAAAAAATTAAATTACAAATTTGGGATGTAAGTCGAAATGTTTTAAAATTATTTACTCTATTAATTTATCTAAAGAAATTATTTTGAAATTTCAGACAGCTGGCCAAGAACGTTTTCACACGATAACCACAAGTTATTACCGAGGAGGTATTTAAAATATTTTTATACAATTTTAATTGATTACATTTATGACTATTTTATAGCCATGGGAATAATGTTGGTTTATGACATAACAAACGAGAAAAGCTTTGAGAATATAGTCAAGTGGTTAAGAAACATTGATGAACATGCAAATGAAGATGTTGAAAGAATGATTCTTGGAAATAAATGTGATATGACTGATAAGAGAATTGTCAGTAAGGAACGAGGAGAGGCGGTAAATTCATTACTTTTTATTTATTCTTTTTGATTTGACCTAAAGATATATTTTTTTTTTCAGATTGCTCGAGAATATGGAATACGTTTCATGGAAACATCCGCTAAAGCCAACATCAACATTGAGAAAGCATTTTGCGAGTTAGCCGAAGCAATTCTTGATCAAACTTCGGGCAAGGAAAATAATCCCGATAATCAGTCCATTGTGGTTGATCGAAAAGCACAAGAAAAGTATCCTGCATACAAAGGATGTTGTTCTTAAACTCATAAATCTACGTCATACACGCTTCTTTGTCACTTCATCAATGTCAAAAGATGTTTTGTTTAAAAATAATATTTTCCTTATTTATTTTTAATTATTTACTTAATCTTTTTACTACCAGATTCCTTTAGATAACAATAAATCAATGTAGCTAATTTAACGTGTTGTTATTTGATTTTAATTTAAAAGTAATGATTCGAAATAAAAATTTTCCTAATGAAATTTTTTTCCGCATTAATTCAAAAATTTTGAGTTGACATTTCATCTAATTTTATAAAAATAGATTGAAATTCTGTGAATGCTTATGGACGAATAACTACACTAACTGTAATAAAACAAGCGAAACATGTTTCTTGTCAAGTTTTTTCCCAGCTTTAACTTTAACATCGTCGTCGTCAAAAGTGTACGTTTTTGAAGAATCCTGTGAGTTATTTGACAACACAACGGGAATGAAAAAAAATTAGAATGATGGGAATGTTAACAATTCATTTTATTTAGATCTTATATATATTAAAGATTTTAATTCGATTTATCAGTAAAAAAGTTTCATTAAAATTCTCTATTCCTGAAATTTACTGAAGTTTAATATTCTCGAAACTTTTAGTTTTTATGCATACCGGTTCATCATGAAATTTTCATTAGCTTAACTTCTTTGAATTTAATTATTAAATGCTTACAAAAGACAAACGATAACAATATTAACAAAAATAATATTCATGACTTAAACTTAAACTTAAACTTGATATTTGTGAGTCTCTGATGTTTCTGCTTTACATTTCGCTGCGATAAAAAATGAGAATAATTTTTTTTTTGTTCTGGTTTAATGATTGCTGGTTAAAAAATACATGCTTGATTTTCACCCTATGAAGCTTTGGGGCAATTCTAACGAAAGATTAATAATGAATTAGTGTATAAAGTATCATACGATATGATCGATATACTCGTTACATTATGTCAATAATTTCATACAATCACTTATAGCATCAAATAAAACATTGCATTGGCTCTTAGGAATATTATTCTTTATTTTCACTAAAATTTATAATGAAATCTTTATAATTTAATATTTCTTTTCCTGAGTGTCCAATGACTTCAAGCATTTCAATGTTAGAATTTCTGGAATGTTTGTTAAGATTATCCATTAAAAAATTGATGGATTTTTTACGATCCCAGCCATAACGTGTCATACTATCTATAATATCGAGAAAACCAAAAGGTGGTGGAAGCTTTTGAATATCATTGATAAGATTTTTAAGTAAATCAAGTTGGTTGCGCTTAACAAATACTCTGGAAAAAGCTGGAAGGTACATCTTGCGTGTTAAAATTGGAAATTCAAGGACTTGGTGATAACATTCGAGAGTCTCATTAAAGTTTTTTCTCAAGAGTTGCAATTCTACCTCATCAATGGAAGGAAGCTTATGAGAATGTAAACATTTTTCATCATTGCATTTCCGATTTGATAAAAGCATATCTGGGCATGTGTTGCGGAAAAACAGTAATAGCAAAATATTTAAGCTCAATTCTTCTTTGTTATTGCTGACATTAATATTTTCTGCTTCATTCTTCTTTGTTTTATTATCCTTTACTTCATGACTTTGATGCGAATTCGATGTTACAGATGGATCACTGCTTAACAATATTTTTGATTGCGTTTCATTTTGACATATTCCGAAGGTTGAAGGAATATTCTCAGGAACAGGATCAATAAAATTTGGAAAGAATGGCTTTTTCGGAAGTTTAAAGCTGCTTAATGGTTTCATAGCATTTCGTTTTTCCATCTGAAGAAATGTTTTATTTTTCAAAAGAAATTAGAACTGAACTTAATAACTCACATCTTTCTTTTCATTATTGTAATAAAATGCAGTTCGTACTTGACGATAGTTGAAACCAAGAGACAATGGATGGGGTATAAATGGTTTGATTCCTCGTTCTTTAGCGTTGACAGATTTCTCCTTTGAAGTTTTCAATGACTTTTGATTGTCTTCTTTTTTAAGATATGAATTTTTTTGTTTTTCATTACAAGATTCTCCGCAAATGTGTATATTCTTTTTCTGATTGGAGTACCGCTTAATAATCCTTTTGACAAATTTCGATGCAAGAATCTTTACATCATTTATCTCAACATTTCTTAGATTCGAATCAACGTGACCTTCCATTGAGAACGTTTTAATTTATAATTCAATTTATTTTTAAAAATCCTTTTCTAAATTACGCGACTGTTCTACTTGTATTTTAAAAGAAAACTAAAACTGTTTGAACTACCGGGACTGAAGAGTCGGTTAAATTTTGAACTTTAATTTTAGTTTTAATAGGAAACCCTGATAACAACAAACAAATTTCAATTCACTTTTCTTATCTCACATTTCAATCGTTCTTTTCACCTGCAATCAATTGCTTTTAAATAATTTTTAGTTCCAGTCTTGAGCTGTTCGTCAAATATAAAAGGTAAGTGATGAATATTCTGCAACTACTAAATATTCAATTAGCAACCGACCTGCAATTTGCTTCAAACCTTTGTACAGAAAGCAAATTAAAATAAATAGGTAAAATTGTTTTCAAACAACGTCGCGATTATTCAATATATCTAGTTAAGTTGTTGTTAATTTTTCTATCAAGCTTCCAATGAATTCAGCACCAGTTTTTGAAACATTTTTGTCCTAAAGTTGTCCTAAACTCTCGAAAATTCAATATTCAATGTTATTTACTTCATATTTCATAACTTCAACCATGCCATCAATAAAAATGCACATTGCTAATTCTATCTCTCTCTCTTTTCTAAATTTCGTTTTCATTTAAATCGCGTTCTTTTAAAAAGTGAAAAAAAAGTCGCGTGTAAAATTTTTAATTAGGTACCTAATTTAAAAATAGTAATAATATTAGGTAACATAGGTACAGAGTTGGGCGATCCACGATATTTCGCTCTAATTTGGATCGCCGATCCAATTTTCGCGATCCAAAATTTCGAAAGTGGATCGGCGATCCGATCCACGATCCAATATAAAAAAAATTGCCATGCCCTTTTCTCTTAAGCGTCAGATTTGTAGAACATTTTTCTACCCCTTGTTTTTCAAAGGGACAAAACTACGATTTTCTAATAAGTTTCCTAACCCTTTGGCGTAACTTGTAGTTTTGCCCCTTCAAACACTAAGGGGTAGAAAAATGTTTTACAAATCTGACCCTTAAGAGAAAAGGGCACGGGAAAAATGGAACGTGGATCGGGTCTTCGATCCATTTTTTTCATGGATCGGCGATCCGTTCCACAATTTATAAAAAATGTAAAATTTATAGTCTATTGTTTCATTCATAAAGATAAAAAGATATGAAAAAAACACACAATTTCTGTCAGACATTACCATGAATCAAAATGATCATCATGAAAACAGAGAAAGATTGCTCGTGTTGGTTTCATTTGCACAATCATCGATTTCTACACAGAAAATGTTGAAAAAAATAAACAACGTGCTTGAGTTTTACTGTTTGCATACACGTTCTCATTTCAAGGGGTTGCAAATTTTTAAAATTTTAAATTTTTTGTTGATTTTATCTGCTTTCTTCACTCCAGTAATTGTTTCTTGCAAAGAAAAGTGAAACAAAACTGCAAAAGAAGAAGAAATGTATCAGAGAAATGATGTTTTAAATTTAGTCTTACGTTGATTACTGAACGGTTTGCATCGAAAAAATATTTCTTGTCGTAACTTTTGAAAATTGTACGTTTTAAAATTGCAAAAACATTTTTGGGATTGAACAAATGGTGTTAAAGTGTTGAATGTTTTCTTATTGATTTTTTGGTGAAAAAGTTTGCGTCATAATTACACATTCATCGTAAGAGTTTCTTAATTTTAAAGGTGAAAAATAAAACGACTTATGGAAATAAATTAAAATATTAGATAGTGCTCAGAGGAAAAAGGAATAAAACATTAAAATTAAGTGTAATTGATAGATGCAAAACATTTTCATATGCTTCTTCTATGCAAGGAAGCATCATGCAATTTTACCTGAAGTTGATTTTAACACCAAACAAGTTTTTCACTGGTCGATCAAGAGAAATTATGTAGTTCATTATGACTATTAGCATTACATAATTCACATAATTGCAACCTGAAAGTTTGTTACACAAAATGACATTTGAGGAAGAGAATAAAGAGTGGAAATTTATGCGTTTATATTAAGATATAGGAATTAAAGTTTTAGCACGTACTAATCTTCCATATTTCCCATGGTCGTGCGCTATTGGTGGTAAAAATTAAGTAAATTGATCACAGCGGATTAGCATTGAATAAGCAATGTCAATGACAAAACAATCGGAACTTAAAAGATGTAAAAGTACTTCAAAGATTCACACGCCGGGGCGCCATTGAAGACTCATCAACCTATTGAGTTTAAACAATGGAAAGATTTTAGAAATAATTTCACAAACTTAACTGTCAAGTGTCATTCAAATCACAACCAAGAGAAATTTTAGGTTTACCGTCAATTACGTTTTATCTTTTAACTGAACAGGTGCTTAGAAAAGTTTTCATGATTTACTTTAATTTGACTATGTTTTTGTTTTTTTTCTTTTTGACTCTGAATTATGTAATTTACCAAAAGAAGTAAAATATCTACTTGAGAGTATTTTTTAAACATACGAAAAATATTTTAAATATAGTAATTACCTTTTTTGTCACCAACACGTGTTTCGTGCAAAGGTTTTTTTTGGATCATCAAGTAAGGAATGGAGAAAAAGCGTTGAAACACTTTAAGCAATATATGGTTAGCAATGAAATCAATCAAACGAGAAGAGTAAATAATCAAAACACAAATTGAAAGATTGATCGATCTGGTTCAGAAAGAATTGGAATTCCTACATAGCTAACACAATTGGAACTTCTGAAAATTTACGTTTATGATTCTATGATTAATGTCTTTTCTTTTGTTAACATTCATCATCATCATCAAATTACTCACAAACGATAGTATGTTTAGTAATTGAGTAATTTGTGTACTCTCAAATGAAACGCGATTTATCTCAACTTCTGATTTCGTGAAACAATTTTGACGGTTGATATCTGAAATGTTATGACTCCCAAAGAAATAAATTAGATAGAAGAGAAAAAATGTCAGTGAGAGACGGCGGAACTGTTTAAGTTGTGAGTTTTACGTTCACGAGTACGTAATCTTTTCATCAAAATAAATCGTTCGTATAAAAGAAACTGTCTAACAAGTGATTTCAAGCAGCGTAAGAAGTTATTATGAAGCAGCATTTCTGAAAATTTGGACGGTGTCGGTTATTTAAATCCTCTTTTGTGTAAATGATTAGCTTTAGAAAGGAGAAATTATTAATGATTGTTAACACTTATCTCTGATTGCGGTGTTGCTTCCATACCTCGCAAATCACAGTTTGCTTTGCTTTAGATTAATTACATCAAAGAAATCAGCGTGAGAGCAAAAGCTAATAACTTTCGTATTTTAAGTTGTAAGTATTAAAAAAAATGCATGACAATATTCACGATTTATTTGAACTGTTAAAAGGTAGAAATAATTTGTTTATGATTAGCATAAAAAGATATGAATTATTTGTTTTACCAAATTAAATGTTTCAAAAGAAGAAATATATTTATTATGCATGAATAAATTGAGGTAAATCTTGGAGTCACACGAGGATCAATGTTTGACCTCATACACATTTATTTTTAGTAATGTAAACAAAATAATAGAGTTGCAATAGTGTCATTCCAGCTGATGAAAGTTAACCTGACAATTCACTTTCATTTCTTTGCAACCACAACGATTCATGAGTGCTCTGAATAAATAAATACACGAATCAGATCACTTTACTTTCCGAAAAATAAAAGATTTGAAAAGAAATGTCTGAAGGTTGTTTCGTAAAGTGAGAGGTGATTTTTATCTTTTTTGTTTTCTGTAAGCTTTATAGAAAGTTCATGAGACGAAACGTTCATTAATATGTTGAAGGTCGCTGCAGTCTTGTGCAATAACCTATGCGAGCTCCTTGATAACACTTCAGAACTACATAATCTAAGAAGAAAAAAAACTAAATAAAAATGAATTTTAATTGTTTGCTTATGAAATTCAGGAAAATATTTGAAACATTTAGTTTGTTGAAACTTATTTCAAAGCTTCAAAAAATGAATTTCATTTACCTGAGAGATCAGAAAATAATTTTTCGAAAAGGTTGTTGACTTTCAATCATGAAAATATTTTCCACACTTAACAAAAACTTTTATTCTGTAATATGCAACATCTTCATAGAAAAGCATACATATTTGTCTAATTTAATTTGACTTTTGATTTTTTGTGTTGAACGTAATGATTCATTTCTCAAAAAAACAGCTCTTTCAGATAAATAGTCGCATGTTCAAAGCTTTAGAGATTTCACTAAATGGTGATGAAACAAACGCGAATTCAAGTTTAGTACTGCGGGACATTAATTAACTTCAACTTCCATTGAAAAGTGAACTCGTTGTAATCATGATTGATTGTTTCTTAAACTAGATAGACGTTTAACTAAATCTATGACAATAGAATAATATTTATGCATATATGAACTTTGTGATTATAAAAAAAAAAGCTAAATAATTTGTTATGTCTCACAATTCTAATCATGACGAATCAATTTAAATAGTTTTGTCTTCCGTAACAGCATCAGTTTTTATTCATTTAAGCAGACAGAGCAAAGCCTCATTGAATATCCCAACAACAACAAACGATGGTTGATCACGTATGAAGCATAATTTGAAAACTTCATACTTAATGCAAGCAGTTTGATATTTCTTCATTTCGATAAAATTCATTTGAATATAAACTTAATGTAAACCTTAATTACATTCATTCAGACTACCAAAAGAAGCCATCAGAGGTGTTACCAATTTAGATTTTAGATTTCACGTCAATGTTTTAAAATTTCAATTTATTGAACAACTTATTTAGTCTGTCTAACTTGAATCTTCATAATCTCGCCCTCAAGGTCATTTCTCAGACCAATCGAAGATAATTGAGAGGCATGACTATTGCGAAGAAATTTTAATAGAAAATACGACACGAAATATTTATTTTGATATTAAAGTTAGTTAGAAACAAAACCGGAAAATTTTTATATGCATAGGAATTGCGAAACTTGATTAAAATGAATCGAATTTTTTTAAGAATTATGGATATTTAGTAGAAACATGATCTCGGTCTAATTAAAACAAAAGCAAAAAATGAGTCATTGTTGTGAACTTCAATTGTATAGGGAGCGGTATGAGAAAAGGCGATAAGTTTTATGTATCACTCGGCACTTTTTTACCATAGATTAATCTGATTTATTGATCTAATTTAATTTTTCCATTATCTCATTTCTTTTTAATAAAATAATTGATACTTTTACGATGAACACAACTGCAAAAAAGAGATGAATGAATCATTTTCTAAGATTATTTCACATTAAAACTAATTTCAATTTTTAATATTAAATATTTATGTGATTGATGAAATGAAAATAAAAGTTAAGCTGAAAGATTAAAACAGAAAGTTTTTTAAAGACATGGAAAGACGGAAATTGTAAGAAACACACGCGAGTGTTCAAGTTCAATGAAATTGAATGAACGCAAATATTTCTTTTCTTCGTGAAGCGTGACTATGATTGATGTACATGAATATTGACGAAAATTCAATGTTTGGTAATGCAAATTATCGAAAAGTATTTATAAGAACTAGAACGTTTCTATTTTCGAATTAAATGAAGAAATCTAATCTCATTCCCGAAGTTATTTGAGTTTGAACTTAGTACCTAATTGACAATCAGGAAATTTAATTCCCGTTGCACTGATCGCATCAAATTTAAAAAATATTAAAAAGTAATTGAACACGAAACAAGTTTATTTTAAGAGAAGCGTCTGCAAGCTTTTTAATATTTTTCTTGCATTCTGTTTAAGAGATAAAAACATTAAAAACCACCAAGTTGAGGTAAATTTGAAGGTCATGTGAAAGTTTTCAAAAATAATTTAAAGTAAAAGTTCCAATTCACTTTTTTCTCGATTTATGTCAACCACCGTTCCTCTGTTTCATGATGTAAATAATTAATGTTTAAAAATTGATCAAATAGTTGAGAGTTCCGGTACATGAGTTGACATGTGAATTGGAATTCGACAAAACGAGTTCTCTTCTTTTTCTATGTTGATATTGAATTAAGATAAATTAATTAGATACAAATGAGTTTATTCATTTATCTATGGTCTGTTGACAGTAATAATGGTTCTTGTTGCTTGAAGAATCTTTATTTTCCACCAGACAGAGAAGAAAACTAAATTTAAAAGCATTAGAAATTTTTTTAAAAAAAACTTTTAATGGATGAATACATTGATGCTTCATCTCCAATATAAGAAATCAAGTCCGCTCTATTGGCTATAGTTAAATATTTTCTTAAAGCATCTGCATGAAATAAGCGAACGAAAAAAATCAATTTATTTACGCTTGATTAATTATTTTGCCTCTAAATACTTTTATTGATCAATTGAGAAAGTTTTCTTTCGAAAACGACTGAAAATGTTTCTGTCTGTAAAGCGATTAAACATTAAAACTTTTGGCAAATTATGGAATTCTGAGGGTGTTGACATCTAAGATGAACATGTACATCTGAATTGTTTTTTTTCTTCATTTTCTCTGTTCAGTAAATTACAAACAGTTGATAAAGTCATTATGAAGATTTGCTTAAATGCAATTTATTGAATGTGTCTACTTTTTATAATTCCATTTTAATTTTCTCAACACATTCGTAATCGATTTTTTATTCACAATTGATCTGTCTTAATTACATTACAAAGTTTGAGTGTCATTTATGTATGTAAAACGATACTTGTATTGAAAAATAAAATCAGTGAAAGGCATTTAATGAATACAAAGTTCAGGATATGATAAAGATTACGTATAAATATGACTGTAGATACATTTATAATTTTGCAAAAATGCGAACATTAGTGGTCGTAATATGCATTCTCGTCTGGTTTAATATAATTAAAAGCTGTTTATGATTCTCGTGGCTTTAGAGTTATTTTGAGATTATTATTGTATCTACATAAGTATTTCTCGGCACTTTAAGCGTATATTTAATGCACCAACTTACGTATCGGTCTCGTGGTTTCTTGTGTTTCTCACCTAATTTAACCAATTCAACCAGCAAAAGCAAAAGAAACTCGAATTTCGATCGTTCAAGAGTGTTTTTTTCTTTATGTTTCGAGTACGAATAAAAAAATATTTCTGATTGTTTTTATTTAGTCTTACTTTGAGAGCCGACCGTATCGCATCAGCAAAGCATAGTAGAGCAAAGTAGTGGTCAGTGATTATCATTAAACTTAGTTAGATATTATCATTTAAAAATTTGCAAGAAAATGACTCAGCATTGATCAAAATTCGGAACTTGACACAAGTGAATTCAATTTAAAAAACATTTCAACATTCAGCTCCCAGTACCGAACTTAATTTAAAAAAATTCGAAAATATCGAGTGGCTTTCTGCAAAAAAAAAAATAAAAATTGTGCAATTATCGTGTGTTATGCAAGACATAAAATAAGAGCATTTTAATATAAGAGTGGAAAAAATAGTGAAAAACTTGTTTGGATCGGATAATCGTTTAATTTTACGTTTGTGTATTAAGCTAGTGACCGATTAAAAGCACACATTGTTCGTGAATATCTTCCGGAAGAAGACGAGAATTTAACTGAGTCATCTTATGAAAAGAAAGCGAAATATAATTTTATTTACAATTTCTAATAACAATTTATAATTTTTCAATTAAAGATATCTATAGCGAAGTTGAAATTAAAATTCATTCATTCAAAACATTTAATGAGGGAAACAGTGAAGTTGTGAAGAATTAGCAAATAAATAATTAAAAGAAATAAAATATTGAAGTGATTCTTTGATTCGCAATACAAATGAGAGCGTTTCAAATGAAATGATTTTGAAAAACTCCTGGAAATATTTTTATTATAACAAAATGCAGCTTATGTTGCTAATGACATGCATTATTGGAATTTTTGATAGCAATCAGGTAAGAGTTACATTTAGATGGTTACATAAAAAACAGCATTAAAATAAATAAAACAGAAAAGAACAACAAAATAAAATTATTGGTGGGAAAATGTACACGAATTGTATTAATTGATCAATATTATCATTCATTCAGTTTGGATGTGACTTGAATTAAATTTATTATTATTGCTTTATGACTCTTTAAAAACCGGTTATTGTAATCGTTTATTTTAGCGTCACAGATGATTTCAAGCTCCCTTGCATTTAAGAAGTAGATATTTCTTTTTATTGAAGCAATCAGCGAAATCAACCACATGAAAACTATTTGACCGCTAACTGCTTGAAAGATGATTTTGATTACACTCTGCATGAAACTGTGGAGATCTAAACATGTTAAGAGAAAAAAAGAAGAGATTTCATATAGTTTTTTTTGTTTGATGAGATTCGAGAGCAAGCAGGTGATGGTGTCAGATTAATACTTTACTGTCAAGTTCACAGACATCATTTCACCTTAATCTGTTTTCGAGTTGATTGAACATAAAAAAGCATAGAAAATGTTTAGTAAATCCTGTGCAACTTATTTCCTTGTTCAGCTTCTTTTTATGTCACTTTCGAATGACAATTGAAACTGAATGCGTTTCTGATGTTGATTGTAATGTTGTCCATGAGACTTTCAAATTTGAAAACACATAAAATTTCTTTTTGGGCGAAACCCGATAACGAAGATCATGACGTTTGTCGCCTAACCGGTAGTTTAAATCTTTCGTTGGCATATGTACGCTTTTATTTTGAATTAAATTCACTTTTATAAAATTTTGTTGTTAAGAGTCGCAGCATCTTTTAATCTTATAGTTATAAATCACATTACACCTTTTCTTTTATGATGACATGCTTTGCATTGTCTTTCCACTTTCATTTCAAATCCAATGACTAACATAAAGCGCTTTAACAATGTCAAACTTTCATTACTACACATCATGAATTTAAACTAAATATAATTGTTGAGTGATATTAACCTTAGAACTTGTATTTCCGTCATACAAACCTAAATTGAATATTTTAAAAATTTCTTCTCGTCAATTTTATGTTTAGCTCACTTTATATATCATTCGAATGATTGTAATTTATCTTAATTGATAGCTCCAAACTTTCAAATCAATCGTAGCATAACGAATCAGATTATGACAGTTATTAGGAAAATTTCATGGACCTCCAAAAAATCTTGCATTAATTTGAATTGATAAATTACTATTTACCTATGTAGTACATAAAAAGTAAGAGTAATTTACGGGTCTGCATAGTGAAATGGGGAGTAAACTGTCAAAATAAATTAATGAATTTACTTCGTCTGTCATTCCTCGTGTTTATCGAAATAAATTAATTCGGTGCTTGGTAAAAGTTTAAACTGAAAGTGGTTTTAAAATTCAATTTTACTGATATTAAATTATTTTCATTTACAGTTAAACTTCGATTAACAGATATTTCAAGGGACGCAAAAAAATATCTGTTAATCGAGGATATCTGATTATCAAGGATTTGAGGGTATTCATTAGAATTATTTCGGGTTTAAAATTTAAAAATCCGTTAAATTAACTGTTATCGCAAAATAAATAATTGTTGATTCAATTGTTTGCGAAGATTTTATAATTGCGGAGATTGTTGACTGCTTGATGTTGAATTGTTTCATGACATTTGAAATTGATTCACCATCATTCTTGACTTTATTAATAATAAGCATTTTTTGCTTATAAGTTCTAGCCTGGTGCTTTACTTTTTTATATGATGCTAACATTTTTAAAAATAAAAAATCACTTTTGGTCTGAATGTGTTCACTTTTTACAAATCATATGAATTTAAATAAAACAATCGTTAAATTTGAATTTTGAGCAACTGAATAACTGAAGACCCCCGATTTTAAATTTTTCAGTTTATCAGCTTATTGAGGTCAGTTTCTCATATGAATTTCACCACCGTTTATCGGGGCATCAGTTAATCGAGGATATCTGATAATCGGGGCAATTCTTCACACAAATTCGAGTGTGTGCCAAAAAATATCCGCTTATCAAGGATATCTGATTATCGAAGTAGCAGCTTATCGAAGTTTAACTGTATTAAAAATTAACAATCATCTTTTGGCTGCTACAAAATTTAAAAACAGCATTCAATAATAAACTGAATAGCAAGAATGAGAATTTGTTTCCGCTTAAGTCGAGAAACCTGAAAAATGTTAAAGTTGTTGACTTTAGAATAAGGATATGTATGTATGCAAAAATAAATAAGAGTCGCCTGGTTTCTTTGACGAACAACAACTCAAGGTCGTTTACAAGAAGAACTCAATATTTGAAAGTTGTTTCTGTTAAATATTTTAAATGGCAGGATTGTGAACGGTTGAGAAGAGCTTTAATCGTTTAAAATTTAAAGTCAAATTGTGCCGCAGAATCTAGATCATACAATAAAGCTAATCGCTTGATAATTCGTTCGCATTGTGGTTGAACATTGAACAAGTCACGGAGTAGAAAATCTCTTCGACACGATTCCCTTAAATGATATTTTTATCCCAACCCTGAGAGTTGTCATATGCAAATAATTACCGCATGAAATCGTTAGCGAGATTTTCTGGATTTATATCATGTTTAAGTTGTTGAAAATTGCTTGACTATCATCATCACATTCAACGACGTATGTCAACAAAACTCTTTCATGCTCCGCTTTACTTTATTATTTTGTTTGCGTAATGCTTATAAGCAGTTAAGTTAGTTGAATATGTAACTACAAACATTATTTATTCACTCACAATTTCCGTTTCAATTTTCAGGCACAGCAAGTTCCACAAAGATTTCTACAACCTGAAATTGATTACAGTCCTTGGAATCCAATTGACATCATCAGCCATCAATTTCCTCTTGAAATTAAAAACAACAAGGCTCGATCAATTTCAGCTTCAGCTTCACAGCCAATTTTCTTGCCACGAGATTCAATTCCAAGAAATCGAAATCAAAAACTGCAAATTACCAGCAATTCGAAAGGGTTAAGAAGAAGAAATTTTGAAACTTCACAAGACACTGTCGAGAAGAAAATTGAAGAGAAAGTCACAACGCCGAAATCTTCTTTCAAGAGACGACGAACGTCAAGTGCAAGTCCATTGGAGAACGTAAAATCCGAGAAAGTTACGAGTAGGTTTAAAACAACGCATAAAATTCCTACGCAAACAGAAACAACAACAGTAAAATCGAGACGTCAGTTTACTCCCCGGTCTACTTCTGAGAGTATTTCAATCACGACTCAGCCGTCTGTCTCATCATCAACAAAAACTGCTGTACAAAGAAATCCCTTAAAGCGTGGAAATTTTCGTCCAAAACTTGCAGAAAAAAGTGTGGCAAAAGATGAAGACGACGATGATGATGAAAATTATCCGCCACACTTTAAATTGCTGTTAAAGAAAAAAGTAGCAAATTCTGAAAATAGTAAAAACCTCGTTCAAAAACCTTTGAAATCGTCTCGCCCATCAATTACTAATAAATCAAACAACTCTTCAAATTACACGGCTTCTAAGACAAATGTTCTATTCCCTACAAGGTCAAGATCATTTCCAAGGCCAACCTTAACAACATCAGCTCCATCAGAGGCCATCTGGTCATCAACTAGAATCCCTCCAGTAACACCAAAACGAAATTTACGTCGACCAAGGCCGACTGAACGCACAAAGCTTAACGTCGGAAGTACATTACAGGAACCACCAACAGTAAAGCCAACTGCAAGTTATGATACAAAATCTCATGTGAATAAAGAAGTTAATGAAGAATCAGCAAATAAAAAAACGCGAACCGATGAAGTGAAGCAAATCGACCCAACACTTCGTGGATATTTTCCTCGTAAGAGTGCTGTAAGTTTTAATCAACGTTATTTAATCAAACCAACAAAATGATAACTTTCAATGCATAATAATTATCTAGATTGGGTCATCCTTGACGCATTCGAAACGATTAAAGAACTCAGATGTAGCATTGAAGGCAAACAAGGCTCCAAGTTATGAACCGACTGTGCCCTCGATAACAACTCCACTGGTGAGTAACAAAACACTCTATGCTTATTTATTATCTCTCCATAAGTCATCTTAATTGGTCATCAGTAGTATATTTATTTATTTGGAATTCCAACGATTGAAAATTAATTAGCAGCTTGATTTGTAAACATTTTTTTCTTCGTTCACAATTGCCACGCTTCACCGAATGTCATTTGCAATATATCAGTTGTCAGTTTTCACTATAAAAGTGTGTCGCTAATTGTTTTGTTGTCCTTTTAAAGGCAATGAATGATGGATGGGATTACTCGGTTAAACATGCAAAGCATTATGGTAGTGGAAGTCAGATGAAAATTATGTCGCCATGGAACAATCAATCTGTTGTTCAACCACAAAGGACATTCCATGGATATCGGGGTCGTCATTCGTTTTTTTATTAAATATATTAGTGTTATTTAATTATTCTTTCTATGTATATATCCACATATGTAAGTAAATGTCCAAAATATCAACTGAAATGTGCTTCTAAACAAACATTTTAAAATTCAAAAAGTTTAAGCATAAATATGAACATTGGAATTTTCATTAAAGATTATCATTAACATTTATGTGTTCAACATAATTAAATACTCACTGATGCAACATATTTTATCATATAATTAAGCAAACTATTTTATAGGTTTTTACTTATTTTGTTACGTATGTTTTGAAACTTTTCTATAATGCTACGAAATTCTTCACAACATTTTTTAAATTGGTTGTTTAATTTCCTTTTAGGAAAAAGTGAGTTATGGGTGATTGCTTTTCAAAAATATTAGGTTGTTAATCGTTCAATAAGTATAGAGTAAAAGATATTCGTATTTTATTTATCACAAATCTTTGTGACGAAATGTACAAGGTAGTTAATCACTTTCATTTGTGCATTCCAATTTCATCGATTACCACACATTCTCTTTCGCCGATTACTTTACTGATTGCAAATTATCATACAATTAAATTTTACCAATTCTGACACTTTCTCCAGTTCGTTGTTCATAAAAATAAATAAAAAGATTCAGTATATCAATTGCGTTGGCATTCGCAAAATTCTACACTCTCTATGAACATTTTTTAATAAGATAAGGTCGTAGACATTGGCAGGTAGTGCCAGACAAGGGAACACTTTACATAATGTTGCATGATTAAATAGTTCACAGAAATTTAAATTCCTATTCATAAAATTTACTTCCACTACCAAATGATCACAAACTTTGATTAACCATATGTTGACAACTAATGAATAATTAGCATTAAGTTTATTGTTTTTTTATACTGATTATTAATTTAAAATAAACCCATGCACACAATAAAATTAACTGCATGTACCTTAAGTTGTTTGGTTTGCTTGTGAAGAGAAAAATCTTTGTCTATGAGTGATTTAATGCAACACGAAATGTTTAATTTTTCAATTCACGCTTGTTTTCAGCCTGATATCAACTCAGATATTGAGCATGACCGTTGGAGAGAAGTTCTTCCATTTGCAGCTGAATTGGTTCACTTGCCACTTGATGCTGATATAATGACACAGTCGCCATCACAAACTGTTTCAATCTACGAAGCATTAGCTGAGATTCTTTCGAAACCAACTGAAAGTTTAAGTTATTCTGATAGTAAAAGCACAGTTCGCACGCTTTTCTCTGAGGCACCAATTTCTAGCACAACAGCTTCAACCACCACAACAACATCAACAACCACAACAACAACAACACCTCTGCCAACTACGACAGAGATCAGTGAAGAGTTAAAGGTAGAAAACGCTACTTCAAATCGTCTTGATTACATTCAAAGTGTACATACATCGCATGATCATGTAAATAGTCGAAATCTATTAATTGAACCTTCAAGTGATGAAAATGCTTTACCAACAAGTTACGATAATTTCCTAACAACAACTACAGATATCATCCAAACCTTTATTCCTTTAACGACTCTAATGACATTAACAAAAATGTTGAATGAAACCAAAACTGACACAAAAATATTGAAAAATGATTTTTTTACAACTCTAATGACTTCATTAACAAAAACTGACATGACAACAGAAATTTTCTCTACTGACAATCCAATTGGCTTGAACAATGAAACAGACGCCGTTTCTAATAAAACTGAAATCGAGATGACTAAAGAAAGATTGATTCACGATAAAAATGAAGCTAATGCGTTACTGTTGGAAGCTAATATGCGAAATAATAAAAAATTAACTTCAAGCACCGTTTCGCCAAATTATAGTCCACGTTTCACTCAAGAAAATCGTATTCCAATACTTTCATTTTTATTTTCACCTCTCAGTGCGAACAGAACTTCCGATTTAATGTTAAACCAAACAATGATTGATTTAATGACTAAGAAAATCACGAAAAGTGGTGAAGAGAATTTCTATTCGACACCATCAGTTTTTCCAATTTATCGGCCTGACTTGCATTTGACGACAACAACATCAAAACCAACAACAATGTTCAGTACAGAACTTTCCACTCCAAAAGGTTTTTCAAATTTAAAGCCTTCAAATGGTTCGAACTCGTTGAACAATGAAACTTCATCGTTTATGAATTTTACTGAACCGGAGATAATTCCAAAACCAACAACCAGTAATCGTTCAATTGGTTTTGAAAATTTGCAATTAGAAACAATAACTGAAGCAACAACTTTTACAAGTTTACCGACACTTTCCAATGAAATAATTAATGATATTAATCATCTAACTAATGACAAAACTAACACGAAGACGTATCAACATTTTCCTTCTTCGACACAAAGTTTACTTCCTGAAACTTTAAAAGTCCCTCCCACCACTTCACCCATTTCAACTTCACATAAACAATCCATATCCAATTCAACACAAAAATCGAGTATAACGGAAAGATTCGTATATGCAATTCTTCCCAACAACACCGTCGTGAGAAAAATTATTATGCAACATTTAACAACAGAAAATCCTTTTATGATTTATGGGATTTTTCCCAATAATTCCATCATTAAAAAGTTCCCTAATGGAACAATTGTTCCTGATGAAAAAACACCTGAAACTCGAATTGAAATCGTTAATATCGATCCAGAGAGTCTCATGAACCCTTACAGCAAATTCCATCAGCTGTCGGAGAGTGTTTTGCAAGGAGCCAGAAATGCTACCACTACCGCTTTGCCAATAACTGAACACACTAAAACGGTATTTTATTCAATTATTACCTACTTTTCTATTTCTTTTCTTTCTGGATAGCAAAGATATTAAAATAGATAGATTCGCACAAATTCTAGAAGAGAAAATTAAATGCGTAGTTTCAATAAAATGCCTCGATTTCAACCGTTTACATCTTATATTTGCTTCTGATTAATATTTTTTAATGTTTATCGCACTAAAAGCTTACTAATTGGAATGTCCAAATTATAATTGTAATAAGAAATCTGTGACTAACAGCAAAATGAAAATATCTTATGGTGGTGTGATGAAATAATTTATTGACAAGAAATTAAATTAACAGGAGAACACAAGCCACATCATTGGATTGCTTCAGAAGCTGAAAAATGAAACGGATTTATTGGTGAAGACACCAAATATTTTCAGTTTAGCTAAGAAACCATCAAATCATCATCACGATGATGAAAATTTCTCATTTTCTGGAATTGATCCAGTGGTGAGTTCAAATCTCTTTTTCATCTTTATATTTTTTCAGTATTAATATTTTCTTATTTTCTGCTAAGATTAATCAAATCAACTCAATGTCTGAAGAACCCTTGAAAGTATCAACAGCTAGTGTGAGAAATATTGATAAAATCGAATTCGAATCAACATTTTTGCCAACGACCACACCTGATAATTTAGCGAAAAGTGTCACAATATTTCCAAATGGCGAAGACAGTTCATCTGACATCTTCAACAATGAAATATTTGACTTCAACAATGAAATATCATCAACGTTAGACCCAAATTTGAAATTCAAAACATCAGTTGAATATTCTACAAGTGTTTCTAGTTTTTCTGCAACGCCAACAAAAACGACTTCTAAGGAACCGACTTCATCAATCCCAACTACAACGGAAAAGTTTATTGAGACTACTCCCGTGACAACTTCTACAACTTTCACAACGCCAATAACATCAACTGAAAATTTTATTGAAAAGAATTTTAAATTACTTCAAGAACTCTTGTCAACTCGAAGAGGTGCTGACAATAAGTTAATTACAAATCAGATAAATACTGAGATTATAGCAGGAAGTTCAACAACAACCGAATTTAAATCAATTGAATTAACGACAGAACTTGTGAGAAGATTTTCGAGTAGTACAAGAAGACCAATAACTCGTATTACCTCAACTAATAGAAGAACTACGAGACCTACAACGACTTCTACAGCCACAACAACGACTACTTCTTCAACTACCACAACCACCACAACTCCTTCAACAACCACAACTCCTTCAACAACCACAACTCCTTCAACAACCACAACTCCTTTAACCACTACAACCTCTTCAACAACAACAACTCCATTGATCACAACCACCAGAGCAACAACAACAACGCAAAAAACGATCCCGGCTAAACCTTTCATTGAGCCAACTTCTCAAAGACCTAGGAAAAAATCTTACAGTGATTCTGACGATATTGATTTTTTGGTAACATATTTCAATAATTAATTTTGTTTGCATATAAAAAGTTTATGATTCGTTCAGCGTCAACTTGCGGGCTTTTTAAATCGACGCAATCCAACATTGGAACCAAGGCGACAGTCGACAACTACGCGGCCAACTACTACAACAACATCGACGACTACAACTACAACAGAGAAGCCAACAACTACCTCAGAAGTTCGAGAGGTAACAACAAAATTACCCACAACCTATTCAGATGCAGATGATCTTGCTTTTCTTAATAGCTTGGTAAGAAAAATTCATTTCATAATCAATTTATATTTACTGTAAATCTTAAAATTTTTAGAGAAATTATGCTAAAATCATAAATCTTACAACCGAGAGATCAGCGATAGCTAACAAAATTTTGGAACTCGCTCTCAATCGGACTGGGAAAAGTGTCACGTTTAAAAATGATCCCAATAATTTAATTGGATCTTCAAAGGCCTCTGTTTCTTCAGTGATGCAATCGCCTGAATCAATAATAAAACAAATATCAGCAACTCGAGACAATATCAATGTTATGAAAGGAATTCTTGAAGAAACTCAAAGAAGTGGTGCTTTAAGTCAAGCAGAGATTGAAAGAACAAAACAAATGCTTCAGAAGGACATTTCTCAATATAACGCTGATATTAAACTTCTTTCATTGCTGGTTGGAAAACAGTTCAACAAGGATGACATTTCAAAGCTCGCTTCAACAACTCGACAGCTGCCTATAGCAATTCTCGAAACATCCACAAAATCTTCATCAAATCCATTTACTTTAACATCGCCTTCGAATTTTAAAACACTCACAGATCAAGAAACTAAATTCCTTAAAGCATTACAACAAATTCAAACAACAAAATCTATTGACACAACAACTACGACGACAACTGAAAAAACTCAAGGAGTTTCAAGATCACAAGAAGCAATTATTGCAGCACTTTTGAAAGAACAAGGAATCGGCCCAAACAATCAAATTCCAATTGAAGTAATGCAATTCTTTCTTGTTTATTGGTTTTGTCGTTTAAAATAATTTTTATTATTTTACAGAAAATTCTTGAGCGTTTGCCTTTAGAGGGAAACAATATTGTTCTGACAACGACGGAAACAACACTTCGACCTTTTTCACCATTGCCACCATTACGAAGACAACCTCGTCCTATTATTGATGGTTAGTTAAACCTTAAGATTGTTTAGTCGAATGACAACATTATTTGCATTCCCTTCAGGTCTTGCATGGCTATGGAAAACATGGCAAGAAACAGCACCAAGTGTTCGAACACAAAGACGACCCTCACAGCAACAACAACAGCAGCAACAGCAACAACAGACATTAAGTGGACTCGATGATTTTAATGAATTTGAGTCTCAAGATGATATTGCTGCAAGTTCTGATTGGAGAGACGGAGGTGAAGCACCAACGGGTGGGGATTCCTTAGGTTTTCCTGGAGGAAGTGGCTTTGGACAAGCAGTAATAAAATAAAATTTTATTTCTTTCTCGTTAACTTAATTTTGTTTTCTTTTATTTTTAGGCACCTTTGTTAGCTCAAGGTCTTCTCGGTGCTGCTTTGGGTTTCACAAGAGCAGTTACACAATTTTTAGGTGTCGCTTTTGCTGGTGCAGGTCAAGCTTTCCAATCAGCTATAACTGGTGGATCTGCTTTACCATCGTCAGTCAACGGAGCTAATCCTAACAATTACTATGGATTCAGTGGAAGATGAAAGACAAATTAAGACTTGAAAATTCTTTCATCTAGTTTTATGTGAATTTCTGAGTGAATGTCATAGAGTATAATTTATTTATTTTATCCGATAGGAAAAACGAACAATGATTAATTGGTCAGGTCAATAGAAACTTGGGTATGTTCATAACCATCATCATATAATTATAATTTCTAGTCTTTAAGGTGTACAATAATTGTTGTTGTTGCGCCACAATATTTGCAATCCTTTTTTGTGCCATTGTAAAAGGATTGCCGACAGAGTTTTGATGATGAAAAATAAAGTTAAATTTAGATTTTGTTTTTAATTTTTCAAAAGTCGTAGTTATGATCTCAGTAAGCATAATCTTTGAAAGTGACAACTGGAAACTTTGTTCAATTTATTTTCATCATGGATGAGAAAAAAAGTGAAAAGAAATTTGCAGCTCCATTTAAATGTCCTTTGACCAGATGTGAAGAAAATATCAGTTCATCTTTGCTACTTTCTCATTTCATGAAAGTTCATCATCATGAAGATAATGGAGTAGATTTAAAAGAAATTCAAGAGAAAGAGAAGATATCATTGATAGCATCAATAAATGAAGAAAATTTGCAAATCGACAGAGTTGTTTGTTTAGGGATTTTGGCTTACCGAAATGACGAAAAAGCAGAAGGTGGAATCGCAAGAAGTACGATGAAAAAACATTCAAATGCTCTTCTTTCAAAGCAACACGAATTTTATGAAACTCATCTTCCAATCTTAATCATGGCAAGTCGTGGAAATTATGTAAAGATGTATGCATCAAACAATGAATTTATCGATCCTCAAGCAAATTTCCTTACCATTTGGTTGTTGATGCCTGAAATAATGGAAACAAAATTAGTGGCAACTGTCACAGTTTACAACGAAGAGCTGACGAGATCATTAAGTTCACTTATTTATGTCAGAAAAGCAAACGATACTCAAAATGCTCGCGACTTTATGCGCACTGAAATGAATTGTTTGACAATCAATTCCGGATTTCTTGAACAAATTTCAAATGAAGATCGAATATTTATCGAAATTTCAATCGAAGAAAATTTATTGTAGATAAACATGATAACAGTTAATGAAAAGAAATTTAATTTAAAAAATTAATTGTTTGCAACATAACCAAATGGATCCAACTTTTGATTCATAAGGGAAAGAGATGATTCTGCTACTTTTCCTAACAATTCGCTCATCTTATGTTTGCTGAAGACTTTATAAAGTTGATTCTTCTCACTTGCAATTTCATCGACGAGCTTCAAACATTCTTGATGGTCTTCGGCGAGCGTCAATATTTTATGCAATAAAAGAGCAATGTCGGGAATGTGAATTTTCCTTAAATTTTCCATTTGAAATTTTCGATTCTCGTATCTGTTAGCTTCATCTTCAGAACCAAATTCTAATTGAAGATCCTCGGGATCAGCTAACCAACCATGCCCTTGTGGAAAAAGTAGAACATCATAAAGAAGATTCTTCGTATGATTTGTTTGTTCACTCAATGTAAGTTTCCAACGAGACAGATCTTGTTGATACAATTGTTCTTGATGTTCTCTTGCTACTTTCTCTGTAAAATTTCGTTCCTGGACAGTTTTTGGTGCCTTCGGTTTCTTGTTATAAAAGAACTCAATCCAATCATTATAGCCATCAATAGCAGCAATATAAGTTTGATGACAAAGAAACTCAGATATTGAACATTCAATGAGAGTTGGAAGATTATTTTTGCCACAATAAAATTGCCAAAGAGTTTGAACTGTATCTGGTGGGACCATCGCGAAAGCACCTTTGACAGCTTCAATTTTCCGTTGAGCCATAAAACTTCGCATCATTGTATTTGTTTGCCATAAAAGCTCACCACGTTGTTCTGAATGAAATGTTAACAATTCCAATGACGAAATTTTCTTCTTATCAAGTTCTGAGACTTCACCAGTTAAAAGTCTTCCGTCATCAGAAGGATTCATCAGATTTTGAATTCTTTCGACAGTCACTTTAGCAATTTGTCCAACATCTAAACCATGAGCTTGTCCTTCTTCCAAACACTGACGACGATGTGTTGTTGAAATATTTTCAAGGAACTCTGAATAAAGTTGAATTTGTTGCGTATTAGGAAGAGCAGCTGTATAAAATGCAACAAGTTGAGCGTCACCCAGTTTCATTAAACATTGAACATAAGATCTAATAATTCTGTCACCAATTTCCTCTTGATGATTTCTTCCTATTTGTCTTATAAACAATACAAGATGAGCGAAGAATCTAAGCGTTTGTGGAGTTGTGTCAGAGTCCAAAGTATCTTTCATATGGTTCAATAAACCGGTGACATCGTCTAGAATTAGGAAACGTTGAATCATCGGCATAGTTGAACGGGCTGTTGACTTCACATTAATATTTTTACTGGCATCGAGTTCAGTGAAGATTTGTTCGAGTGAGATTTTGCCGTCCCAATATTTGTCAGGCATGGAGCAATAATTTTTTGAACAACAAGAACGAATCTCTGATTCCACACGGATATCAACTTGAACTTTTAAATATGACCATAAAAGATCCCACCAGTTATCAGAAGAAACGTTGAGAAGAGACTCGAGATGTCCACAAAGTGATCCTGAAATAGCTCGTTGATAATCGTCCAAAGAGACATTATCGGCCATGGCAAAGGCACAACGCTTCCACAAATCACGATGTGGATTTCCTTCAACTGGCATTTTAATATCTTTAGGACCTTCAGATGAATCCATGTTGGGATCGTGAAACAATCGCCAGCCTTCAAGTATAGCAGCTTGCCATGGTTGTCCACAATGTTCACATAGACTTTGCGCTTCATCAACTTTTCCCTGGCGAATGGCGTTGAAAACATGTCGTGTTAGACGCTTTTGATCCTCAGTATCCAGATCATGAAGTGGCAACTTTTCACGATGAGGTGCATCAGGATCCAAACTTTTAACTATCTCTCGTTGACTTCCAAACATTGTTCGACCAACATTCTAGTAAAATAAATAAATTTATGGAAATGTACAAAAATATAATATGTAGATATGAATTTACCTGGAGTTGATGTAAAGTATTCTCCCATGCCATTGAACTTCGGTCGGTATAGTGAGCGACCTGATCCTCATATTGCTCAGAAGATGTCTGTTCTAACCAGTCAACAATCAATTGATGTTCACGAAGGGTTGAGTTGTCTAAAATATAAGACTTCTGTAAATAATTTAAACTTTAAAATCAATAGAAAATTTACTTATGTATAAATGCTCAACCACAATCTTTTCACTGTTAACAAGAGGCAAGTCGTCTGTCTCCATGTCTTCTTTCTGTGTTATTAAACGATCCTTATATAAGCAGTGTATTAAGCTCCATGTATTCATTTCTTGTCTAATCCATGAGTCACTTCCGACTTTCATATTTTTATTACTTTCCATCTCATCAATTGTGTTTTCTAAAACATGTCGTAGGTCGAAAACTGTCTCAAATACTTCCATTTCATTTGTACGTGCTTGAATGACAGAGAGAAAATGTTGATAAAGATGATCAGTTTTTTGTTTCACAACAACGCTGAGGTTTGTTTGACTCCCGTAAACGCTTGCACTTGTCATTAAACTAGATTCATCAAATCGCTTAGAAAAATCCATTGTTTCTTCACGGTTATGATGTCGTGGTCTTATTAAGCTTTTTGAAGTTATGTTATCTCCTAAAAGACTAATTGAACGATCTATATCCATTTTAATTGTAATTCTTTTTTGTTTTCAATGAAGAAGAACCCGGCATGATATAAAGTTACACAAAATTATAACATCCCCCACATTGAAAGGCGCTTTCATTGTATGGTTCTGGAAATATGAAATTTTAAAAACCAGTAAATTATGTTCCAATTTTTATTAATGATTTTTTTCTGAATGCAGAATATTTAGATGACTTTTTAATTGAATATTTATTAACACTTAGTAATTTACAAATCAAGTAAATAGAAACCTTAAAATCTGAAATAGAATAAAAATAATTTGAAATAGATGTCTGATTGAATTTTGACCCATTCAGGTTTCTTTATTCTACTAAAATTAAACTTTTGTAATTTATACATGATTTCTTCATTTTTAAATAACATAACAAAATTAAAATGTCAAAATTATGTTTTAAACCAAATAGACAAACTTCATGTCAATAGATGATAAATCGTTAACTTTTTGTGAATAATTGCACATAAAACATAAATTAAAATTATTGCATGTTGCTTTTTTCTTTCTCTTTTTATCTAATTCAATCATTTTTCTTGCTTTTACTTAAATCGTCTTGATCGACTTGCTTTAATGAATGTAACTTTATCTTCAATGCTGGTCCTTCTCAGTAAAAATCACCTAAATGTATTGATCTCCCATGTTATAAATTTCACAATTTTGGGGGCGTTTCGAAAAGATATTTACTGAACAAGTTTTGAGCTGAAATTTTAAATTCAATGAATTTCACCATCCCACGACAACTCTACAACGTTTTTTTTCTTTGTCTTTTTATTTACGAGAAAAAATTGATTTGGGATTAGATATTTAACATCATTTTTATTGTGAAATAATTTTTCTGTGTTGCTTAACGTGTCTACAGTTCCAGGTTCATTTCATTTCTTTATATTTATTATGAGTTTTAAAAAATTATTTATTTTCAAGTTGTCGAGTTAAAAATAATCATGTTTTTTAATTATTTTTCACTAATTCTTTTTATTCATCTAATTAACAATATTTTTTAAGAATCATATATAAGGAATGCCACAAGTTCCCAATGCCTAAACCTACGTTTGCATTTCTCTGCAGCCAAACGAAAACGTGCCATTCCTTATTAATGTTTCTATGTTTCAATATTTTATCTCTTTTTTTTAAATGTCATAAATATACTAGTTCTTTTTCATCATGTTTTGGTTTCTTGGAAGAGACGAATTAGGGGATTAATCAAAGAGCGATAAGAAAAATGTTGTGATTCAAAATTACAGCTGATTTGCTGAACTTTCTTTTGTTTAAAACTTTTTTGTTTTGTTATTCAGCCTTTACCAATTAAAAAGTTATAAATAACATATTTAAATTATTAAAACATATAAAAGTGATTTCGAAATAATTTAGAATTTCCATCGAATTTTGGAAAGATTGAATTTTTCCATTTATTTTTATTCTTTTCGTTTAAGAGATTTTTTTTATTATTTTTTAATCATTTTAATATTTTTTATATGTTAACATTTTGTGTGTTTTACTCGTAAAGGTTTTTCTTTATTTTTAAGCAAAACTTTGCTTGAATTTCAACTCTTACATCATTACATCTGTTTCTTGTCCCTTTTTAATATTTGATTTCGTACCATTTTTCTTTTAAATTTCTAACTAATTTTAAGAGATTTCTTCGTCAACTTCCTTTAACAAATGAAAACGTAATGCTATCTCGATCATAACGTTTCATTCCTCGAATCAAAAAAAAAAGTAGAAAATTTTGCCACAAATTGAAATCTTGCTAAATTAAAATTAAAAACTTCAAAAATTATTTTATAACTTCAAAAATATTTTGTGCTTTTCGAAACACAAATGGAAGATAAGGTTTGACTCTTGTTTTTATTTTTCATTCCTATTTAAACACGTTCTCTATTTTGTTCGTCATCAAAAATTTTGCTTCTTCTTGTTTAAATTCGTTTGATAGCTCATTTAGAAAATTTGGATCCTAAGTTACTCCTTAGGTTGTTTCGTTCTCATTACCAGTAAATTAAATCTTTGATGATCAAAACGAAAAAATGGTGATTTTATAATTAACTTCATTCTAAAGTTTTTATATAGAGAAATAAAACGTTTTGAAAAATCCTTGAAATGTTCTACGCATGTGTGTGTATATGTGTGATATTTTTCTCTTTCTCTGATGCAGCTAGATATTTCTAAATGTGAGATTTTGGCAATGTTATATTCAATAATGCTTTTATTGTTTTGTGCAATTGTGCACGCGATTTTAAGGACGTAAAAGAAATTCTAACTTTTTTTTTGCTTTTTTTCTTTTTTTTTTGATACATAATAAATTCATAATTTGATTAGACAAAAGAAATTCGTTTGATTTGGAAATAATAAATTCATTTAGAATGATTGTGAAAAAAATGTTTGAAGTATTGAAAGGAATTATGAGTGTAGAAAATTATATATCAGAGAATCTTATCAAAAATGTTTCTTTTGTTCTCTAGATCCTTTTTTTGGCATCTTTTCAATGAAAATATTCGTAACTAAAATAATAATGTATAAAGATAACATTTTTTATTTCAACCCATCCGAATCGCATTCACATTCACAATCCTCACATCCGTTCAGACAAACATCACACCCAAGCTCATCATCTTGTCAATAGAGCCATGAAACTGGAACCCATTGCGACGTTGACTGAACTGTATCAATGGCATTTTCAAGCTTTGCTATCGTTTCTCCAATATCGTTGTTAACAATTGTTAAGTCGAAGAAATGGCCATACGCTTGACGTAGCATGTCTGATTCTTTTGCCAATCGTTCAAGGCTTCCATCGTACTACAAGAAACAAAAATTTATGTTGTCGTAAAAAATATTTCAAGGACGTTTCTTAACCACTCACATCTGCAATATTCTGCAACAATGGAGCCGCAATAAACACAACATAGGGCGTGAATTCAGCTGTTCGTAAAATCTTTAAGGCTTGTGGTTCGACATCTAGTATTGCCATTTTACCATCAGCATGTATTCGTCGGATTGTATCGAGTTTGGTGCCATACATGGCATCTTCATGCGTGCCATATTCAAGATATTCGTTTGCGGAAATATCAGCCATCATTTCATCGTGCGATACAAAATAGTAACTTCGACCGTTTTCCTCATCGGGACGCTGAGCTCGCGTTGTGTCTAGAGAATATATTTGAATAATTTGAATTTCATTTGGTTTGGAAATTTATGCGTGATACTAACGTGGAATGGGATACGCATATTTGTCGGGATATTTTGCAATCAAAGTATTTTTGATGTGACGTCGTCCTACGCCATGTGCACCAAGCAGCACTAAAGTTCGCCGTTGAAATGTTGGGTCACCGACTGAATCAAAACGTTTTCGTTATGTTTTACTTTTCTTATTTCTTTTTTCTGCTGTAAAACGCTTACCTGGTACTTTAACAACCTCTTCATATGTCACTAAATCAAGTTGATCAAAGACAGCATTATGTTTGGCTAAATATTTGTCTCGACATTGCTTCTTCTTTCGACTGAAGATGGAACAGTTTACTGCAAAAAACAAAACGACAAAAAAAAGAAATCAAGATGAAAGATTAATAAAAAAAATCAGGACAACATGTCATGTATAAGAAATTTTTTATTGCAGTTGACTGAAGATTAATTTCATTTTAAACTTCCAATTATGTTTTAATTTATTTCTTGAATTTAATTTTAATTTTAGAAAGCAAAGCATAAATTTTTTAACGAAAATAAAAATCGCTAACGGAGATATCGATAAGAAGTACATTCACAGATAGAAATTCCAGTTTAAAGTGCAATTTTACAACACAAAAGGACATATATTATATATGCGATAACAAAAATCTTTTCGAAGTTCTGTTAGTGCTTTTGAATCAAGTACATATCTGGTTGTTTCCATTTTCCTCTACTTGAACTCTAATTAAAATCCCATTAAAGCTGAGCTAAAAAGCTCCGATAAATTGTCCCACTTGAGCAATTATTCAGTTTTTGGAACAGCAACACGAGTTAATCCTTACTGCATTTTAATTTCAAGTCTGTGAAAACCAGAATTTCAATTATTTCTACGTCTGCATACCATTCCTGATAAAATACCACATACAATATCCAAAAATAAATTGAAGATTTATACTTTAAAAAAGACTTAGAGGCAAACTATAATTGGTGGATGTAAAATTTACCCAAAACAAAAAAGTTGCTTCATCTTACGAGTCATACATTAGAATTATTGGGAATGCAAACATTACGAAACAAGACGGAAAGTGCTCTATCTATTTAAAGCTATAAGGGAATATTCAGCCACATCTCTCAAGGGTCATGATCATATCCAGGAATTTTTCAAAGCTTGCAATAAGTTAAAGAGAATAAGTTGGAGGTGATAGAAAAAAATAATAAATAAGAGAAAGACAAATGAAAATAAAATAAAAGAATTGTGTTTCTCATCATTTGTTTTATGGTTTAATACCTGTTGAGCCATCACATCCATCTTCATGTGCTGAACAACCAGAAGCAGCATCGCCTGAATAGACCAAGGAGTGGAAAGGGGTTTTTGGTTTAGACTTCAAGTGAAATATAGAAGATCGCAAGATAATAAAACTACATAGTTTATTTGTTTGTATCTCTCGATTCGAATGGAAAACTTTTATCATATGAGATTAATGCTTTCACTTGCAATAGTGAACTAAGACAGAATATTAATGTGAAACAATTTTGGAATGGTTGAACAACAATGATAGAAATTTATTGCTTTATAAATTATAATTCAATTTTGATTTCTTTTACCACCCTTTGGTGAATGTATTTGTTTTTTCAGGTTCGTTTTCCTCTTAAATTTGTTTCGATTCTGAATGAAATAATTTTAAATCGAAAACTTTGTCACCTCAAAAAAAAGTGAAGTTATTGCTTTTGTTTTCGATATTAAGTTTAATGGTTGTAATGATTGTTGCAAAAAAAAATCTGCAGATGAAATGTTATTGAAGATATGGGGATATATTTTTCAATTGTCTTAATGTTAAGGTCAAATATTCTGAGAAATATGGTTGGTGGAAAATAATGAAATTATCTAATATGAAATATTATAAAATCAACATAAAATAAGAAGCAAATAGATTTTAGAGATTTTTCATAATTGTTTTCTTTACAAGTTTTAAAGCAAATAAACTCATTGAAGAAAATGCTTTATACATCTGAAAATTATATCAAAAATAACTTTCATTTAAGTTTTGTAACTTTTCCTTTCATTGAATTGTAGTTATCATTTAAATAATTCAAAATTTAAATATTGGAAACGAACATGACTATTATGCATAATTTAGAAGAAGAAAGTACAGTGAACTTTCTTTATAAGAATTGTGAAGGGAGTCACCTATAAAGAGCTTCTTACTGTAAAACATTTTTTTGAACATTACTTCTTAATATGAGTGTTAAACCACACAGCTTTTTACTTAAATATAAGGAGAATTCTTATAAAGAAAGTCCACTGTACTCAAATGAAAATTCTCAAGAATTCAAGTTTAGCAACAATCAGTAGAAGAAACATTTCACTAGTCTTTCAAACTCAAAAAAGAAGTTTAATAAATCAATCAGAAGTTTGTATTCTAGTTTATTGACAATCAACATAGAAACATTTACATGATAACTGCAAGTTAAGTAAGAATTTGAAATACATAGATATACATATTTGCGCAAATTGATGAAACAAGAAATTCATGAACAACACATAAAAGTGGAGATAAAGGAAAAGCCAAATCACAAAAATCAATAACGACAACATTGATTAATATTTATAATGAAAGAAATTGAATGCGTCATCCTAATTTTTTGGGTGATTAGATAAATATCCAATTTATCATTTCTCATGACGTGATTAAAAGTTGATAGATAAATAATAAATAATATTATTTCCACTAATCACGAGCAATGACAGGAATAAAAAGATAAGTTAAAAGTGACATGACTTTACTTTTTTTGTTAATTTTAATATTTTTAATTATTTGGGAGAAGTTAAAAGTTAAAAATATCGAAAAGCAAACCTTGTTCGGATTTCGATTTATCAACCGACTGACAAGCGATGCGCCATTCTTGAAGTTCTGGAGATGGAATTAACCCTGCTGAACCGCCAGCTGTATCGTGTCTGGCTTGCCACCAATGATGATCGTCTTTGCTGATAATCTGAATATTTAAGTCAAAAGTTTACAAAACGTTCCATGAGTTAACAATGGTATGAATTTATTTACCTGCAAAATATCACCAACGCGAAAAGCTATTCCTGCCTGTGCACACGGAATTAGTTCATCGTCCAATGGATCATAATCGAATTGAGCGCGAACGAAAATCTGTCGAGAAAAAAAATTAATAACTCGTCGGCGTTCTGTTCTGATGATATTTATATGATATGATCAAAAACTTTTCTAATTTTCATTTCATCAGTTTTTTTGTGATAACACTTGAATAAATCGACGTATTTAAGGCTTCAAAATCCCTTATGAATTTTTATTTAATAATTGAAATATGAATAATTTAAAAAGTGTGAATATTTAACGTTTGTAGAAAGTCTAGAAGATCATGGTTAGTTAGTTACGAATATTTAATGAAAGTTTTTGGTATGAAGCTTTATAACTATATCCTTAAAATTGTACCATAAGACTAAGCCTTCAAAAAACTAATTAGCAACATGATGTATGAATATGGTTAGTCACAAACAAGCTAAAACATGTTTTATTTAATTATGAGTCACAAAGCCTGATGATGATGATAACGATAAGAAAGTTGAATACTTACTAAAACTGGCGCCGGTCTAATCCTGAAAAGCTGCGCATTGTTTTATCGGTTGGTTTTACAGGATTAGATAAAGAAAAAGAGAAAGAAAAGGTGGAAAAGAGTGAGAAAAGGAAGAAAAGTTTATGTGGTAAATGGTTAGATGTTTTCTTCTGTTGTCTACATAAAGTAATGAATACAAATTAAAATTACGAGCAGATGAAAACATCAACATCTGCACCTGAAAACCGCGCAACTTTTTTGGTTTTTGAATTTTTCATGTTTTAATTAGAACATTTTCGTACAGAAAAGAATGAAACATTTTGAGTTAATGCATATGAAAATTGAGATATCCTTTTGTTTCTGATATTGCTATTCTTCTCTACTCAACAAATTTTAAAGCGTATAAACTACATATTAAAGTTTTAATTTTAGCAATACAATGAGCAAAGTTTCTTTCACCTGGTTTACTAGTACAAAATAATTGATTTTGGCAAAACTACAACATAATGTGATATATTTAATTAACTTACCTCGCATGGTGGCGGAGCGCTTCTGTATGAAGGAACTATTTTGAACGTTATAGAACCACGAGCGTCACGCTGTTAAGGTAAAGTTTCTTTTTAGCTGAACTCTCAAAAGGCAATAATTCATTAGGTTTAAACTCACCAATAATCTTTGTAATTGACTAACTGTTTGGTTCTGTACCGGTTGTCCATTAATTTCCCGAATTTCATCGCCAACGTGTAACGTCGCCTGTCGATGAATCATACCACCGTGCATAATTCGAGCGACAATACATCGGCCATCTTCAGTCATTTTTAATGTGATTCCCATCGGTTCATCGGTGTTCTTTTGAAATTGAACGAGGCGTACTCGCGTTACGTGTTGAAGTTCTCCTCCATTATCGGTTATGTTATCGACTTCATCACCGCCGTTAAGATAGGGTGTAATTGGTGGTGGTGTAACGCGTAATGCTTCTTCTCCGTACACTTCTCGTGCGACCACGTCATGCGTGTGCAACAGAGCCTGTAAAAGACCAAAAGGATAGAAACAAATCAAAGATTGATGATGATTAATGGCCGAGAATTAGACGTAATGGGTACAAGATAAATATTTCTTGCGTCTCATCAATATTTCCGAGTGAGTTCATTTCGCAGATGATGTCAACATAAAAAGATGCATCAGCCGTTTTAGATTAGACTTTTAATTGCCTTAATTTTCATATTCCCACATGTTTCCAATTTCTTTTGACGCTGTTGACAAATAATTATCTTTGAAATTTGTTAGAACGTCATTAAAAAGTTGAAGCCATCTGTATTGAATACGAACATTTTTCTATTGACATTTCATAAAATTTCGAAAATTTCTGAGAAATAAAATCTTTCAAAAGCTTTAAAATCATTTCCTGGTAGATTTCTAAGACATACTCTTGAATATTTAAGCAGATAAGTCCTTTCGTCGTTACAGAAAACGAAATCCTTTATAAGCTGTTCTCAAAAATTGACTTATGTATTTATTTTGACATCCAATTCAATGAGTTTCCATATATTGAGAACAAGTATTAAAGTACTTAGATCGACATACTTGAACGTTTTTGTTCTAAAAATTATTCATCTTGAAACTTTCATATCAAGAAATTTCCATAATCGACCTGCAACTCAACACACAATTTTATTGCTTCCTTCAGATTAGATTTGTAATGTGCAGAAGTGTCATACATAAATGAATGATTGCCTTCAAAATCGTTGGAAAATCGATTTGAATTGCAAATTAAACACATTGTGAACAGAGCGTATTATTCACACGATGTTTTCAATCGATTTTAATAGAACCCATAAATTTTCTATTTCCGTCACTTAGCTGCGAAAACTTTTTCCACTTAATTTTTTCCAAAGAATCAGCATTGATAAACGATAAGGAATTTATCCTGAATATATCAGATGGATTATTGTAAAATAGATTTTTTATGACAATCATTATTTAAAAGAAGTATTTTGACCTTATTATGAGTAAAGGAAACATTAGCTAAATATCATCAATGATTATAGGCGTATAGAAAACTTCCCTCTATACTTTATATCATTTCAATTAATTATTAATTAAATTGAAAAATATTTTTCAATAAAATTTTTAAGAACAGGAAATCATAAATGTTGAATATTTAAAACTTTGACACGACATAATATTTTAACTTGAAAATTGTAACATTTTTTTTTAAAGGAGTTTTTATACCTTTTTACATCTAATTAATACGATTCAGAACAAATGAGCAAAAACAATTTTATGCTGTGAACAGCGCAATTTGCCTGATTGCTTTTGTATTTGAAACTAATTTATTGCCAAGATTTTTTTTTAATTTATTTCAATGTCTCAAGACGGAAAATAATTTATTATATTATTTATAAATGTAAATTACTGGAAAGCTTTCAGTATATGTATTTATAAATCAATTTGAAATATTTGTAAATTCCTAGCAGATTATTTATTGATTTATTTGATTTGAAATTATGTTGTAGACAGGAAACGTGTGTGACGCTTGTACGAGCACTTAAGATATCGAAGGGAAAAACGAAGCTGAGCCATTTCATAAACAGATATAAACGTCAAATGATATTACAAAAAAAGGTGAAAAGCCTCAAGACATAACTTCGCAGAAAAAAACTTTCGGTTCTTCTTTTAGATTTGGCCTTTTTTCTGCCTCAAGGCAAATTATTTCGAGTTATGTACTCGAAATCTACTATTTTAAGAAGGGTTACCTTCCTTTCACTTTCAACCATTATTTGAGTGATATTTTAGAGTTTATTTCAAAAGAAAAACCATTTGTGGGCCGAGAGATGTTTGTGGATTAATGACAAGGATCACATTGATCAACGAGCTTTCTTTTTCGTACCATGACAAATGAGGTTACTGTTAATCTTTTAAAGCTCTACTGTAGAAAAAATTCTGCCATTTTATAATATGCAATGATAGAGTGGAGGCTGTTCAATAAATAAATAATGCATTTGTTGTTTAGGGTGAAAATATTAAAGCCTTCCACAGTTTCATCATATTCTAATACAGAATAATGACATCTCTAAAGCAACTTAGCGCTAAAAATTATTATGCTTTCAATCGCTTCCATTAAAACAACTTTTGCAGCTTTTAAGTCAACCGTCCGTAGCGGTTTTTGTAAAAAGAAATTCATTTTTATCTGAAAACATTGCGGCTTGAGAGTTTTCCAAATCTTCAAAAGGATTTAAGGCTCCGGGAAGTTTTCCTTTTTTTCTTGGTCGTTTCCATTTATGATCTTAAGAGAGGATGAAAAGAATAAAAAGACTTCGGAAAAAAATTATCAGAATACGCGGTAGAGAAAACTTATGCTGCGTTAAGCATAAAAAAATCTTTATATATAGTATATATAATACTTATGTAGATAAGTGAAAATTGAGTTTGCTTCTTTCAAAAAAAGTGAAATTAATAATCATTATCATATTAAAAATTTTCAGAGCAAAATCCCTCGAAATTAAAACCATAACTTTAACTCTGAAACGTTTTACATTAGCAATTTCATAACAACACGAATGCTTGAATTTCAAAGAATATGACAAGAAGCAAATTAACGATGTTGCAATTTGACGTCCATGAAGCTAGGGAGTCTTTTTTTCCAATCTTCATATTTAAGACAATTAAGAAAAAATAACAGGTTTAATTAACAACGCTGAAATATGTAGCGGAAGACATGGAAGTATTTTCGTAACAGAAGCAAAGCATAAATTCTTTACAATTAATTAAAGTTTCATTATGCGTTGTCAAAGAAATATTTTATCATCACGTTTAATTAGATTTTTCATGCTTTTGCCATTTTATGAAATCACTGAACTATGTAAACCTTGTACTTATTTATTTCAAAGGAAATGGGAAGAGACAGCCAAGAAGAACAATGTCCTTGGGTTTTCCGCTTAATTTCAACAGCAAGTAATTTTAAAATATTTTCTTAAACAATTTTTCTATTAATTTCGTTATCCAACAACATGGTCTATATTAATACTTCGTTAAATTGTCATCAGAAATTTTATACGTATCTAATGTGTTTTCTTGAGGAGCAATTTTAGTTGATAAAGCAGAACTTCTGATGTAGGTCATGGACGAGGCGTGGGAGGGAGGTGAAACTTCACTTCCATCTTACCTATTTAGCAGTAGTGGGATCAGACTTAAACTGTAATAAATCAAACAATATGTCTCCTTTGAGGGGGAAAGCAAAAGCAAGAATGAATGAATAAAAAAATGTAGGAAACATTTTAGGAAAGCTTTTGAAATAATTAATCCCAGTGAGATAACACCAGCAACGACATTATAAAAATAATAAGAGCCTCTTTGAACTTTCTGCAATAAATTCAAAGCTTCCTATGTGAATATCAAATGAAAGCCGCTACGCTGTTTATCAATCATAATATAGCAGTAAATTAAGGCGGTAAGTAATCCTCGCCTAATGCCTATTTACAAGTAAAAAAGTTCTAGGCTTTTTGTTGCAGCATTTTTTCTTATTGGGGCGTGAATCAAGAAGAGAACAAAAAAGAAGAGGACAATAATAAGATCGTTTTAGGGAATATAATGGCAACGTTTATCAATGTGATTACCGAAGGCAAAAGACTGACCTAAACTGAAATTATCGTAAACATATTTCCATTTCTTTTTCTCGAAATACATGAAATGGAGTTCGAAGTCGTTAGAGAGTAAATCAAGAGTATCAACAATTTTGCTATGTCTGACAATAATGCGTAACTAGATTTATATTTCATTAATCAGAGCAAAAATCTCACGTGCTAATGAGAAAAGATATAAAAGATTCGTAGGCGAGTAATGTGCAAGACTCCCTCTTCTTAAAAAGTTCCATAGCATTCCCGACAAATATGAACTAAATTTTCGAGTTAAACAGCTTTAAAGAAGACGAAATTTCTCTTTTTTCTTAATATTTGCAGAAAATATTTTGGGAAGCGAAAATGAAATCAAATTATTGATAATCAGCAACCATGCGTTAAGAGAAGTATAATAAAAATAGTTTGCTACAAGAATGGATGATAACAAAACTTCTTATCGTTGGGTTAAATAAATGACCAAGTGTTTGTATGCAGAGAAGAAAACATCTTTTATGCTCAACTTTTTTTCTTTTCGGCTAGTTTCTTAGTAAGCACTCTAAAGAATGCGAAACTCATACATGTATGCTGTTCAAGGTTTAATGATATTAGATTTGGAAGCATATGTGGCGATAATAATCTCTCCAAGCTTTTTGTCGAAAAACAGCGTAAAACTGAACTCTTTTCTGAGAACGGGTAAGAATGCTTGGAATTCAGTAACAAAATTTTGACACATTTATTGGGATCATGTTTGAGCTTTAATCTTGAAGTTGTGATATTTATGTTGAAATATTTGGCAAACACATAGAAATATGAATTTATAATTAATTCTGTATAAATAAGCACTCATGCTTCCTGCCATCTCGGTGTGAATAAATAAGAATGAACTTCATATATTTCTAATTACAAAACGTATTTAATAAGCTATTCAGAAAGATTTGTTGTTAAATAATTATTTTTTAATGAGTCAATAAATTTGCATAATGCCTTGACAGTGTCAACATTTGGGAGGTTTCGTTAGACCGCACCCGTCAGCTTATGCTTATAAAAATTTGAAAATACATTAAGCTAAGGATTTCATCCATTAATTGAGAAATAACAATACGAGATTGCTTAACGACACTTATGTTCACTTCATTTCTAATGCGCTCATTCAGTCTTAGTGACAAAATATTTAACAAAAAGAACAAGCTTCTATAGAGGTTTAATTAAAATTTTGATCTCTTCTACTCCCTCACGACAAACGGATGAAAAAATTGAAATGATATTTTTGTGTGATTGAAAACTGTAAGCTCAAGAGTTGTGTAATAAAAAAAAAGAAGAAACTTTTCCGTTTTCATTTCCAAATGACATCATTTCATCATAACAAAAATTTAAATCAGAACTTTTCATTTTAAAAATGAAACAAAACAAAAGTCAACTTTTTATGACATTTGAAACTTTTACAGTGGTTTTAATTGAAAGAAAAAACCGCATTTCTGTTTATAGAATTTTTTAATTAAAGTTTAAATGAAACTCAATCCTTAAACAATTTTCACTTGTCAGCAAATACAAGTCCAAACTAATGAACAAAGCGCTTACACATTCTTTGAAACGATTTGAGACAAAAAAATCAGGACTAGGAAAAGCCTTTGATTTGAATATAACTTATGTATTACATAAGTAAGCATTCCTTCTGATAGTGATCCAATAATCTTATTTTCTGTTCTAAAAAACACAGCTTATGAAATTCATACCAACATTGCATATGAAAATATCAAACAATAAACGAGATCATGTCGATTTGAAGAGGGTGAAATTAGAAAAGCTTTTGTAAGTAGTAGAATATAATGAACTAACTCTTTCATGCTTCAATTTCTTTCACAGCTTTGATGTTCCTTTTCCTTTGAATTAAACAAGTTACGCCAAACAAACTTCACTTTGACATCTAAATATTTTCCCAAATTTTTCTTCTCTCACAGCTGCTTTTGAAGAAAATTTGAAAAGGAAAACTTTCTTGCTTTAGCATTTTCTTCTAAAATTATTTATCACTTTTTAAAACTAGAACTAGAACTTTTCCTGTTTTTCCTGCCAAGTCACTACAACAAGCAATTCAAAAGTTTTTCTAAGACAATATTTCAGAATGAGTACCGATATTGTTGTTTTTATACTAAAAAAAATAATTTCTTCTATCAAGCAACAAATATTTGTTAACAAAGCAACAACTTCTTAAATATTGAAGTTAGATAATGTAAATAAATTCAGTTTACTTTTAAGATTATTCGAAATTCGAATCTCAAATTTCAAGAAGAACTTTTTGTTTATTTTTCTGTTCTAGGCAAAATCAACTTTCAAAACTTAGAGCTTAATTTGAATTTGAGTAATTCATTTAATTTTATGAATATCTAGGTCGACATTTTAAATTTATAAATTAACTAAGAATACTATCCTGGATTCACACTTTTGAATTTGTGTTTGTAAGTAGTGTAAACATTAATGCACGTTGAATGTTCACGAAGAAAAAACTGGATTCATTTACCAATCACAAACAGGGAATTATCAAGCAATGTTAATAATCTGTTTAAACAAGCTTTCTAGAACTTAATCTGTTTAAATGGAAGCGAAAAGCTCTACAGACTAATTAGAATATTCATTCAAAAGTGTTAGGATTTAACACGCAATAACTTTTAATGGAAGCTCATAATGAATAATTTAAATATGTTAAAGGAATGAAAAAAAGAAAGTTCAACAATGTTTGTTTCTGTCGAAATTTAGCTTGAAAAATCATTTGGATATTTAATAAAAGAGAAAAAAGATTATTTTGATGCTTTACTTTATATCATTTAAATTGATGCTACATCATGAGAAAGATGTAGGGTTGAAAAGATGAATGATGAGTGACGGCTTTTCCTATCCGCTCCAACACAATTGCCAAAATTTTAATTTTAACATGATGAAGGGTTCATAATTATTTATGAAACGGAAATCCAAAAAAAAATGTCTAAGACGTTTATTAATTAAATTAAGGAATGACGTGGTGCTTAAACTTAATCTTTGCTATCGAGGAAAAAAAGTGAACGGTATCAAGATGAGAGGAAATACTTCTTTACTTTTATTTTCTGAGAATGTTAGAAAAATAGCGCCATAAATAATTTGCAATATCAGCTTCCAGAAGTGTCTGTGTCTTTTATTATTTATAATATTAAAAAGACAGACTTTGTTCCTTTCCAACATAAAAAATCTGAAAGCATCCTCAAGACTTTTTGTCCTTGCAAAGATTTTTCTAAGTTGTTTTCGCCTTTCTTTTATATATATCAAGGGTAGAACGAGAAAACCCGCCGACATTATCACGTATTTCCTTTTCATAAGAACTGAATTGAAGCCAAACTATTTCTAAATAACAACGACGACTACGAAAACAACAATAAAAATTTATCATATCGCTTTCGCTCGTTTATCCCCACAGCAAGTAATCTTAAGACGTGGAAAGAGATTTTCTTTTCCGTTTTATAGGAAAGCTACAACGAAAATCAATATTTAGCATTGCTAAATGTAATAGTGATATTGGTTTCTTTTCGAATGTCATTGTCAGAATTTACTAGACAATATACTTAGAGAATGTTATGTCAATCACTGAGATGAAACTGATTCATGAAATTTCATGTTAGAAAAATAGGAAAAAAATTTACGACTTCTTCGATGAATTTCTGGATGTAAATAAGAAACAAATTTCTTATGTTTTCAAAATGTTTTTCAATGGCAACGGAACTTCCCCTTGATATGTGAATGGATAACTTAACTTGTAATATCAATCACGGAATCGTAATGCATGTGAAATTGATGTTCGAAACATAAGATTTACGACATCTGCGACAAAATTACATGGACGTGTACAAATGATACACAGACATGAAAAATTGAAGGTTGATACTTACGTAACAAAGCATTTGATTTGAGGAAAATATGTGGACACTTTTGCTATAAAATAACGTTTATATCATTTCGACCATAATCCTTATGAAAATGGAATGAAGTCAATTCCATAATGTTGAGGGCGTGTTGGCTCAAAGCAGCCAGCAATTGCGATAATTTATAACATTAAAGCTGATGTCGCTGAATATTTGCGATGCTGCTTTAGTTAGTTTTTTATCAATTGTTATCCTTATATTCATCATAAACATTCATTGACGTGTTTAGAAATAATTAAATTTATTAGATGAGTTTAAAAATTATTTCAACACTGATTCTTCATACGACAATTGTTTAACACTTTTTTATTATAAATTCACTTAGCGATGACAATAGAATTTATGCGTGAGCACCTCGTTAAAGATTAATATTTCATGAGACTGTTTCCGAAAAAAAAATGTCTCGGTAAGTGAGTCAAAACAAATTAGAAATTCTCTGTTCGCAGACAAATTTATGACTTAAAAAGAGCTTTCGACGTAAAGTTTAATAAAATTTGAACTTTTCCCAGTTTTCGATCTGTCATTTCTCACGCGTCACAGAATCGAAGTGTGGAGGAACGTCTCATAAATTATTCAATCGCGGGAAGAATTTTCAAACTTTTTTTTCACGAATTTACGTCTTTTTTTCTTTTAGATTTTATGAGCAAAAAATTCACAATGGGACTTGTATAAGTATGAAGAGAGACGGCAAAAGTTACGCGCAAAGAAAACATTTATCAAGCAAGCATGAATCATAAACGAGAATGTTCGATAGAAATCATAACAGCAACAAAAAGTTTCCGTCATCTTTTATTTTGCTTTTGACTTCATTCATTTCCTTTTTTCAGATTTTTTATTTGATGATTTCTTTCAGTTTTCTATTTTTATAACTTTTATCTATGTCAAGTTGATATCAACAAGTCGGAAGTGATCAGTTGAAGAGGATGTCATAAGAATTATTAATTAGGGTTGCTACATCATAGAGAAAATGAAGATTGGAAGAACTTTGACGAAACAAACATTACTCATATGTACAACAAGAATAATTCCTGGTCATGACACTTGGGAGCTTCAGTTATGTATCAACATAGAATTTTCTCGCTTTTTATTTAGTGAATTCAAATATTTTAACATTTTTCTGTTCTCCTTTCACTTCCACACAATTTTATTTCGTGAGAATTCCTGCCTATTTTTTTTGAATATTTTCAACTTTAGTACTTTCGAAAAGAATTTTTTTTGGAACATTTTTCGTCAAAGCATATAAACATTTCTGTCATTTCAAATTATCAGCTTTAGTTAAAACGTTGTCATGAATATTATCGTTAGAAGTGTTTCAAATTGGATTTTGTTAACTTCTGAGTTTGACAATTTTCCGAAAAGCTAAGTCGATATAAGAAATATCTTCAGGTAGTGAACTTTTATAAAATATGAGACATTTTATTGAATTGTTTGAATTCATCTAAGTTTGTGTTCAATGATTTTTTAAATGTAGTACACGTAGCATATTCAGAGATTTTAAATGCTTTTGATTTATGAAACTTGGGATAAAGGCACGTTTTTATATCCACAAGTGAACATAACTATATACGATGACGGTTCTTAGACTCGCTTTTTCCTTTTGTTTATTTTAGTATCGAACCTTTCTCGAAAGTTCGTCATTCACGTTTCCAATTTTCAGTTGCAAATATTTCTCAATAATAAATAACCACAGGGTTCTTTCGTATTTCACGCTTGTGCGGCCCTTATAATGCGGTTCGAATCACAGATTCAATCTTTGTCCTTGAAATTGGCAAAAGGAAAATTATTTTATATTATTGCTAGAAATTTCAGTTTAATGTTACTCACAATAATCAAAATTTGTCACATAAATTATGAAAAAAAATTCATGCCACGTCAAGTATGATTTTTTTAAATTTATCTTTCTTTATAGCATGTATGCTATCGAACGGAAGCAGAAACCCAGAATACCGCGAATTCCAATAAATTAATTTATTTTAATGCGGTTGTCATTGAAATTGATTGTCATTATAATACTATGACTCTCTTTTATTCATAAATGAAGCTCTGTGAATTTTATTTATTTATTTATCAGAAATATTTTTCATGAGTTCATTATGAAGAGGTATTCATAAATTACGACCTTAGAATAATAAATTCTCAAATTCTTATCTTTTATCGTTTTAGATAAAAGAAATAAAATATCAAATTCTCAATTAGTATTTTAGTGATAGATAATCAATGAATCGCAATTTATTGCTAATACTTATTTATTATGATAAACAAAGATTTTAAAACGAGAAAATATTTGCAAATGACTTGCTTATGATCTCCATAATTCATCAATTAGAATGTTTTATTCTATCTAAACGTTTCGATAACATAAACTCTATAAACTTTTTCACTTTACTTGGATCTGCAAGAGTAATCCTCATATTCAATTAACACTCAATATTCTTTTTTCTTTGTTGTATATGACTCTCAAATAATAAAAAATATCTTAGAAAAAAAAAATGGTTCTTAATTGGTTAGCTCACGGTGGATGCAAGGAGGTTGTCACGAGATTTCTTTTGTAAATAGTCAGTTACAATGTTTTGTTGCTAGAATTCTTTTTACGCTTATCGACATGTTAAAAAAAAAGTTTGTTTTGGATTGTTGCATTGATGTAACTCTGTCTTCGTATAACATGTATTGCATTATTTGCGGGATATGTAATTAAGGAACTGTGATTTTTTTTCAAACAAATATAAATACGAAGCTAGCACAAAACCGATTCTTTGAGAATGACTTGTAAAAAGATTCAGATACATTTAAAATAGAAAGTAATTCCTATGAGAATTGAAAAGCTTTGCAAGTTATAAAAAATTCATGAATTGTACAATTGCCTGCTTTATTTTAGAAATTTCTGTCCCTAAAATGTTTGATGATTTTTTGTTCCCTGTTCCATGTTAGAAAATGGATGAATCTAACAACAAAGAAAAATACACGATCTTTGTGTCATGTCAATTTTAGTAAGGCTTCATCATCATGAATCTCTCTTTTTTCATATTTTGTAAAAGTCAGTATCATTCACGAAGCTAACGTAAATAACAGGAAATTGTACTTTGAAGAAGGAAACACCACGTATACAATCTGTTAATCCTGAAAAATCATTCTCCTGATAATTCCAATCTTGGCTTTACAAGCTTCTTTTATAGATTTATTTGAGTGAAATAATACGATGATATAGAATATAAATACATGAAATAAAAGAGAGAAGGCGAAAGATTTCTATTTTTCTATATGAATGGAAAAAAGAAAGACAGATTTTCAACTTCCTTTCACAGTCATAGAACCACATGAATAAATAATTGAAATTAATAGGTTTCGGACATAAGAACAGCAAAACCTACGCCAAAAGCTCTTTGAATCCTCATACATATATGTATATGTGTCTTTAGGCGATTAGATAAGAAATTACATTTATTATGCACCGTCACATATTAATTAAACTTGTAAAGGTGGCTGATTTAAACACATTTCTGTTTAAATATTAGAATTGATCTCACTTCACTGATGAAATTTAATTGATTAACATTTTAATAAGTATTTACTGAAGTATGCTTCAATTTTTATAGTTTTATGTTCCTTTTAATTTAAACAATTTTTATTGATACCGTCTAAAAGTTTTTCAATATCGCTTGAATCACAAAATAATCACAGAACCTCTTCGTTCTAACAGTTATCTTCAAATGATAAAATTGTGTTCTAAACATTCTTTGTCTTCTAAAGAAACCCAAGCTTTCTCCTTTTTATGCTAAAAGCTTTTCCAAGACACATTATACTTCGTATGCTAAAATTTTTAAAAATTTCCGTTTATTCGAGACACATTTTTTCCTTTTTTCCTTATTATATTTGTATGCCCCTTCTCTCTCATTATTTTGGCCGGAAAAAATATATTGATGAGTTTTTATAGATGGTCGAATATGAACTTTCTCGAAGATGCCATATGACAAACATAAAGACACAGTCTTACAGTTAACATTTGATTCATAATCCCAATGATTCTCTGTATGACCGTGTCTCCATAAATGCCAAATATGTTTTCAATTTATCACCCAATTGCAGAAACTCAATAATGGATATGAAAGTTTAGACAAATAAATATCTTTCTACTTCTTTTTTCACAATAAGATGCTCCGTAAATATTAATTTCATTTAATTTGCAATCGATATCTGTATCAATGGGAGAGTAATAATAATTATGTTTATTTGAGTGTTGATTCTTAACAAATATATACTTATATATGTCTAGAATCTGAGTTTCTCATTAATTGTTGCATTTCTATTTGAATATTTTTTATTGACAGTACACATACATATATCTACCATATTCTTTGTTTTCTGACATCATGTAATTAATCTCTCTTCAAAAGTTTCATGTTTCAACATAAATTTTTGAGGATATTGTGAGTTTATTTCATCAATTAGAGTTTACAAGCCTTGACATCTCAACTGACTACCTACTTCATGATGGAGTTAACTGAATAATTGAGTTAAAGCAGAACTTTTACCGAAACATGAGGAGAAACAAGATCATGAAAAAAGAGATGATAAGGGAAAATTAATTTATAAATATCATAAGGTTTGTCTCGTTCGTCATCTCAAGTCAAAGTGTGGAGGTGTAATTTCTTTTTATTCTACGCTTTTTTTTCTTTTTCATTTTTCGCATTAGGTTGGAAATATTACTGAATTAAATATAACAAAATTTGACAGACAAGAAATTGCTCAAGACATTCAAGCCATGAATTACGTTGTTTCAACTTGAAAAAAAAAGCTCATTTAATCTCTACTTTGGTACATTTTTTAAGTAAGCTCAAAAGTTAAATAATTTAATGTACGTTTATTAAAAAATAAGATATATAAATAAATGAATGATAATTATAATATAAAGGAATTTTGCAAAAGATAAGAACGAGCCATTTTCATTTGACCTTTTTATCGAAAAATTTCTGAGCTTTAATTTAGTTCATGCTAAAGCTTGCAAACTGTAATTTATCTTCATGGTATCGCTAGTCCTTCTGAAAACTTATCTACAATGCGCTATCCAATTTGGCCCAGAAATTTCGTATTTCGAATATGCAGATATAAATATAAGATACATGTATCTAACTAAATAAACTTTTACGTGTTCTGAATCAAAGAAATTTGAGAACTCAATATTTCACAGTTTTCATTTTACAGGGAAGAAATGTAAGTGAGGGTTAATATAAAAAAGAAAGCCTCATCGAAATTCTTGCACGCTTTTACTTTTTACTCACTGAAGAAATTTTTTTTTGATGTTTTGGGATTACTAGATGATTTGACACAAAAAAGTGCTGATCTAGTATAATGCTATACACTTTAAGTCAATCAAAGTGGAAAAATAGTGAGAGGTCATCCACGTTTATGGCAGATTTTAAGAAAAGGATATCGAATTAATTTGTATAATTTTGTACCTTTGAGGGTTACTTTCAACACTAACCTGTTTCATTGGTTTTAATTTATCCCAAAATTCCTTAAAGTTTCTCATTGAATTCCCAGTATAATATTTTATACACAAAAACATTAATCGTCTCTTATATCAGTGTTTTAGTGAAATCAAGAGAAAATATTTTGACCGAATTTCCCCGAAGAGATATTTTATCCACTTTAAAAACTGTTAGATTTAAATCATGTAAACCATTCTTCACTCTTTAGTGTTCAAATTACTTTCACGATGTTGAAAAGTTATTGAATAAGTCATAGTACTCCTTCAAAAATAAATAAAATTGAGTTGTGGTATCTTAAGGCAATCAATCAAACATGAACAACGTAGTCGTTGTTATTTTTTTTTCATTTCGCTATCGATAAGAAAAACAAAAGAGTGGAATTAATCTATTTTGTTTATGTTTGTTTGCCGAGTTAAATTAAAATCATTTGAGAGAAAATCAACCTTAAATAAGAATCAAGATTAAAAAAAGGGTCAGCATTTTCTTTACATTTTTTCTTGAATTGTTTTTACATGGGTTCATAGTTTTGGTTTTTAAATTTTTCAAAATATATGTAAAGTTCATCTTATTGCTTTAAATACTTAAAACAAAAATTCATTCATTTTCATGGCTGTTCATGGAATTATTCAAAAACGAATTCCTTCCGTCTGAAAAATATATTTAAGTATTTACTCACTCGGACTCAAGATGGCAGAAAAAATATATTTACATATTAAATCAAAGCGCTGTCTTTATTTGCGAGAATGAAGAAAAACCAAACATACCTGAAAAATAAAAAAGAATTTATGTAGATATGTTAGAATCATGTTGGTTACTTTATGGAATTTAAAAATTTATTTTATAAAAATTAACTCTTTACTTTAACTCCATCTCCGACTAAGATTAATAAACCTATTCAAATATTATATTAACTTATCTTATTACTGCTAAAATTTCAAATATTTCCATTTATGCTCGTAAAATAAAACGAAGAAATATAAACGAGAAACAATTTTTAATTAATTATATTAGAAAACAGAAGCTCAACATCAAAAGAAAAACAAGGAAAAGTAATTTCATAATTTTGTTCAGGAATGCGATAAACACTTTCATGTATAGATTAAAAATGAATTATCAGAGACTCTTGTTTTATAGACGACATAAAAATACTCAACAGAGTATTGTCATGTTTTCATTTAATCCTGGTTTGCTAACAAATACTACAAAAACAAAAACGACAATGACAGAGAAAAATGTCATCTCCGGTTCGTTAACAAAATGAAAAAGAAAATAAGAATAATCTTTTTGATGCGATTAATTTTTTATTTGTATAGGTACCTACATATTTTTAAATTCGTTTCATAAAGAATGATATTTCGATTAATTTTTTTTCCATACATTTCTTTGTTTATTCTCATTATCTTTGATGAACGATGAACGACACCACATCATCCAAACATTTTTTATTGAGTAGAATTTTTTCCACATAAATATATAATCTGAATCGAAATTCAATACAATTCGTGAAGCTGCGGGGTATGAAAGATCACACAATACATTCTAAGTACATACATAAGCATTAGAGAATATGTTCATAGGTAGTAACAGAAGCCATAAACCATAATCCTATGCCATTAAACTGTAGGTTTTGATGGAAGCATCGGTAAAGTGGTGGTTAAAAGCGAGAGGTAAGCAATATCATAGCCTTGCGTTAAAATCCAGAATCGACAAATCAAAATGACAGCAAAAGGAAATTAAGTTTCTAGTCGAAGCGCTTCCTTATCTCCAACATAATAATAAAATATAATTTTCCCTTGATTGCGTGGAAATTCACCCAGACTCGTTGAATATCTCATACATATGATGTGGTTTTCTGACGAAAGCGATAAATCAAAAAGCACCACATAAAGCACTGCTTGGTGTGATAGCAATTTTAATGAAAAACCAAATAAAATTTCAAGATGTTTGGCATGGTTTGCACAGCACTCGTTCCTTTCGCATTTTTTCCCATGTTTATGATTATAGAAGTACGTGAAGTAATTTAACGAGTGAGTCTGTTACAAAGATGCAGTTGAATTTTAAAATTCTTTCTAAAAATTTAAACATTCTATTTCATTGAAATGTCAAACTTTACATGTACTTTACTTTACACTTGATATACTTAGTAACATAAGACTATAAAATAAATTTTCTTGTTCACTGATTTTACTTTATTTTATATCAAGATGAAACAATTATTGTAGCGCTTATACAATTGTTGTGTCATTTATTTGAAAATGAAGAATGAAATATAAAGAAGAGTTCAAATATGTATCTTAAAATGAAATTTCAAAACAAAGTAAGAAGCTTGAAAATTTAGAGAAGTTCACAATATTCTCGTGTCTCACAAAGCTGAAAATATTGTTTGAAAATTGTCAAGGTATCTTGTGGAATTTTGTAACATTCACAAATCGACTAATACATATATCTTCATAAAAATAATTATCTTCAAAGCATAATATTTCTACTTATAGAGAAACCAAGGCAATTAGCTACATTCTATTTTTATTATATGTATTTGAGAAAAAGAATATTCAATTTAAAGAAATAGCTTTCTTATGAGTAAAAATATTCAATTTTAACGTTCTAAGTATATAGTAAGAATTGAAAAAATTTTATTGACATCTTATTTTAGCAGTTTTTTTATGGAAAAGTTTCACAAAAGTTTAACACGATTTTTCAACGATGAGTGAATTATTGAATAAAGGAACAGAAAATCTTTAAAATTAAGTTAGGAACTTTTCGTGACGATCTTAATGCCATGAAGCATTTGAAGATGGCCAACAGGAAAAATATTATGGATATTTGATTATTGATCCTTTCTTTCTACTTTTAATTTACAAAAAGAGAAATTCTTTTTGATTTAACTGATTCATTTGCAACATCAAAAGTATTTAAAACAAGTATTTGGAGCTTGAACGCATCCAAACTTCAAAAAATAAAATTGAAAATAAAACCTCAAAGTTGATATTTTTGATGTTGGTTCAGAATTTTTCTACATTGAATGATACGAGAACCATTAACATGAAAAACCCGAAGACACAAAATTTTATTGACAAAACTGCGAGCGATTTTCTCTCCTCCTTTTCATACAATTTGAATTTAAATGCTTCTTGGTTCACGCTCAGTGGCTTTTCCTTTTTTTCTCACTTTTTATAGAGGGAAATATTTAGAAGGCAAAAGGCAACAAAATAAAGCACTAAACAAAAATGGGTCCATTAAACCTCATTTGAATAATAAAATGAACATCTATAGACTCACATCGTAGCGGTTTTCAAGAATGTCACAGATGGTAGTTTTTGTGCTTGTCTTGTGCGTCTAGTTTTAAGTCATAAAATCGAAGTATGGTTGGTTATCGTTAAAGGAAAAACAAAACTATGTCAATATGGAGGCGGCTCTGTGGAATTGTTATTCCATTTAGAAAACATTCTCTGATTATTTTGATTTTCCGAGTGCTTTTGATTCATCAATATAACTCAACGATAATCTCCTGCGACGGCATGGCTTGATGTAAGAAAAACGTTTCGAGATAAACAGAAACACAACAGAAAACCGAGAATAAATGAAGACAAATTTTTCCTTCGCTTCAATGGTGAATGTTCTTTGGTATTCAGCACATGAATCGGTATAATATAATTACGTTATAAATTCCAGGCTTTCTCTTTATTTATAGGGACGAGGTCAACGAGTCAAATATGTGCCACGCTGTATAGGATGTTGTGTGCTTTTGCGTTCGCCGATATAAAGCTTAAGTATTCTCATCCTGTCAAAAACACTCTATAAATGTTCTTCTTCCTTTTTTTGTACGACTCTTGCGGCATGGAAAAAGAATTCAAGTTGAAGTCAAAGCAAAAGCGTGTAGTGAAAATAGAAGGAAATCAATTGTAGCAATAGAGCTCTGAGGCTTTGCTTTTAATTCCGCGCTGTATTTACGGAGAAATGTAGCGTGAATGTTAAACGAACGCAGCTGTTATATTGAGCATTCATTGTGCAAATCACTCAAATTAATTTAAGAGGTACTTGCCAAACTGTTTCACGATTTCCTATAGAATTGAAAGCTAGAATTTAACTTAAATACTTAAAAGTACAAATTCAATCTACATATTTACATGTTGAAAATATCACATTATTTCTGCTCATGAGCACATAAAAGGGAATTCAGCAGATTAAAGTCTACCGTGCGACAAACTACTACTCTTGAGTAAACAAGCAAACAACATTTTGAACTTGGCAAGATGAAAGAAAGTCGATTGATTTCCATTTAACTACAACCTTTCTTATAATGTATACATAAATGTAAAATAGAAATTTTCCAGCATTTTCTCTTTTCTTTTCTCATATTCTTCATCTTTAAATATATTTTCTTAATAAGTTTTAGGTGGAAGATTGAAATACTTTCACTTTCTCCCTTTTTATTGCTTTAAATCCGAAAAGCTTTTTTGTTCTCAGAAATTCTTTTGGCATTTATTCAACGCGGCAGTAGAATGTTAGGGAAAAAGGGGATTTTCATGTCAAATGAGTCTGCATTAATAATTTTCATATGTTGAGTTTCACATATTTATGTGTGTGTGACTATGGGAAAAGCAAATATGGAAAAAGGCTTTGGTAGCGAGAACAGAACATTTATAAAGAAATTAAAATGCTTTTGTTTCATTCTCGAAGAGTTTTGGTTTTCTCTCATACCTTTTTTTTTGCAAATATAGCATTTATTTTTTCAGATATTCTCTTGGGTTTGGTGTGTGCAGGAAAAGGAAAAGAGCAGAACTTCAATGCCGAGAATTCTTTTTATGATAAGAAAGAAAAAAAGAAGAAATTTAGGCACAATGAGAGTTATTTATTCTGCATCGTCAGTTGAATCACTTCTCAAACATTAAAAACTTAAAAAAAAGTTTCTGTCGTTTTTGAAATTACAGCAGTCACTGCCTATGTAGCAGTCTTACATTTGTTTAGGATTCTTCTCACGTAATGCCTATGTTCACAAAATTTGAAGCCCGTATGTGCCGTTTAGCAGTCGCCTTACACTTAAATTTTATTAATATTTTACATTGAAATTGGGATTGAAATGAAGCAAGAACGAACAAGATTTTCCGACTTCTGCAGATGTCGGTTAAGTCTTTGCGACGAAAGACATAAGAAATATTGATTCTTCATGTTCGTAAATAGCCGCAAGAGAATTTTCAATATCTGCATTCACCAGCCCGTAATGTTGATCTTGTTTTCTTTCTTTTTCTTCTTCTTTCGTTTAGGATAAACTTTACAACAAGAAGGAGAAGAAAAATTTTCATATCCATGCTTAAGAAAAACCATAAAAGTTAAGTCTCAGGTCGTTTCTTTACGAACTCTGTCGATTTCTGTCTTCGATAGAAAAACTAATATCAAAGTGATTGATATTGGAAAAGTAATCGAAGTGGCATTTGAATCCACACCTGAGCTTTTGCAAAACAAAATGGGTATTTCGTTGAATACTTTGGTGATACTCAGAGCGTCAATTCCATGTCAAGCACTAATGCGAAAAGGATTTTTATTCCTTTTGAAAGAATTTTTTTTTACATAAAAAACTGAATAGTTTCTCAACATTTCTTTTTTTTGCTTGTGACGAAATTTGCGTAACATTTGTGGGGATGTTTGCAATCTTGAATTAAAGTTAGATTAAGAAATCATTTCAACATCAACCACGAACATTCAGAAGCGTCTCTTGACATCTACAATTATTTTTCAAAACACATCCTAAGCGCTTTCGGTCAGCAATAGAAACGCTCGATAAATGATTTTTTCATTGAAGTAAATGCCAACGGGATGCGATATGGGCAGCTTACGCATCGCCATGCATGTATACATATCCATGTGCCATTATATTATTGTACATTAACTTTTAATGATAATCTGAAAATTTATGGAATGGTATTTCATTCTTATTTATCGTCATCTAATAAAAGTTATAGCTTTCCTGAAGTAAGGTTGAGGTCTATGATCCTTTCCATTCTTGGCTATTTAGCATTATTTTCATTCAACTTCTATGTTAAAAAAAGAATTTTATAGTTTTCACAGCATTGAAAAATGATTACAATATGAATGAATATTTTTATTGTTGCTGGACAGAATTGAAGAATCGTTAGAAATTTTACTTTACCTGATTTCGAATTTTGATGTTTGATGTGCAAGTGGTCGTGATGAAGGTTCAAAACATTTTGCTAAATCATTTTACTAACAATTATTATTGCATCCTTTCAATAGAATAAAAGACAAAAAAATAAAATGTCAGCGCAGCGTCCTTATTTTAATCCTAACAAGCTTTTTTCTTTCAACAATAGAAAAGTATTTAATAAGCTGTCCAGCTTGTTTCTTGTTTGTTTCTGTGCTTTCTTCTTCTTTTTCAACATTACGGAACCATTCAAAACTCTAACAAATGAGAAAGCTTTAGATATTTATTATTTCTTATAAGGAGTTGTGTTTGCTTTCATTATTTTCATAATATCTCAAAGTTGTTTACAGTTGACTGAAAAGGATACAGTGAATGTTTGATAAAAACAGTTAGAATAATGCAAAATAAAGGGAAAAGTTCTCCTATTCTAAAGATTTACAGATAAACTCGTATTACTACTTTGTTTATTACGACGCATGCATTAGAAGATCAATGGAAAATGATAACAATGTAAATTTTCAAAAATATTATAACCCGACATTGTTTAGCAATATGAAATTGTGTCCCAAAAACTAGTAAATATAAGACCGTAGTTAATTATAATCATTTATTTCTGTAGCACTCCCTTTCACCCTGTCTGAATCAACATATAATCCTCCTTTCATCCATAAGAAGGCTCTTCATTAATAAGATTTTATCATCTGAATTTCAAACGTCCTTTCTTGATCTCTAAATCTTTTCTCCTTATTATTGCCAGAAGAAATCTCTGCCTTCAGACCTCTCAGCGAAAATATTTTTAAAGATATGTCAGATCATTCTTTAGTTAGCAAACCCTTTTTCAGAAAAAAATTTCTAATGAACCCTTTCTTTCTTTTTTCTTTCAATTATTAATCAAAGATTCTTTTAAAAGAAAGATCTTGGATCTCAGACTTGATGTTAATAGACGAATTCACATGTTCGTGTGTCAACGTTACAAACATTTCATGATTTTTATGAAATTACTTTTATGTTAGTTGGTACTAAAAAAATATTTGGGATGAAATGTTGATAAACATTTGAACAAAATACTTTTCAAATGAGGCGTACCACTTTTAAACGGTAATTTGCTATGATTTTCTACTATAACGTTTTGTATGTAACATCCATACTGCCCTTGATGGTACAATGAATAATTGAATTTTATTTGTTATCCAGCGCATCATATCTTGAACAAATGATGCGAATAACAAATCTCAATATTCATTGTCTCTTTGTACATTTTATACAACCAAAGACGATAGGCCTCAAATTGAAATTAATGTTCACAATTGCTTATAAGTATACACCCTGAACATGCGATTACTGTCCTAGTCAGATCATTTATCGGAAAAGTTATATTACTTTATATCTATAAAGGCATGCAGAGATTTTGTAAGAAATTTTCGAAACGTCTTTTTGTACATCTATGTAGTAAGATGGTTAATCGATTTAAGAACTATTTAATTCAATTAACGAAGCAAATTAACACAAATTCTATTAGCTGGATGGACATATTGCTGTCTATATCCAGTCTGCACCTGAGTTATTTGTACACATCTATTCTAGATTTTCTCCTTTGGAATCTTATTTTGAGCCAACTGCTTGACAGTGTTGAACATCTCATGCTGATAAACTTGTATAGTTTGTACTCCATGTGATATCTAAATACATGTACAACATATAAATATAATGCTTGTTTCATCAGCGTTATCTATTTATAAAGTTTATCTTCCATTTCTTGTGTGGAGAAAAAAGCACAAACGAAAGCAGATTCCTAACTCTCTTAAAGAGATAAACGAGTTTTATTAATTTGTTTAGAAATGAAAATGGCCGATAGCGGCTTAGTGTCATCTCAAGCAACAAGGACAGTCATGTTAAATCTCTGAATCACAGAGGTTTTCCCGGGAAAATGTTGAAATCTTTCCAAATAAATAAATCCCTTTGATTTTTCCATTTACCAACTCTTAACAAAGAAATTTGTTTCTCGATTTGTCTCTGAATGCCCTTAGGGAACAAGGAGTAGAAAATGAAAAAGAGAAAAATCAAACGATTACACAACAAGAAGTGATAAGTTTTATTTTGAATGAACAAACTCAAATGGAGAGACTCTTTTCCGAGATAGCTATCGATTTTCATCGCACCCTTTTTATTTACTGACAAATCTAAGGTAATGTTTTCTCTTTTACCATCCTCCATTAAGTGACACCGGGCATCCTCATGGAATAAAAAATTGGGAAATGATGTAAGTCTATTAAGCACAGATTATATTGCATGAAGAAGGAATTTGCCTTACTGTGCAGTCATGGTTCTTGGGCATCTTAAATGAGTAGATAATCAATTAATTATTTCCTTTCTTACACAAGAAAAAATATATTCTGAAGAAAATGAATATTAACGTCTCTTATAAACTAAGTATGCAAGTATCAATCGAGATGATATGATAAATAAGATGAAAGAAAAAGATGTTTGGAAGAACTTCAAGCTTGAATATTTTCCCTTTTATCAAAAGTTGGAAAAGAAATAAAGTTTAAACCACTTGAAGTTGTTGAAAAGAATTTCTATCTCCTTTTGATCTGATGAAGAATGAAGTGGTTGTTGAGTACACTCGAAAGAATAGTGACGTAAAATTCTTTCTACTTCCATAGGGAATTTCAATTTTATGTAGCCTGTGAGTGAAAACTTTGACTGATTTTCAACATTCTTTTGACGTTTATATTACATCTAGAATCTTTTAACATCTGACTTACGGTCGAAATTAAACGTGATTAAACTTTTCAATTAACAAACACAGCAAGCTTTCCCTTTTATGTATTTAATCTCATTTTGAACAATTTAACAATTAAAGATGCTTGAAGTTCATTCAAGTAACTTTACAACTTTTCATTGCTAACGAAAATCACTCAACAATAAAGAGTAGAGAAAAAGAAAATAGAAATAATTGTACAATGCCTCACAGAAATAAAAATTATGCAAAGAAAAATTGAAAATCAATCTTGTAAAGAACATTTATTCATAATATAATTGTTTGAATGCAACATTGAAGGAAAATTGTACAAACAAAACTTTCAATATTTGGAACTTCAAGCATTGAAAAGTTTAGAAAATGAAAACCCATTCTTGTAGTATTTTTTCTATTTCTTTAAACAGGAAGCTTGAAATTGTCTGACAATTCAATCGTGTAAAAATATATTTAAAAAATTTTTAAAGGAAAATAATAGGATTTCGATTTAGAACTTGAGAGAGAAATTACTTTTAATACTTTCACAACTCCTTGAATATATTTTCTGAAACAATTAGAAAAGTATTGTTTTCATTGATTTTTTGAAGCGATTTTCTTCTGAATTAGTTGACTTACAGACGAGGAGGCTACAAATAATGAAATGTATTTAGAAGCATCATGTCATTACGAAATTATTGAGAAGGAGTTTCATCTTGTCGATGTAAGTACTTCAAAGTATAAGGAATTTTTGCACGTATAGTTAATAAAAATCAAGCATATATCTGAAAATAATTTCCCAGTGTTTTTAATACTATAATAACAGCACAAGCGATATGGTAGGCAGTGTATTTTCCGCCTTCTATCTAAAGTTCCCTTATGACATTTCCCATTAATAGCATATGTGAACACTTGTAATATGGTCTCTTGGCAACTACTTGAGAATAAACGAAATTGAATGCTTTTATATACGTAAACTCGTCTCCTAATAAAAAAGCTTTGCGTAAAACGCTTTTTTGGATAATAAAAACATCATAAAAAAGCGAAGTAAATTTGTGTGATCATTACTACCGGCGGCGTTTTTGATGTTAATATTTTTCCTATTTAGACAGATACTCTCATTTTATTATTTTTGATTTATAAATAGTGAAAAGCAAAGCAAGAATTGCTCATGCGCAAATTCTGAAAATTTTCCGTCATTGAATTATTGTGCGTGTAAAATCGCAATCCATCCGCTAATTACTCAAATCATTATTGATGTTTTCTTTTTATTAAATTACATTCTCCCTATTTGCTCTTGGATGTTTAGATACATATATTCGTCATGACTCATAACGTAGCAAAAACCAATTTTTCGGATAATTTTTTTTTATCGCCACACGTTTATTTCAGAAATTATGATACAATTTCTCTTTCGATAATCAGACAAATATCGAAGCGGAAGGCAAGCAAAAGTTTACCTTCCGCGAGAGTGCTTAAGAAAGAAGAAAAAAAAACATTGACAACATAATAAATTATAATTTATGGATCCCTCAAATAAGGTTTATCCAACAAAAAACTGGAAAAGTGAATTTTCTTCTTCTTCTTCTTCTTTATTTCAATTTACGAAACGAAGATGAATTAATGTATAAGAAACCTTTAGGAAGAAGATTTGAACATAAGGTAAACTTTGATCGTAAATTCATCTCAAACATGACGCTTTTGATGTGACCAAAACTCAAAAGTATACCAGAACAATTCATTGGTCGTAAGATAAAATATTTAGCAATTGCATTGTATTTTGACCTAATTTAATGTATTCAATTATTTTTGTTTGGAAAGAATTTAATTTTGACAGGGGATAAAAATTTTTCAGCCTTAAATTTGTTTCTTCAATCGTGAAGCTTAACGAAAATTCTAAGAAAATAATAAATTAGGTAGAATTCTTCAAGTATTTTAAAGCAATCAAACTGAGAAATAAAAAGTCATGGCAAGCATTTCAAAGTTTGAAACATGTATTTACGAAGCAATCAAAGAAATCAAACTTTCTCGAACCTTCAACCAAACATCAAAAATTCAAAGGTAAAAAAAAATATCGCATGAGGATTGAATGACATTAATAACAGAGCGCAAAAGAAATACAGGATGAAATTGTCGGAATTGAAAATTGACATTTTATTGAGTGATGTATAATATAGGATCATGACTTCTTGGAGATGTAAGCGTTGTTTGTTGAGACATTGATGTGGGACATAAGAATAGCTCATAGTATGCTTTCTACAGCTTAAAATTGAGACATCTTTTTGTTTCATCTCTTGAAACTTTAAGCGAACATGTCAAAAAAGATTTTAAAAGGTGGAGAAAGAAAAAGTTGGGCGAATACAAAATAAAGATGGAAAAAAGTCAAATTTACCACACATACGGTTCTAGAAAGGATAGAAAAGAAATTACAAGGGAAAATGCAGAAGAAGAAAATCATCTCCCAGTAAATGGATGAGATGGAAAGAAAAACGAGGGAGCGAGAAAAAGTGTTTTGTTGAGTCAAGCATAAGAAAAGTTTCTTATTTCGTTATTTTGCGCGCTTTGAAAGCGATTATGTTCGAAGGCAAAAAAGGAGAAGAGTAGGAGTTGAATGAAATGGAAAAAAAGGAAAACTGTGCTAATTTGATAGCACTAAACCTTTTTTTTCCATTCTGCTGTGAATGAAGCAATGGTAAAGTAATTTAAAGCATTTATTGCTTGCTGATGTATTTACCAATGAAAGGTTACTATTGAACAACGACAGTGCTCGAGATTTTGTGGTAAAGCAAGGTATAGAATTAAATATTTGAAACCAACTTGTTTGTGAAAATTTTTTCGTCATTAAATTTCAACAATTTTATGTCTATTCAGTAAAAATAACAATCAGAAAATTTACTTAAACATTCTTTTTTCTTTTTTTCAATTCAATTGTTAGTTTATCGAAAACATTGCAAATGATATTGCTACAGCCATCGTTCAATTTAAAACATTATCACCAAACATATCTTCTGACATTTTTTCCGGTTAACTGAAGCATGCTGAATAATTAATTCTAATAAATTTCACTGACATTTGTGATAATTGTTTAAAATTCGATAATGCTTGCTTTTGTATTAACCTTGATGAAATGTTTTGGATGTCTGCAGAAGAAATGTTATTTAAAGTTTTTGTAATTGTTTTGGGAATTCTTAAAGTCAAATTTTATAATCGAAAGCTCAATGAACGAAAAGAAAAAATTTAAACAACTGTTCATCTTTGGTTTAAAATTTACAAGTTTTTAATCTCAAAACTCAAATGGAATAAAAATTGAAATGACAGTTCAATACTAATAAACATTCGAGAAGTTTTTTCTACAATCAACCTCCAAATTTTGATTTATAAATTTTAATTATGAGTTTTTGGATTTTTTAGAAGACGAAATCTAAACTTTACTGTTCCTACAAATTTGAAAGAAATTTTTTCAAGTCTACAGAAATTTTGAATTGTAAATTCATTCGCATGTAGAGTTCATGGAAATTATCTGTTAGCACATTCACGACTCAGTGCACCTACATTTATTGAACAATTAAGTTTGTGTTCACTTTTCCCCTTCCCTGTCGACTCTCTCCATGAACCTTCAAAGCTTAAGATGCTGTTGAAAATACGAACGTAATTATTTATCATAGAAAATTACCTCATTTATTGCCAATAACTATCAGCATAAAATGTTTTACGAGCTGGCACTTTTTTCTCTTTTCTCGTTGCCTGGTACTACCAGGAAAATTTGCTATTTAAAAACAAAATTGGGTTGAAATGATTTCAATTAGAAATATTTATACATGAGGGGTGTTTGTTGATCTTTTGCTTTCTCCGTTATTCTAATTTTTTTTCCCTTTATACTCGCACACCCACACACATACTTACATGCGATGAATATCAGATGCAAATTATTTGCGTTTCATTAAAAGATTATTCAGTGAATAGATGATCTAACCATTTTATTACTTAAGAGCGAATGTTGCACTTCATTTAATTAAGCGTCCGAATGGTGAAATTATTATAATTATCCAAGGAAAAATCTCAGTTAGTCGATGCTGTTTGGTTTAATGATGCTTCAAAACTCATTTGACGTTATGGATTTTTAACTTGCTTTCTTGTATACATGATGAGAAGGACGAGAATAAGAATTGTGAAAATAAAAATAAAACGTGCTAACGAAAAGCTTTGTACAGACACGGCATTAGATGGTGATGAGAAAATCCACCTTTTCATCATTCTCAATTAAATTTGCCTCTTTCTTCAAAAGCATTGAATTTCACGATGGAACCCTCATCAGAATAATGTAGATGAAATAACATTTTTCTATATTCAAGTGGATGGAAATGAAGCGGAAAGGAGCTGAAGAGAAAATATAAAAAGACCTGGCAACATGGCTCTAACCGTCCAATGTAATCTTTGAGCATTAAAACTTACAAGTCGTTAAAGATTTTCTTTTTCCAAATCATGACTTTTGAATCTAATTTTTATGTTTCATTTTAAATCACATTTGAATTACAAGAGTTTTTTTAACTCGAGATGAAAAGGAACAGAAAAATGAATAAAAATTTAATATTGTCAGCAATGAGATTTTTGCATTTTAAAAGTTTCCGATTGTACACATTATTGCTCTGTCGTACGAATAAGAACTTAGCTGAAAGCTACGTAGATAGATATTTCTGAAATATTTATAAAAAAAAAGATTGATGATTTTTTTTATAAAAATCGCTTTTAAATCTTTCGCAATGTAGGAATGGAATGCAAAGAATAATTAAAAGATATCTTAAAAAATCTTTGTTCAGGAGAAATTGAAAATATGTCATAAATTTTTTAAATTTCATTATTTAGATTTAAGAATTAAAATATTTTCATAATTTGATGAATTACCAAATTTTTATTCGAAAAGAAAAAAGGTTATCTAAAGTGAAAGAGCTTTATTTTCCAATGCAGAATGAAAACAGGTCATTAAAGTAATGTGGGGGTAAAGAGACTAGTTAGCTGTCAAGTGGTTGTTTTCATCTTTTTATTTTCTTTTTATTCCGCATGACGAGGGAAATGACTGAGATGCCAAGGCCCATTTTCTTCTAAGTAATTTTGTTCCTAAGCAAACATGGGGACTAAATGATCGAATCTTGAGTCTTTAAACATTAAATTGGTCTCTTTGACAAAATCAAATGATAAAAATATCTCCGAGATTTGGAAAATGATTTTAACGGATTTCCTGAGTGCCTTTTATGATAAATACTTATTAAGCATGATTGAATTAATATTGGAAATATTAGAAAGTTTTAGATTGAAACTGTTGAAGGACATTTTCAGAGCTTCCATCATTATACAATGAAAAGCGGAACATTTCACTTCATGTGATTTTTTCAATTTCCTTTTTGTGATTTATCTGTTGAAAATTGATTTTTCGAATGGGTTATTTTTACATTTGATTGGATAAATATATTGAAACAGTTTGCAATTTCCATTCGCACAAAATGTAATATTTATCAAAATGAAGCTGATGAAAGTTTAAATAATTTGTTGCTTTTATGTAGATATTTCAACCTTTTCTATTTTCCAGTTTATGTATCTAAAATACAAAAGTCTAATTGGAATTCTCCAATGTTTTTGTTGAGTGAGAAACTAATTATTTTGTCATAGACAGCTTCTCCTTTCTTTTCCGCTTCGTTTTCCTTTGTATCGTAAAATGGTAAAATGGAGAAACCAAAAATACGCAAATAATTAATTTTCGACAGTAATTCTCACAGTTAGTTCTGCATCTGATGACTTGATTGATAATGTTGAAATAAATTTAGACCGATAATACGAAAATAAAGTAAATTTAACATTTAATAGCTTTATATGTTAGTTGAGGGAATAAAACTTTTCCGGTTAACTTGGATAAAAAAGTTGAAGACTGTGTAGGAAAACGAAGGCTGCGTTTGAATTTTCCCCTTATATGTTTTTGGTGAGACATTAAATTTCCTTTTTCTTTTTGAACGCAAAACAACTTACCCTGCCTGACCCAGCAAAGATTTCCATGAGCCAAAAGAATTCAAGAGAAGATAAATTGAAGCAAAATTCCCGATAATTTTCGATTATTGAAATTAATGACTTCAATTCACAAGCAGCATTATATTATATAGCTTTCTTAGAGATGGAGTCAAAAAAAGCAGAAGAAGCAAAGGCAATCTTATTGTACATACCTGAAATTAAAAGAAAAGAAAAAAGAATCATTAGTTGGCGCATAAAAAGAATTGAGGTTTTTATATTTTGCTGTTGAGCCATTGTAATCCCGATACAAATTCGACGATTGATGTTCAGTGGAGGATTTCAATTTATTATTTCTCCCCAAATTTCTTTCCTTTGCCCTCCCATGATAATTATGTTCTCGAACCATAACAAATAAAACCAAAAAGGTTCTTGTGGAGGACGATGAAAGAAATTAATTTCATTTACAACTTTTTATTTATTCTCCTTTTGAACTTAAAGTTGATGATTTCTAAGATTCTTTTCTACCCATTTCTAGTAAATTTACTGTTGAAACAGAACAGAAAAAAATAAGATGAAGATATGTATACATATAATAATTTCGCAATTTTTCCACTCACTCTGTCGGTAAATCTCATGATTTACTGGATGAAATGCCCAAGTAATAAAATAAGTAAAGTCGAAAAAAAAATTACTTTTAAAGCAAAAAATCAAATATTTGCCACATCAGCTTTATCGCATAATTATATCATCAGTAAATTTTTTTATAACTCTGTTCATCATGAAGAATAAGCGGATAAAGTTGAATACAGTTTGGAGAAATAGAGAAAGGTTTGAATTGAAAGTTTTCTAAAGATTGTTTGTTTCTTGAGGTTTAGCTGTTATCAGAGCTTAAAGTTTTCTTTTGTTTCTTTCAAGTTACCATGACGTCAAGGAGGAAACATGGAAATATTTCATGGCTCTCAACTTCATAGCTGGCAAGATTTATGCATGTTAAACCTCAAGAAAACATAATAAAAAAAAATACGGTAAAGCATTCTTAAAAACTACTTGTTCAGCAATAACTCAAGGCGTGCTGCTTCTGTTTTTAAGCGAGAATAATTTTTTCTCAGTTTCAAATGCAAAGTGTCAAGACAATTTTTGCTCTCTTTTCAAATGTATTTGGACGCCAGAATGTATATTTTATAACTTAGGAAATTTCTCAATTTGAATGTTCTGTAAATGGAAGAAAAATCTTTTTTTATGATTTTTTTTTTACATCTTGAAGTCCCTTTTTTGATTCACACGAGCGAGTGCATGAAGTTGCCCAATTCAGCATTTATTTTGCGACCTACATATAGCATGAGTAATAAATTTTTATTGTCTTCAGCAGAGACGAAAAAATAAAACTGAAACTCAGCAAGGAATAACAAGCATCGAAAACGAAAAAGTTGAGGAAGCATAACAAATTTCTTATGCGTCAATTAATCAACCATCGGAATTTCCACTTCGCTTCGAAGTTTATACCTCAAATTAAATGCGAGCATTTTCGCAGTAAACGAAACTAATTGACAGGGTTGCGCAAATTTCAGAAGAAGTCCTTTCCCTTGTGACATTTTGATTACGCGATTCTAAGCTCGAAAGGAAAGTAGAAACTTTTCCATTTTAGACAACCATAAGAAGAGAACAGACCAAAGGCAGATATTTTCGTCCTGGGATCGGCTAATTGAATGGCTCGTTCTTCTTTTCTCTCTTTTATCATTTCGCAAAGAATTGGAGAGTAGAATCACGATAACAAGTGTTGTTCTGGATTTTATAAGATGTCCCTAAGAGTACTGTTGTTGTTATTAGCTCTGTAGAATTCTATTTTCGTTTCACAATCACCTTCAAGTCTAAAACTCGTTTCATGATGTGCATGAAATTGTGTAGCAAACTTTAACGGAATAATTCTTCAGAGACAACATTTACATAATTTTAGCATGTTATGTAGCGAGATGTAAAAAAATAAACTAAAGCCATAGAAACTTCCAATGTAAGTAGTTTCAGCACTTGTTACACAAGACAACAACCAAATTTATTTCATAATGTTATATATTTGTCTCTTCTTCTCTCTCAGAGCTAGGAAGATTTAGTTCATCGCAACCTCTTCAGAATATAATGAACATTTAAAGTTGATTTATTGTCTTAAACCAGCTAATTCACTTTTTTTTAATTATTCTTATGATTTGCAAATAAATCAATTAAAATTACTAAGCGAAAAGCTGAAACATTTTGATTTTCTTTTGTTATTTTGAATGAGGTCATCGATTTTAATTTTCCATTACTCTCAAATTTGCTATCATAACAAAAATGTTCATAAATACAAACACACTTGAATGTTGAACATTAAAGCACTTACACGTTTTTATGTTTTGGCAAAACTAAATATAGAAAAACTGAAAACGAATTGAAGTGATGGAAATATGAGAGAAGAAAAAGTTGAATATTATTCAGAAATGGAAAATGTGGCACAAACAACTCAGTTGATGAGGTTTATTGATTTCTCGTGGTTACATCTGGAATAAAAAAGTCTTCGTGTGGAGCTTCAATTGAGAGAGATTACCAGACTTGTCAGCAGTTCTACATTAAAGCTGCTTTCTTAGACTGAAGTGAGAGATTAAAAGCTTTAAGCTTAAAATGAATGGAGGCTTGGAAATGAGTTTTCTTAATGTACATAATAATAAAAAATGAATTAACCATAAAAATCAACGCCTTGTGTTTTCTTAATATCAGTCTTGATGAAAGAATTAACAATAGCAAACAATCATAGATTTTGTTCTTATGTAGCTCCATACTTAATATCATTTGAACGAAAAAAGCAACATAAGAATATGGGTTTAAATGAAAACCTTTTTTGAATATCAGTATAAGAAATTTTCATCTCAAAAGTCAAATGAAGGGATAAAGAAAATCAATAAATTTGCATGAGATTTTCTAGATAATTGAAACAAAGAAAGAAAGCTTGAAAATCGGGAAAACAGAAAAGAAAACATGAAAAAAAAGCAATTTCCGAAGGATTCTGTTATACAATGTTATTGGAATGTATTCTATCAAAAGCATGCATTCACCCTTGATGTTTTTACACGCATAGATATCTCATTTGCATTCTACATTCAATGAACGCAAATACTCATAATCGTATATTGAAAAATTAATAAAAACATGAATGTTGAAATTTACACGTTACACATGTTTGCTTATCATGAAACAAAATTCCAAACCATCTTGAAATATTTATCATGTAAAAAACGAAAATCTTCTTCTTTATTTTAATATCCTGCTGGAATATATTTGAAAATTTCTTTCTTCAATTCTCATCTCAGATATGCATAATTGAAATTGTAAGATGTACAAAACGCTCTTATAAATCGGCGTTATATAAAAAAAATCTTCATTTTCACTCTCGTCTCATTCATCATCGCTGAAAGGAAGTTTTAGAAGCATAAAAAAGAGAAAACAAAAATAAAAACGAGAGCGTTAGTAAAAATTTAAGGCGACTCCGGCTTACACGTAATAAGATTATGTTTAATGCTACACATTAATATTAAACTTATTCAGAGAACAAAAGCAGCAGAAATCAGCATTTGAAAGTGTGGAAGCGGAAGTAAGCTTATACACAAACTGAATCTATGTGTTCACATTTATTTATTCATGTACCATGTACAGTACATATCTAATTTTGCGTCATTAGACTTATTCATATCGGCGTAAAGCTATTTTCATGGACACTGCAACATTTAATGCTGACAATGCGTGAACAGAAAATGACTTTTCAATTAAAAGATTATCTTGGCAAAAATTAATTTTTGAGTATCATAAATCAACAATATGGAAGTCAGCGCAATATTTTTGTTCAAAAATCATCAGATAAAAGTTGGGACAACAAATCAATAATATAGAAAGAATCTTCGATTTATTATTAGTATCTCCTAAACATGCCACATCCAATTGGTTTGATTTTTGTTTTCTGCTTCTTAAGGTCCACATTGATTACTAATAAATAAAGTTTTTCCATCATCGAGTGTTTTTTTCTGCCTCTTGTTTTTCAACTTCCAAGTCACGTCCTTTATTCGAACGAAGAAAATCAGAAGTAAGCCATTATATTTTTTTCGTCCTCTGTTCATTCAGTTAGTAATCTACCGTTCAAAGTACAAAAAATGATCAAATTCTTTTTATTTCTTAGTTCATTGCTTAGTAGCAAAATTTCTCTTTTGAAATGTTACTTTAGGAGACGTCACACTTCGATGGATGTTGAAAGTTTTAATTTACCAACTTGTTTCATCTGATTGAATCATCAAAGAAAGATAAAACAAAGGCAATAATTGAAACTCGTGAAAAACTTCAAAGACAAAATTCGACGCTTATTTACGAGTCGTAACGAAAAGACTTTGACTTGAAGAATATTTTCAACAATGTTAATTTGGAAAAAAAATATTTAATGACAAAAATATCCAAATAAATAAATAAATAAAATAAATAAAGCAGTGTAGAACTTGGGAAATGTGATGGAAGCGAATGTTTCTCTAGCGAGGTAATTTACTTAACAGCCAACAGTTGCGATTCATGAATGTCTGAAAACTTCTACTTATTAATCGCAGGCTCAAAACTGACATGAAACTGTATTTCAGGAAATTTATATCTTAAATCTCGTTTTATTTCTTTCTTTAAGTATTAACAATGTTGACGGCATGAGAAAAACAACAGGCCACAACATGAAAGTTGTATCACCGCTACAACCGAAAATGTTTATTATCTATTTACTGTGTTGAATAATCAAACAGTCTTCAAAATGTTGCTTACGGGTTTGTGAATGGTTCTTCTTGCTAATATTTAAGTATCTTGCTTTCTGGTTTCCGAATCGTTATTTGTGTAAATAAATAAATAAATAATCAAAGATGAAGAATCTTTGAACTGCTGAAGTGAGAAAAAGACAAACACGCGGAAACATCTCGAAGACTTCATAAATTTTCTTCTTGATAATCAATGAATAACAAAGCAATACATTTCATCATTGTATGGGAATATCAATAATAAATTATTGTAAATAGAAGCCTTAGGCCAGCTAGCAATTTTCTGCCCAATGAAAAAATTCTAATAGAATTCATATTGCGATGAAAATATTAATGCGAAAATATAAAAATTTTCATCATTCAAATAGACGAGCGTCTAATTGTTTACGACGAATAAAGTGTTTTCAAAAATTCATGTTATTAAATGATTTTTCAGCTTTAAGAATCATGAAATTGTGTATGTTGTTTAAGAAAACGCTTTTTCTTCTTATCATCATTTTCTGTACTGCGAATCTCACGAATTTGCTATGCAGATGATGGTGTTTTCACTTTTGGAATATTAGTTAGTTCCTCACGGGTATGAAAAATATGAGCAATGCAGCAAAGCAAAACAAGACCACTCCTATGCAAATACTTAATCTTTCGACTGCTCATAACATTTGTTTCAGATTATTGTTACATTCCTTTATCCACCGCTTCACAGCTAACTATTTACTAAGTAAATTATGAGCAGTAGTTTTTACATATTTACTAAATATTTTTAGGGTGTTAGCTGTTTTCTTTTACATTTGAAACATATTTTTGACGTTCATGTTTGTAAATCAGAGAAGATACTTCAGGTGTGCGAATTAATTAAATGAAGATCTTGAAATAAGAAGATAAGATGCTTAAAGCATTTATGAAAATCAAAAATCATTTTCAATCCATTCAATTTTATTGAAAGTTTTTTCATGCTCCACTCTATATTAATCTGGTTCGATTTAATAAATTTTTTTATCGTTCTAACAAGGCGAAGAAACTTATTTTCCAATTTCTTGAGTTCTTGTCAATGGGATTTAAAACTTTAGAAAAATGATTGATTGAAGTCAAAAGTGGAAAATAAAAATTTAATGACAACAGAAAAAATATATTTCAATTTTTAGATTCCTTCTGTTAATCTCAAAATAAAAAGATTAAAGGTTTTATATGATGAAATAAAATGAGTGCTAATCAATAAAATTACCTTTCAGACTTTTCCAAGCCACAATGACTAAAAATTATAATTTTTCATTCATTTTAGAAAAAACTACGAAACATTCGTTTGTTATTTTATTCACTTTCTAAGCACAAAAGCTTATTCTAATATTTTAGTGAGCTCCATCACTAAATCAAATGATTAATGATGAGAAGCTTAATAATGATTCGAAATATGTCAAAAAAAAAATTTCAAACCATAAAAAAAGAAGAATATTCTTGCTTGAAAAAAACAACCTTCAGGAAGGATTAGTCAAAATTTTTAGTTTTATGCTTCATAAAAGTATACAATAACCATAAATATATATTGAGGTTTTCCAAGAAACATCATTACATTTATTTGAATGACATTTTTCTGAAGAAAATTTTAGAAGAAATTCATTAAATTCAATAGTTTGATATAAACAAAACTTTTGTAGATACATATTGTTGGACTATGGGGTTTTATAATTTTTAATAATTTATTTAAGTCAGTTATGGCTTTCGACATTCTTGTCTTATTATGAGAAATGAATGAAGTTTAGTATGTAAATGGCATGAATTAAATGAGTTCGCTTAAAAGAGAAATAATAAATTGATTGTGCTCACTAAATCAATTAAAACATATATTTACACTGTGTTGAAATTTAGTCGCATATTTGTAAAATTTAATCTTTATCGCTGATTCTAAACTGGTTTTACATATAAATTTTTATTAATTATATTTTCGAATCATTATTTTCAACATTAAAAAATTACGATATGATATCACATAAAAAAGCAATTTTTCAAGCAAAATGTGGAAATATTGAATATGGTAAAAATAAAACAATCGAAAAACGAGACAAATAAAAATTTTACCTCATACTTAATAAATGACTTAATTTCGCTTTAATTGAGACTTCGTTTATTGAAACTTAAATATATATAGATTTATTATGAGGATAGCTGTCAAAATTATTAGTCATTTATATCAATAAATTATCATTTTAATGAAAGTCGATTTGGATCTGATGTAACGAAATTAAGTTAACCAATTATTTTTAGAAATCTTTTTAAATGCTTTATTTAAATACGTAATTGCTGAATATTTACTGGATTCAAAACGTAATATGGCTTATTTATTGGAATGCATGATTTTCATCACGAATATAATCATTTCGGATTTTTAAGTGTGAACATATCCATAATGAAACAACAACATAACTTTATTTTTGTTTAGTTTTTGTTCAACACTTTATGTAATACAAATAATTATTATATTGAGATTCATATTGGAATTTCAGTTCATTTCGTTTAAATAACAATGTTGGATTTTAAGTTCACCCAAATATTTTTTTCTAACCGTCACCATCAAAATTCTCGTCTCTTATAATAATTCAAAGGTGTTTACTTTTGTATGGCCCTCAAAAATGGAAGGGAATCAAAGAAAAAGTATCTTTAGGATTTTAAGAAGCAAAGAAAGCAGAAAAGTCTACAAAAGGTTTCTGTTTGTCCATCCCTTGGCAAGGAAAAGAGAAGAGAGAGAAGAAAGAGTTAGATTATAGGCACGATATGAACAGTAATTTATTAAAAACTTTGTCAATTTTCTTTCGGCTTGATATAAACGCAAAAGGATCAAGAAGGAATGATTTTAATCATTTCATAATCAAATACATAAAGATAAAATTTAATGATGAAAACTTTACATGCCTACATAGTTTTACGACATTTTCATAAGCTGTTTACTCAGCGTTTTTCTTATGCGTTTGGTTGCTGTAAATAGTCATAAAAATTTGTTGCTTGAAACATAGTTCTTTGTCTATATACATACTACATTGATGATATTAAATGTGGGTACACATACTCAGCTTCTTTTCAAAGACTAAATATATAAACACCCGCCCACGCATTCATTTTTATGATGTCTCAAGCAAAGCGAAACATGTCAATGCTTCAATGCTCGCGCATGGGTATGATAAAGTTGAAGACTTAAAGATTTTTGATAGTAGATTATATTTTCCTTGTTTGTACGTTAAATAGCAGACGTGAGAACGTAAAAATTTATGAAAAAAGTTAATAAAATGTAATCATTTTCCTCTCGAAAAGAATCATTTTCCACACAAAAAAGATTTTAGAAGGACCATAAAGAAGTATCACCTGTTATGTATTTTATGAAAGAAGAGATAAACATCTACCTGCATATGTACATCATGTTGCTTGTTAGTCTTCAAACTTCAAAGTTACTCCAAAACCTATTACCCAAATTTATTTGCGAAAATATTTTACGTTTCTTTTGATGATGTTATAAAGGATAAAACTTTTAACCATATGTCTCTCTTCATCTTTAGATTTTAATTCGGATATTTGATACTTTTTCCATAATGTAAATCTTTACAGAGCTGTGTTGTTTGTCAGTTTAAACACTCAGTTGAAATAAAATAGAACCAAAAAGCATCCAACTTTGGAAAACAAATACTCTTGTTAGCTTTATTTACTAGGTTTTAGAAACCCCTTTGGAAGGCTTTACGTTACATACGTTTGCTATTGACATTTTTTTTAAAGAATATTTCCTTCTGGAATTAAATAAAGAAAATAAGTCGGAGAGAAACACGAAAACCTCTTGTAATATCATTATTTTATCTAATTTATGCATATATGCTTATGGTTTCACACAAATCTTTTAGCAAATGATACTTGAGCAACTTTAATGCCTCACAGCAAGAAGAAACATCTTGTTCGAAGCTAAGAACACATCGACGACACTTCTTTGTAATCAGAAAGAGTTTTTACTTATTCTTCTCTTCATTTCTTGTGTTTTATTAAAACGAGGAAGTTTGCGAGGGTAGGAAAGTAAAAAAATCTTATGAAACTCCCGTCATCCGGAACCAAATGTAATATGTATATGTATGTTGAAGAAAAATGAAAACTCTAATATTCAACAAAATAAGAGAGAATAAGAAAAAAGTTTGACGTATAAGTAGGAGAGGAATTGTGAAGATTTATTTTCATTTATTTCTTAAAATCGCGTAATCACACTCCCTAAGACGTCTCTTTTTTATTACATCAACGAAATGAAATAGAAGTTGAAATAATTAATTAAATTTTGTTGTTGATGCTTGTATGATTAAAAATTAGAAACTTTTAACTTCTTGAAGGTAAAATGAATTTTTTTTTTTATTCTGAATGATTTTGTTATGAATGTAAAATATTCTTATATTTTTAAATTAGATTGAATATCATACCCGCAATTCTTGAAATACTTGTCAGTCAAATTTCACAATTCTAAATTAAAACTTTTAATTAAAATAAAGGAAATGATTATTTTAAAATATTTATATTTAACACCATTTGATATTTTCTAACGAATCTATTAAAATCTTCTAGAAATCGCATGAAAATTAGGTTCGTTTACTTTAATTAATTCAAAATTTCAAAATGTCATCTTTCATCATAAATAATAATTTAAGTTATACTTTAAGTCTGTTCAAAAATCTTTTCTGCCTTTCTTGAGTATCTACTCTCATTTCAAAAGTGTCTTTCTTGAAAGAATTTCATTTAACATCCAAATAAGACATTTTGTCAGTGTGACATGAAATTAAAAAAAATATTTGTAATCTTCCAGTTGGATGTTTTTAATTAGTATAATACTTTGAATTATCAACCGCGATTTAGGGCGACGTTGTAATGTTTTCATTTTCTTATGACAATTTTTAAAAAATTGTTTTATTCTCCAAAGAGAAAGTTATGTATTTATCATAATAATAATAATTGGATGTCTTAACTTTTTTTCCCCCCCAATAGCTCCAAATATTAAATCCCCCACAGCAGTGAGATACATATTTCTATATAGCCTATGAATATTTTAATTTTTAGATAATCCAATCAGATAGGTTATTCAATAAACTTTTCACCCCTTTAGGTTACTTGTTCTTCCAAACGTTTGGAAACTCATAGAAAAATTCATAATTGAGTTATTTGAAAACAAAGCCGGATGACGATGGTCAAAATGGTTGCTTTTAACGACTTATAAATTGACATCATTGAATTCATCATAATTAATGTATTTATCTATCTAGTTATATCTACTTTTTTTACGAGAACCCAAATCTTTCCTTTTGCCTAACTCTCTAAGAGATTAAACATTCTACAAACTTGTGAGTATTTTCTTTTTGCAAGTGTTGAGAGTTACAAACAAAACCGATTTTCCATTCATTATTGTTGGAAACATCGAATCTATTTCCATGTCACTTCGCTTTTATTTTTTTAAATAGAAGATTATGATATAATATGATAATAATAATTTTAAGATGATGATGATGGTTATTCATGAAATTAAACCCGAATAACGAAGAGGAAAAGAGGAGGAAAGCCTTGAAATTCAACGACCTTGATTAAGGAGAAGTTAGTATATGAATTAATTACCAAGAAAAGAAAATTGGATAATACGGGTTTCTCAGCCTTCTTTTATTTGGAAATTTGTTCATGAATCTTCCTTTTATAATCCAAATTTTGGACACAAAAACGACATTAACAAGTAGGGAGAGAAACTTTTCAATTAGAGATTGAACATTTGTCACTCATAGTTGATATGTTTATCAGATCAAAAACTAAGCGTGAATATTTGATGAAAGTTTCTACTTTGAATAATTTCAAGTTACTTAAATAATTTAAAACAGAAATAACTGAGATTGTGAGAAAGGTTTATTCGAAATAAAAAGATTTTTATTTTTTCAAAACAACAGATTCGAAATACATAAAAAAGAAATGAGATCTAATGGAATTTTCAAATCATACCAGATTGTGTTGCCTACATATATCTTAGATTCTGTTTCGAGTTTTGTTTGTGTTGGGAAAAAATCAATCATAATTACTCTCGACGTTATTTTATGCTCGACTCGAGAATGGTTCAAAATGATGATGAAAACAAAATTTATGGAATAATAATTTGTTTTTTTGAATCTATGGATCGAAATTTTTAGCTTTTTATCTATGTAAATCAATTGGAATATGAATTATTTGTGACGTGGATATTGTAATGAAAATAAGTTAGAAGTTGTGGAAAACGTCATAAAGCTTCCAAAAAGTTCTCAACCGAAAATTTATTACTCACAAAATCATGTCACAATAACAGAAAACCGAGAATGATTAAGAGATTAGATATTAACTTTAAAAAAAATAAAATGTATCATCTTGAGTTCAATGGCAGCAAAAAACCGTCTTCCATTTTGAAATTTACTTTATCAAGTCGCTAAAATAAATCCAGAACAACGACGATAAAAATAAATTCGTTACAATATTTTTTGAAGCTCCTGCTTTGTCTTGCTGACTGCTGCGCTGGGCAAAGAAATAAATTCTTCATTTATTTTATTGTTTTTACGTGAACAGAAAATTTAAACCAAGTTGTAAACGATCATAAAACCATCGTCGCTAGAGGATTACTTTAATAGCTTATTATACAGCAAATGGATAATATAAAGAAAGATAAAATTTTACTTTAAAAGAAACGAGAAGAAAAGTGAAAAAGCATAAGCTGCATAAAAAGGAAGAAAAAACTCGGGAAAGAGTTTTGACGGCGTCATTTCCATTCCCCGACAATTCTCAAATTAAAATGAGAGATTTGTTAAAAATTTAAACCTTAAAGCCTTACTTAGAATAAAATCTGTGGCAAAATAATCCGGAAAAAACGCTTAAACATTCAACAAATTTCAAGCTCTATGACATTTTCCATGGATACTTCCTGAGTCCCTCCCGAAAGAAGAAATTTTTTTAAGGTGAAAAATGAAAAGGTAACAAAATTTGTTTTTTTTAAGCTCTTTAGCTTTTGAAGAAGTTTTCGAATAAAATATATATGATACGACTTTCTTTTTTTCAACTAGTAAGCCTCATCTTTCCATTTTAATCAAACTCGATTAAATTTACTGAAAAATTTAAACAGCTCCCATGTTAGATATTCGTTCTTCTGGGTTGTATTTTTCCATGTTCCCTGTCATTTTCTAAATGGAACTACTTGTCTTCTGTTTCTAAGTTCGTTTTGCAAAGATGAATGAAACGGAGGAAAAAGAAATATAAAAAAAAGTAGATATGTAAGAGAAAATATAAGAGAACCATCATTTTCATCTTACATAAAAAGAATTTCGCCGTTCGCTTTCAACGTCATGCGATTCATCATTTTTTCTTATAGAAGCAAGAGTAAACAAAAATATTCTCAGCGTCGGGTTCTTGATGTGCTCATAAATTATGATTTCTTATGAAATGACGTAAAAGTAGGCATGTTGGGTCTCATACAGTTTGAAAGCTCAAAAAAAATGAAAGCAACTCTGAGAACCTTCCCAACACTTTATGACAGATTTATAAGCTGTTTCATAATTAAACTTTCTTATTCTGAGCTAAATATGATTACGAGTAAGGCATTCGAACATTTTATCTACCACCAATAAATATTGGCAGATTGGCAGTATTCAGTGCGGAACTTTTCAAAAACATCAAGACATAAAATTGACATAACTAGGTAAATATATATTGATGGTATGCTTGGGCAAGAACTGATTTCAAATTATATAATTTAATAGAATTTTAAGTCAGCATATTACAGATATAAAAATGGAAATTATAATTTTTTTTTTCTGATTAAACCGTCAGAAATTTTATTCGAAAGCGCGATTCTCGTAAACAAAAAAATTAACAACACAAAAACATCGAGTGAAGACGAACAAAAAACAATTCGACATCTTTTCCAGTTATATATCTATTTGAGAATGCGAGAAAAAGCTTTTAAATTGGAGTTTCTTTATTACAACGCGGAATATAAATTTCCTCCGTTTATTCACTTTTTCCACCATAATCTCTTTAAAAAGCTTAACAAGCGTTTGATATTCGCTATTCTTGGCTTGAAAGTTTCATAAGGAAGCACTGCTATAGGGTTTAACATTGAGACTTTTATTTCTTCTGCTCACTCCCATTATAATGTTGATGACGAAATTGTGTTAAATTTACTCACGATTGCATCCCTTTTTAAGTTAACGCAGACGAAGCAAAAATTCATTTAACCCAAACCCTTAAGTTGGCTGTTGTAATTGAAACGTACATACCTGGAAAGACAGAAGAGGAAAACAAATTTTAATTAAAAAATGTATTTAAATGTGAAACGCTCAGTTTTCTTCAACTTTTATTTTCATTTTATCAGCACGAATATCGATTTGCTTATATTTATATTTCCGTTTTATTGCTATCTCTACTCAATCTTTCAAGAAGCATCTAACCACATCTTTGTTAGTTATAAGAAAATGTCTGGAATCTAGCTTCATTGTTTATTAAACACGAAGAGAATTCGTTGACTTCATTTTGTGTTACTGAACATTCAAAAATTCAACATAACAAAGAGGATGAAATTTCATGTTTTAACTACGTTAGGTCAACCCCGTCTCAACCAATTACTTTAAAGGCGTTTTTTATTTTATTTGTAAGTTTAACTGTCAAAAAAGTATACATCAAGAACAATTTCTCTAGGCTTCCACGTTGTAATGAATTACGTGCCACAATTTAGAGAATGCGCAATTTTAAAAGATATTTGAATCTGAATCAGCAGAAAATTACAGAGCACCGACGTAATTAAGGGTGGAAACTCATTAAACTGAAGCAAAATTAGGATTAAATTCTCCAAGAGCTTTTGTCGCCTATTAAGTGCTTAGAATGAAATAAATTTTATCCATAAACTCAGTAATTTTGCTACAAAGAAAATGAGTGAGCGAAAGATTGAATTATACCTTGTAAAGTTGTGTATGGTAAGGTGTGTGTTTGCGATAATTATTTTCCCACAACCATGTGATGATGAAACAAACTAAGCATGTTACCATGAAGAATTTATGCTATTTCCCCAAAATTCTATTCAAAGCATTTAACCTTTTGTTTATGAATAATTGCAACGATTGAAACTTAATGTTTTTTGCTTAATGTTTAGGTAGATCGTTTCAAAAATGAAGAATTTGAATAACAATAGACTTACAACTAAAAGAATGTATTAACAAGGTTTATTAATTTGTTTCCTCAATTGAAATTACCTAAATTATTATCTCAAGCAAAATGAAAATAGAAATAATTCCCTCCAGAATGACAAAAGTTAAAACCTTAAGTATATTTTCAACTGTCACTTCACCATGCTTTAGGTCAAATTGAGTCTTTAGCATTACATCATATCTTGGGGACTATCGTAAAGAGAAGTCAATATTATTAATTTTATTACTGTGAACAGGTCATTTTTCAGTATCACGAAGTAAATAAATAAGATAAAACCTTGAAAAAATATTACAGCTCTTCTTAATGTCCAGGTTGGTACATTAAAACTCCTTATTTGTTGATTTATAATCTGTGTAGATACATAAATGCGTAAGTTATTATTGATGATACGTCTTAACACCCTCATCGCAATAAAATCTAAAAATATATTGACTTAACGACTAGTGTGTTGAGCTTGAAAAATGTTTATTTGCTAAAGTTTCCTTTTTTTCCACCAACGCATCATTCATTTGGGGAATGAAATCGAGAAAAGCAGAGAAAAGAAAATGAAAAAATTGGAAAAATGTGTGTTCTTAAGGCAGTCCAATCTCCGGCATGTTAATCTCGAAACTTTTGTCAAAGTTTTCTCTCGGATTCGGACAGGAATGAAGATAGAAGACATTAAATTTGGTGACAGAAGAAAAAGTTTGCTGTGGTTGACAAACCGCAAAAATTAATCAATTGCAGAACTTTTTTGATCGCCTCTAGAAAATGAGACAAGCTTAGAAAGCTTTCAGAAATATAAAAGTGCCATTAACAAAATATTTATCAAGTAGTGTCAAATCATCTGTATAATGTTAAATTATTAAAATGGACAAACAAATTAGCATTTGAATCAGAAATTTTCTTATTCAGTGAGTAAGGATTTATCACTTCAAATTGAAAAAGAGGTCAACTGAACTCCTCGTCCTACATCCGACTACATTCATTTAGAAAATCCTTTTGATTATAAATTGATTTAGTCTTTCATTTCAACTTTATTTGTTAGTAAAATTGTATGCTGTGATGCTGATTGACGCGTCAAAATGAGAAAGTATCTTTTATTTTCAATTATAGTATACGCTCAAGAAATACCTATGTCTACAAAAGCTCCAAAAATATGCGTTTTTCAACATTCTCTTAGATTCTTTTCTCAATTTCAAGAAAAATAGAAATTTGAGTGTAGCGCAATGGTGTCCCTCTACTGAAATAAAATGTAGGATGAAAAGTTGCAGAAGTGTCATATATTTTCTCGCTTTTTTTCGCGACGAGCAATTCTCTGTCGAGTTAGCAAAATTTTACTGAATCGAAGATTTGTTATTTCTCAAAGCAAACAAGCGTAGATAGAGACAAAACAATTTGTAATCAAATGAAATCGATATGTAGAACAATATCGCAGCAACCATCACAGAATATTGAAACAGAACGTGAACTTCGTAACGCAATGGAAAGAAAAGAGATTGAGTTCAATTAGAAGGATTTGCTATTGATTTCCCATTGGAATATATCTAAACCTCATTTGGATTTTCATTTCTTGGCGCTTCCTATCTTATTAATACTCTGGGATCATACATGAATTTTTTTGTAGCAGAAATACAGTGGACGCTCGATATAAGCAAACTGAAGGGAGTAACAAATGTAGAGCTTTTCCTTTATGGAAACTTTTTGGATTTATGAAATTAAAAAGAATTTTATCAATTTAATGAAACATTTACATAAATTTTCGATGCAAAAATGTTGTTACTTAATACATTCTGCAACTTTTCTTTATATATTATAGAAAATGCACCTGTAGCGCAGTCTGTCGTCAATCCTTCTGAAACATAATGCATAAGAAAAAGTTGCAGTTTGCATTAAGGAACAACTTTCCCATACACACCTCATACTTAAAGCTTATAGTTTAAGTATTATAATTTTTTTAACTAATTTCTAACTTC